GGTGAAGGTTGAAAGGAGTTGCAGTCCAACCACTATATGCCTCCACAATGCTTAAAGCAGAATGCTGCAGAACATGGGTGGGAAGGTGGCGTTCCACTCCTATCCCCCTTGCAGGCTTTCCCCAGGCACCCGGTTGGCCACTGTGTGAGCAGAGGCCTGGTCCAGATGGACCCCCTGCTCGGCCAGGAGGGCTCTGCTTATGGAGGGTTACCCACCCTTGTTCTGCAAAGTCACTTTTTAAGGCAAGGCTTAAGAGAGCCTGGATGCCTATCCACCAGCAGTGGCACACTGGAGATGGAATGGGAGGCTCCATATTCTGTCCTTTGGGCGTTTCATCATTTTGTTTTCTTCTCATGCTTCATTATTCCAGTCTATAAATTATAGGGCACTAGAGGTGTTAACCCATCTTTGAAGAGTGCTTTGCAATTGAGGAAGCAAAGATTCTGCTTGTGTGGTTGTACTAACACTTGAAAATATGGAGGAGGAGGGGAAAAAGGTGATTCTGAGGGCCAGATATGTTACTTCATTGCTGCCCCTCCTAATTCTAGGTATTTCTCTCTAGAGTCCATGGATTTGTGAGAGTGAGGCTATGACTTGTCTGTGTATCAAGGCTGATACCGAATTCTGCATAGTTTATTTGGGTACAAGCGCATGAGAGAGAACATGACTGCAATGATCCCTTTTCCATGTGATCCAGTTTGTTGTTAATCATATGATGGACACAAACTGCACCCAAAAGAGAGACTGCAGGACAATGACCAGCTTCTTCTCAATACAATACAATTTATAAATGCAACAAGGGGTTTTAGCTTTGATTTAAATACTGAACACATTTTAACTGACGCAGTTTTGTGCGCATTTAAATTTTTGTTTTTGCAAACTGTTGAGATTTTTTAAAATGTTAAATGGTATATAGATTGAATAACAGCTTGCAACCTTCCAGAAGCTTTGACCATAAGCTTTCATTATCCTACAGTATTGGCTATGCTGCCTAGGGCAGATGGAAGTTGTAGGAAGGCTGCAAGTTGCTTGCCCTGGTATAGCCTTAGGTGATCACAACTGAGTATTTAATACAATATTCCAAATACATTGGCAACTAAGTTCCTTGATGCATCAAGGAGTTGACAAAAAGCCATCTTATCTAGAAGATATCTTATACATGAGCTCCTGAGCCCAAGCCATTGCTCATCATGGTCCACTTTGATCTGTCCTTTTAATGCTTTTGTTTGGGTGGCAATACATCTGTTCTCAGCAGTAGGAGTTGAGTGTTGACTATCCTGAGAAGTAAAAATGGAGGCCATATTGAAGAATGTATTACAATAGTAGAAACTTGGCCTTTACATGAGCAGTACTAGGTATGAATCAAGCCATCAGAAGGAACATGCTGTCTCATCTGGCCTTGCACAAGTACATCTGCCCACAGGTTTCCAATGGGCAGCTGGTTGACCACTCTGTTAACAGAATGCTTGGTTCAACCCTTGGACCAATCCAGCAGGGCCCTACTTGTGTTTTTGTTTTTACCTCTCAGGAATCCCAGTGAGGTACAGTTGCTTTATTCTTATCTAGGGATTTGTCTTCCTCAGATCAAGTTCTGGGGTTTGATCTACTGAATCTACAACTCAGATATGGTCCAGGGAGTCTCTAGACAGATAGAGATCTTAGGGGCCTCTCCTGTATGATGGTAATTCCTGCGTTTCCTTACCAGATAAAATAGTAGTGCTATGATGGGGTATTGCACTTGAGAGGGAAATGCAAAATAAAGGACATTTACCTGCAGTTATCACCATAAAATCACACATATGGACTGCTCACATTCAGGTTAAAATATGGAACATTCTAGAACTTTGGCCTGGGCTGAACCCAGCTTATGGAGTGCAGCACCGCTTCCCTCAGCTGGAAGTGTGATTGTTGTCGCTACCTCACAGAAAGAGTAGGGCATCTTCCCAGTTTCCTCATGAATGCCCCAAAGCCCAGTTATGCAGTTCCTTCATTAGAAAAGGCATGGTTCAAGGTAAACAGCTGCGGTTTCTTCTGTATGACCTCTCTTTGTGCCCACATTTGGAAGACAGGCAAGTTCTCAAAGGCAGAGGAGGATGTGAGAAACATTTCCTGTGAAGAACATTTGCACCTGCTTTTTCAAAGATGGCATCTGCTCTAGCATGCATGGATTAGAAACAAGGAGGATGCGGCCTGCATGATAGATAGCAAAGTCTGGCATAGAACAGTGAGCTCTTGTGGAGTGTGTCATTTCTCTCAAGGCACGAGCTGGACTGGTGAATCCTAACATAACAGCACCATGGTAGACATAAACCTTCTGGAATGTTTCCATACCTGCTATGGAGACCTGAACAGGATATATAGTGTGAACTTTTGGGGTTATTACCAAATAAAGAAAGGCACATAACAAGCATGTGCATCTGCTTCTCCTTTCGATTGTGGACAAAAACACAACTGACTGTCTCAGTTTAGAAAGAATGCTGAAACTACTGTGCAATAGAAGCCCATGATAGAAAGTGATCTTGCAGTTTTCACTTACATGCAAGCTGATTAATTAGTGGTTGTTACCATCCTTTGAAGGGTCTTGAACCCTGAGCCTCAGAAACTTCTTGGAGCTGATCCACTGAGCCACAGGCATGCCAGTGAAGAAAGGAAAGTGAAACACAACAAAAATGAGGAATGACACATACTAAATAACAGACACAAAAAAGGAAGGCTAACCCCAAGTAGGAGGCAGAAGGGAGAATCTGAGAGTCAGAAATTAGCTCTGAAAAATGAACACTCTGTTGCTCTTTGCAGCATGTGGAAGGGAACTGAGTAGGTTGGCAATCCCAACCTCCTGCTGCCTGTGCATGAGGCAGAAAATCTCTAGTTGATGTAAGCAGCAAGTGCCTCTCATCTTATCTAAAGTGTCAAAGGGTCTCTTCCTGTGTCTGTAACACCCAAAGGCTCAGAAGTCAAGAGAAAAGGGTGGGCGGACTGTATTGTCTCTTTCCATGACTTCCCCGCCTTGTAAGAAGGGTATCTCTTCCTGCTTCAGTCTGGTCCATAGGCCCCTTGCCTCTTCTTGCTGACCTTTACCCTCTGGTTCAATGTGGGCCCTTTCACTAAGAAAGCAGGATAGCTTTCTTTCTCCCTACTTTTTCTTTCTGACAGGTTGCAGGCTTTCTCCCAAATAGCCCAGCAGTACCAAAGGAGATCCTTCCACTTCCAAAGTGCCCATGTGGGGAAACAGGTGGAGCACTCAAATGATGGATGGGTCCAGCTGGTGGATGGCCTGCGGGCGCGGGCACTGTCACCTCCACAGCTGTGCACAGATGGCACAATCTCTCTCGGCCAGATTGGATTCGCCACTGCAGGCGGAGTTCACTAATGACACTTCGGCAGAACCTTCCCTGTAACAAACTGATTGGGTGGCTGAAACTGTCTGACTCCCCGTGACATCCACCCCAGCTTTAAGCCACAACTGACTGCTCATTCCTCAACACCTGGCAGCAGAGGCTGTCAAAGAAAATGGCCGCCGCAAGGACTTTCCCTCCTGCTGACTCCTTGACAGCCCTGGGCCTTTGTGCCACTTCACTGAGCAGAAAGTAGCTACTGGCAACAACTAGCAATGGCGTGGCAGTTTGCAGCTGTGTGTGTGGCTGGCCAGTCGTCTCAGATGCTGTAGGGTCAGGATACTGGTTCACGCAGGCAGCTCAAGGTCAGCATCAGGATTTTGGGGTAGTTTCCCTGCCTAGACATAGCAAAGCCTTTCCCAGCCTGGAACCCTTTAGATGTGCTGGACTACAGCCCCCATCACCCCCCAGGAGTGATGGCCTGACCCAGCAGGAGGGCAGCAGGTTAGGAAAGGCTGGCGCAGGTGGCACAAATCCCCAAGATGCTCGCAGCTGCAGACTGAGCGAAAGAAGGGAGGTGGGGCAGTGGTGGAGCTGGAACTGCTCCCCATTCAATGGGAAGGGAGACCTAAAGCTTGGAGAGCAGATGGACTGTGGGATGGGATTGAAGGAAAAGGAGCTGGAGTGGGCTGCATAGCCTGGGGTGAAGTGGGGGCTGCAAGTCAAAACTAAGACACACCGGCTAAATTTAATATGGAAGGAAAAAGCTCAGACCTTGGACAACAGGTGGCCCGTGGGATGGGATTGGAGGGTATTAGCAAATCTGGAGTGGGGTGCCCTGCAGTTGGAGCTCAAGGCTAAATGGCATTGCTGGAATCTGGAGCAGGTCTTGGAGCTGAACGCAACAGCAGGAGCCCAAGCTTTACGAGTAGCTGCCTTTTCTGTAGCATCTGCTGGTGACAGATGTGGTGCCTTCCCCAGAGCTTTGTGGACAGGCCTCTGCCGATGCCCTGGCAAGCCTGCATACATGACTACTGGAATGTGACCCTCCTTTCTGCAGTGCCTACCCGGAGCTATTTGTGCCTGCCAAATGAGCGTGCCGGACATCGCAACACCAGCTGGAGGAGGCAAAATGCTGCTAAGCGTGCCGGGCGAGAGCGGCACAAGGGATGCAGCAGGCAAGATTCTAAGGCTCCTCAGGAACCTGAATTTCAGCCCTGGCCTTGGAGCCTCCTACAAAACAAGGCAGCAGATTGTTGGCTTCCGCAAGCTACACACCCACCTGATACACAAAGTCCTCTCTCCATCCATCTGCTGGGACCATCAGGAGTTGGGGATTCAGCATCTGTTCCGCAGGGAGGTGTGAAAGTAACAGCTATGAGCATGCAGGCGGAACGGAGCAGGGACAAGCCTGGAGCCTGAGAGACGACTTGGTAACACAAAGAAGCTCAAGCAAAAGGCAGAGAGAGAGAGAGCACAAGACAGACCAAGTGACAAGAGCTGCATCACTCGACCTAATAAAATTCCCAACTCAGGATCTCAGTGTCTTGCCTTCTTTCCCCATTAGCCTAGTTTGCTACCACAGAATCGAGCGCAGATGCTAGAATCTATGCTTGCTGGCTTTGTATTAGCAAACGGCTCACACGGCTACACAGGCAATATTTTAAAGAATTACCAGTGCAGGTTTATTTTTGGCATTGCATTTATAAATCAATTATCTCTAACATTTCATCAGGCTGTTAGAAGCAGAAGAGATGAGTTCTTGCTCTGCAGGTGGCCCTGTGTGGAAGCCACCCCCAACAAAACCACAACTCAGGGGCAGTTCCTCTCCCCGAACCATGGGTTCCCCGCCAGGATGACTCCTTTGGGTCCAGTTTTTCAGCAGGATTCGGGGCTGCTTCACCTCTGTCTCTTCCTGCCTTTTCCTTGGCCTGCCCACGTTTGCACAAGCACAGAAAAACCTGGATGGTGTTAGCAGAAGCCACCTAGGCATTGTTCGAATCACGTTCGAGATGTTCTCCCCATAGGTGTGTGTCTGTGGGGTGGAGGTCCTCCGGACTGCCACCGTCCCTCACCTTGGGTGATGTTGACTAGGGCTGATGGGAGCTGCAGTCCGACATCCTGTTGGGGGGGACACACGTTTCCCTCCCTGGTAGAAGGTGTCCATACACAAACACGGGTCAAACACTTGCACTATACACATCCCAGGGCGTTGGGATTGGATGCTGCTCCCAGCTGAAGGCCAAACTAGAGGTGAATTTTGATGTGTAAATAGCAGCCAGGAGGAACCTGGAGCCACCTCGCCACAGCAGGGCGGGAGGGGTGCTAGCAGTCTCTCTCCTCTTCCCATGTTCTGAGAAAAAATGCTTCCCCAAGCGGCTATTTGCAGTGCAAGTGGAACCGCCCGGGATGCCAAAAGGCAGGCAGCAGCTTCAACGAGGCGACAGACTCACCGGAGGAAGGCCCAGCGCTCCGCTTGCTCCGCTTGCTCCCCCTGCCCCCACCTCGCAGCCTCTCTGGTTTCCCTGTAGCTGCCACTGGCATTGAAGTTGTGGCGCCCATTTTTGGTTTTGGCGTAATTCATACGACCTCTGGTTTCACCTTTCAGCCGTGCCCTACACTCAAAGTAAACACCAATTTCCTGCCACAAATGGTCAGCGCCCAATTCTCTGGCCACTGGAGCTCCCCCGTGGCCCTCTGTGGGACTTCTGCACAGGGGAATCCATAGAAGTGAGTGAGCCGTCCTTAATGCCACATGAATGCTTGGAGTCTGTGTCTTTGCTCTTCTTGAGGAGAGTGGAATGGCCAGCAAGGAAGCCTCTAGAACTGCCAACAAAAGAAAGAGAGGATATTGAAAAAAAAAGCCCTCATCAACAACTGTTAGCCAGTTAATTATCTGATGTCAGCAACATCTTCAGTAATTCAATGAAGGCGTGATCTAGAGATTATTGACAGCAGCAGTTTCTCTAGCAAGTTTCTGCATTCATAGGTGGCTGTGGGAATCCTAAGGGAAAGAGAAGTTGTAGTTCACGGTAAGTGCCACTAACTTCAGTGACCTTTCTTCTTTGTCAACATGCACAGCCTTGGACTAAAACAGTCCTAATTGCTGCCACCAGCATCCCTGCCTTCCTCAGAAAAGGGGAGGCCAGTCTGGCAGCCCTGTAGATCTCCGTATATTTAGAAACCCTGAAATGGCTTCCTCAGTTCCTGAAATCAGAACAATCAAGGTGCTATCTAGAGACAAAAAATATTTCTTGGATTAGATTCAGACTCAGTCTGGATCGATTGCACTGGCACAAGTAGACTGTCCCATTCCATCCTCCCCAAGGCAGCTCCTCCAGCCCCAAGGGGATCCTGAGGAGCTGTGGCACTGGAGGTGGGGATGAAGAAAGAGGCAACTCCCAAAAATCAGGTGAAGGGAACCTCCATGATGGAGCCTTTGATTCCTCCAAAGGTTCCCCCCTCCCCAGGGCAGATCTTGGCTAGAATGGGCTTTCTGCTAGAAGAGTGTAAGTTGCCTGGTGTCCAAGGAGGGACGGAAGGGACGTGGTGTCGTGGGGACGAGTCTGAAGAACTGGCAGCTGCCTAGCTCTGACACTTCGCCATTAGCCTTGCTGATAACCAAGGCAGGCGGAAGCATAAGGGCATAAGCAGAGCCCTGCTGGATTAGACCAAGAGTCCATCTAGCTCAGCATGCTGTCCACACAATGCCCATGGGAAGCCCACAAGCAGCTGCACTCTCCTGCGCAAGTTCTCCAGCAACCTGGGCACAGACAAGTTTCCTCTGTATTGGAGGGACGAGCATACAGTAGAGCCATCAGGACTGGTAGCCCAGCAGTAGCGTTCTACTTCACAAATTTGTCCAATCCCCACCCAAGTTGGTGGCCATCCCTACAACTTGCCCTAGCGAAGTCCATAGTTTAACAATGTGCAACAGGTGGGCATCAAAACAGCTTGTGCCTCTGAGAACAGAATGGCATGCAAGTGTGATGACTCAAGCTAGAATATGTCAAAAAGGTATACGAATCTGGGAAGCTATGATTTGTGGGGACCTTTCCTGAATTAAGAATGGGATTGCCAACACTCTTTCCATGGTTTGAAGATCAGACAAAATCAGAGCATTGTGAAAAATTTGCACAGGTCAACCTTGTAGCCTAGTGAACGCTTCCAGTGAATGCTGTCTGTACATGTGTGCATAGAGAAGTTAGTAATCTAGTGTAATTAGCCTGAAGGCAACAGGGCAAATGTCATGCACTCCTTATCAAGCTTTTGTAATTATTAATTATTTCCAAAGTAGCTTTGGAATCCTGGGTCTAAGGGGACACAACCACAACTGTACTCCTCATGCTGGCAGATAAAGGAGGATGGAGGGTTGTGGGTTGGAGAAAAGGCAGAACCACTGGTCAGAGATGGGAGGCATGAGGGATGGTAGGGCATGAAAGCCATGCCTTTGGAAAACCAGCAGTGTGCCCTGGGTCTAGATTCTTCTCCAAGCAGGACACTGGACTGGAGAAGACTTTGGAACCGGCATGGAGGAGATGGTGCTGAAAGCCAAGCCCCTGAATGAGGCAGAAGCTTCCACCCACCAGCCCTCAAGAAAAGTAGGAGGATGATTTGTCTGCTAGGCAGAGACCACTCTCTGTGTGGCCCATAATCCCCTTCCCTATCATCTCACCTTGAGGTCAACATGAAAAGTCTTTGGCTCCTCTGCCTCCGAAGCTGGCTGAAATCTCGCCTGTTCTCTGTCAGGATTATGGTCCCTGTTGTAAGGGTCCCAATCAGAAAGCCAATTTCAAGGGACTGAGTAAAAGTACCTCCTGAATGCTCATTATCTTTGGGTCTTTAATTTGCCCAGAAAAAATGCAATAAATAAAAATGAATGAACGCATGCATCAATAAATAAATAGCACTTGTGCAATATGGATGGAAGTGGCCAGGAAATTAAGGAGTGCTCTACTCAGAGCTGAAAGGGAAGAAGAAAGAGGGCAAAACGGGTTAAAAAAAAAAGGGCAGGAATGAACCGCAAGGAGGTTGGGGTTTGGACTGGAGGCCTGGGGGGGGGGGTAAGCAGTGTCACACACTGCTCCCCTTCCACCATTTCCAAGTCAAATGCTGGCCCACCCAGGGGCCACACCCAGCCTTCCCTGATCCACTAAATTCCACCTCCTGAAGGAACCTGTTTCACCTCACTGCATGGCTGGACCAGCTCTGGCCTTAAACTGAAGCAAGGGAGATGAGTTTCCAGGAGCAACACACCATGGATGTTTCTGAGGTGACTCTGGATGTCTCCCAGCATAGACAACACTGCCAAAGCAATGCACAGGAACTGCCAGAGCTGCCCACAATTCTAGAAGGTACTTATTTGGATCCACAGTTCTGTATTTCCAAGATGGCTGCTGGTGTGTTTGTTCACAGAAGCTCCAAATCCGCTGTCACCTTCCCAGTGCAAAGGTGACAACGTTCTTGTCATGTCCAAGGAAACCATGTGGTTGGCAGAGAACATCCAGTGCAACAAGGCGCTCGTCCTGGAATAGCTGCTCGTGGGGGTCCACGTGGGCCCTGCTGATGCTTTATCTTTGCTGAGCGTCACCCTGGCTGTCCCTTTAATGCCATTACTGAAGAGCATTAGAAAAAGATTGCCTGAAGGGGACGCCTGGCCATCCAACCACCCACACACCTACCTCTCTGGCTGAGGTGAGGTGGCAGAGGCCGCCTCCGAGCGCTTCCGGATGTATCCTCTGGATCGTATGTCCGCCTGGAATCAAAGCAAAGAGCAGAATCAGGCAGAGAGCCTCTTTAGGATGCCTGTGGTCATTTCTAGGGAGCCTGGAGGAATAAAGCAATCAGGCTCTGACCATGGCCCAAATCCTGGCCCCACCTACATTTGGGCCAATCGCAAAGCAGTTCTCAGCCTGACAGGTGCGAAGGAGAACTGAGGATTACATCTCATCTCCATTCATGCATAAGAAGTCTGTCTGGACAGACCCAGCATTCTTTTCCCATTATGGACAACCTGATGCCCCACCAGGAAGTCCAGAAGTAGAAAGCAAGAGCATCCTTCCAAGCTGGCTTGAGTATTTAAGCAGTCAGTGACATCCTTGCCCTTCCACTATGCTGAGGGCCACCTTTTGCAGAGCAGCGAGGCCAAGCCAAGGAACTAAATCACAGCAGCACAGGAAGCTGTCTTTAGGCCCAACATGTAATTTTCAATCCATTTATGATCTATGAACATAAATCAGCCTTCCCCAACTTGATGCCCACCAGATATGCTCGATTGTACCTCCCAGTAGGGCCACTGGATCATTTAGTGAAGACTGAAACTGAAGATGCGAGGTCCCCGGACTGGACTGGACTGGACTGCAGTGCCGGGCAAAGCATTTCAGCCACCCACCACCTCCACTGAGTCCCTGTGCTGACTTTGAAAAATTACTCTGCAAAATGGGTTGAGCAGCTTGTTGTCCTCCAAATGCTTTGGACGACAACTTCCATTAATTCTCACCCTTGGCCATGCTGGCTAGGCCTGCTGGGGGTTGTAGGCCCCAGCTTCGTGGGGGACCATCCATCCCTGCTGTCCAGTGACATGCACCTTGTCCTTTCATGTCCAGATCACCAAGGGCTGCTTGCTCTGGCTGGCAGCAGCTCTCCAAGGTCTGAGGCGGGTGGCCTTCTGCCGCACCACCAGCCACCCCCTCGTCTTTAAACTAAAGATGTGGTGAGCGGCTCTGGGGCGTTCTGCATGCCAAGCATGTTCTCTGTCGCTGAGTTATGATTCCTCCCTAATTTGTTCCTCGATTCAAGGAGAGATACATTATGAGTAACTTTGAGAACCCATCTTGTATTTCTCTTCTTTAAGGGTTGGAGAAATTTCCCTAAGGAGATGCAAGCCGTTGCCAAGCGAAGAATGAGATTTTGCCTGACCTTCCTAGCCCAGCATGCATGCCTCGGCGTGTGCATCTTTCCTAGCGCAGAAAGCAACCGTGCCAAATTACAGCATTTGGAGCCACCTCAGCAGAGTGACACAGGCAGCTTTGTGCCACCGAAATGGTTGAGGCGACTGAGAACACTGACAGCCCATGGAACAAATAGTCCGATGGGTGTTGCAACTTAGAGTCTGTTGGGAAGTATTCACCAAATTCTGTGGTGGCTCCACCAGAGGTAGAATGGACCCCCACCCCACCAGGTCTGAGTGCAGTTTAGACCCTGAGGCTGGACGATGGGATGTGCCAAGGCTCAGGAGTGCCCACTATGGCTCACATAATCCAGCCCAGGCTCTCCCCGACTTGGCCAGTGTCATCTGGGGAGGATCTGACTTCCAGCTGCACAGTTAGCAGTAGGGCCCCAGGATGTGTGGCTTCCACAGCGCACTCTGGGCCCCCAACCTGCTGAAGACTGCATGACGCATACTAGGCTTTCCTGCACTAGTTGACAGCATAAAAGAAGCAGGGAAGGCTCAGTTTATATTGTACAATTCTGACAGGCATCCCCATACACTCCACCACAACAGGGGATAGGACACTCTCCCAAGTACCCAGTTTCAGAATCCGTCAGGCTTCCAAAATACTGCCGAACAATCAGACTCGCGCTCACAGGGCCAATCCCGAATTCACTTCCGGTTTCATAATTGCCCAGCAAAGCTCCTGCTGCCCTTCTAACCCACATAAGCAGAAGACAAGCCGATGGCCCATCCAGCGCAGCACTCGGCTCACACAGTGGCAAGCCAGCTGCCTGCAGGGTCCGTCAAGCAGGATGGGCACAAGGGCTCCTTCTGCACAAGCTGGTGCATGTAGGCACGCCGCCTCTGCTGCAGCTGGGAGCACACGGCCAGCCAGGCTGGTCCCACGGAGGGCCTTCTCCTCCAATCCCTTTTAAGAACCTTCCAAATTGCTGGTCATTCACCACTGTTTCCTGCAGCAGCGAATTCTGCAGTTTAACTATAGCAGGCATGAAGAAGCACTTCCTTTTACCTGCCCTCAGTCTCCCTCCCACCCATCGGTTTCATGGGTTCCCGAGTTCCAGTACTGTAGGAGAGGGAGAAAAAAATCTCCCTGCATCCCACTTTCTCCATACCATGCAAAATGTTAAACTCCTCTGTCATGTCTCTCTCTACTTGCCTTTTTTCTAAGCTAAACAATCTCAGTTATTGTAACTGCTCCTCACAAGGGAGTTGTGCCAACCGCTTCATCATTTTTGTTGCCCTTCTCTGCACTTTTCCCAACTCAATAATGTTCTTTTTCAGGCACGGTGACCAGAAGTGTACTCGGTATTCTGCGTGTGGTGGCAGCAAAGGTTTGTGTAAGGGGAGTATGTTCTTGGCAGTTCTATCTGGAATTCCTTTCCTAATGATGCCTGACTGGAGCTTGCCTTTTGCGCTGCAGCTGCGCACTGGGGCCAAGATTTTGATCAAGGGTCCACTGCTACTCCAAGATCCCTTCTTGATCAGTCACTGGTAGCTCAGATCCCATCAACGGATACTTGAAATTGGGATTTTTTTGTCCCAAGAAGCATTACTTTACATCGAGCTGCTATTCTGATGCCTATTCTTCAGCATAGAGAGAGGCCTTCAGAACTCCCACAATCCCTTTTGATTTTAACACCCCAAACAGTTTGGTGTCCTCAGCAAATCTGGCCACCTTGCCACTCACTCCTTATTCCAGATCATTTAGAACAGGTTGAAAAGCTCAGGTCCCAGTAAAGGACCCTGTGGGACTCCACTGGGAACGTCTCTATTGGGAGAAATGGCCATTTATCCCCATCCCTGTTTTCCATTCTTTAACCAGTTACTGAGCCATGGGAGGACACCCCCCCACCCTTATTCCATGACTGCTTAGTTTGCTCAGGAGCCTTTGGTGAGGGACTTCGTTAAAAACCTTTTGGAAGCCCAAGTAAGCAAGGTCTACCGATCACCCCTGTCCGCACGCTTGCTGACACACTCAAAAAACTGTAATAGATTAGTGAGACTGACAGTCCACTTCCCTTGCAGAAACTGGTCTGTCTGTGGACACCCGATAGACTTCCATGCTGTCATCTGTTAAATGTCCATGACTGCTCCATGATATTGCAAGACAGCCATCAAATCTAAAGTATTTTTTAGCCTACTATGTACAGAAGTCTTGATGAGGATTTATTTGATGTGGAATTCATCCATCTTACATAACTCTTCACCCAACACAAAGGATTCTGAGTAGCACAAAAGTCTGCACACACCTACAACAGCAGAAAGCAGGCCCCTACCTGTTTTGTATGCCTATCTTTTGTTGCTAAGGTAAGGGTATTTGAAAATTTACAAGAGTTCACTATGACAGACCTCCAGGATCCTTGTCCTACAAAATTAGTCTCCATCCTTTCGCTTTGTAACAACAGACCTGGGAAGGCAAGAGCTGTGTTTAGTGACATCCAGATGGCTCAAGCAAGCAAGCTGTGTTATAAGCTACTGTGGGAGCTGAAATCCACCTCCTGTCCTGAAAAAAGGGCCCTCCAGCAATTCTGGGTGAAAACGAAACAAAGAATAGCTTTCAGAAGGCCTGCTTCATTGCAGGTGTTTCTCTTATCTATAAATGATCCGTTTCTTAAACTCAGCTGACAAATAGTGCTGCCTGTTTGACAAAAGAGAGGGCTTTGTGATTAATTTCATGACTAGGGGATTTCAGATCCTGGTTGCTCATTCTGCTTCATTACTGGGGAATTTCAATACATTCCAGTACATTTCAAACAAACCTGGGATGGGTCATATTCACACCTAGTGTCCCTAGGAACACATTCTCTGCAGCATTAACTTTCCCATTATTGGGGGGGGGGATGGAAAAGAGGGTGGGGAGGGAGGCGGTACCCCCACATCAAGTTGAGCTCATGAATCGTTAAGCGTCCTCTTAGTCTGCAAAACACCTTGCAAGTCCTCGCTCCTAATACTGTGCTAAGAGACAGCTTAACCCAGCTTATTAAACCAAGAGGCTAATCAATAAGATGGATCATGTTGCCTTAATAATCCCCCAGATCACATCTATTTTTGGAACAGACTAGCAGCAGCATTAGGGGCTGGAGGTTATGCCCGGTGTATTTTGGGAAGAGATGGGAACATCTGCCTGGCAATGGTGGACAATCAGGTTTGGATCGTGGGGTTTGGAGATTCCTTTGCCACAGCACCTGAAAGTGCTTGCAGCTTTTCTATTTTAATTCTGCTGCTGAAAACAAGAAGTTTCTCTCCCACTCCTTTGCGTAGACTTTCTCCTCAGTAACAGTTAGGGTGGTAGGGAAGCCGGGCTGCTTCAGCCAGTACTAAAGGGTTGCGAAATCTGGGGCATGCTGCAACAAAGCAACAGAGGGCAATGCAGCAAAGCAGAGAGAATTCTGCACTTGCATTGGGATGCACTTCACTAAGGGCTGGTTCACACCTGCACGAGCAACCGTTGGTTACCTGAGGACTCATAGCCGCAAGCATGAACCTTTTCTACAAAGAAGCACCACGTCTGAGATGATGTTAGACAATATTTGCTTTCCCTTTCTTTGATGTGTGATCTGTTCCAGCTTATTTGCCGTTGCTGCAGTCATTAAGCAATGAACACGCGTGCATATGGGAACCAGCCCTAAATCAAGAAAACACCCCCTCTTCTCCGTACATGCAGCATAAACCGTGATTTCAGAGTTGAGTGATTCACTCCAATCGTTTTGATCAGTGGTGGTAGTGAGGAGAGCGCAAACACTCGTAAATATTTGATTGGTAATGCACTGACCAAAGCTCACAGTGTCCGAACACGCTTGGGTCGCTGTGACCCCATGGGCTGCCAAACAGTCTTCTTGCTTCTAGGTTGGTTTCACTGCATTCTGCCATCGCTCCTGCAATCGGACAGCTCAAGGTTTTTCTATTTAAAGTAAGCACTCCCTCAAGAGAACCGTTTTCGAGACTGCAAAGAACCGAAGCCCGAGTTGGGAAACAGGAGGGGAATGAACATGCGAACACTGCATTCATGGTTGGAAGGGGGAAGTGTGGCAACTCGGTCCCCAGGAGGCCACCCCCCCCCTCCTGGCCCCAGTCTGCTTTTCCAGCCCCCAGCCAGTTGGTGGGGCCCGTCTTTTGTGCCATCCCACTGACTGTAAAACGCAGGCACCTCAGGTCTGTTTGCTGGCAGGAAGAGCGTGAAGCTGCCTTGTCCTGGTGTTTTTGCGCCTGCCCTCTTTGTTTTTGCCCTCAGACCCCCACCCCAGAATGCAAGCCTCCCCTGAGAGCTTCTCTGATGTGGCATTCAGCTGCCACCCCTGCCTTAGAGCCATGTGGGCCAGTGACCCTGTGGGGCCTGCAAGCCTCCTGAAGCGCAGCAGGACTGCCCGGCCCTTGGAGAGATGTCGGCAGGCGGCTTAACATGGATGGAAGGCTCAAAGTGGCTCACCAGTGATTCAAAAGTGCATCCTTGCAGCTTTCATGGCTGAGCACCCAGCGCGGCATCTCCTTTCACAAAATCGCAGGCAGGGGAGAAGTTACTCTGCCAGAACTTCTCCCTGTCACACACCTCCCTGGCCAAGCCTGATGTGTCCACATTTCAGGCTAGAGGCTGCCCTTGCCCAAAGCAAAGAAAGGTGGCCTAGTGCTGCCACCTGCTGGCTGGATCCTGCACTGGAGGCCTCTGCAATTCCTGGCTGAGCGCTAGCATACACAGGAGATCATCAGCACTGCAGTCAAGGCCGGGGCTGACAGCCTTGTGAGTGATGCCGCTCAAGAGCCAACCAGGCAGCACAGAGCATCTCCTTGGAACGACAGCTGGCAAGGCGCCCCCACACACTGAGTGCGAAAAGAAGCCACGGAGGGGGGCGACTTAGTCAGGGCTGCAATTTACAGCCCGGTCCCATGCACACCCACGCAAAGGAAGCCCCGCCAGATTCGGTGGGCTTCCTCCAATGTAAATGTGTAGACGAGCACAGCCTTGATCCACTCCTTGCGCTGCATGTCTCACCGTTCAGCCTCGCAGACATGCATGTTTCCCAGGACCGGCCGCTAGCATTGTGTGGTGGCATCAACACACACTCTGGGGACACAGAGCCAGGCCACCCAGATACAGTGTTTGACTGGGAGAATTTCATACAGTGACCACAGGGGTGGGGAGCAAGAGGAGCATCAGGCCTGCCCCCCTGCGATTGCTCTCCTCAATGCAGGCGCGCGATTGATGAAAAAATGGTAGCAGGAAAATCGACCCAGGGAAAGCTGCAGCTGTTGTACCAAATCTTAACTATCCTGCATTCTCATCAAAGAAGAATGTCCCTTGGGAAGGAAGCCTCATGTTTTCTTAGGAAGAGCATCACTTATGAGAAAGTGGCTAATAAGACTGGTGTGAAAGCAAGCCCAAAGCAGTTTCTAGCAAACAAAGGCTGGTATTGCAAGCTCAACAAAACAAAACACACAATCTGTTTGGAAAGGAGGAGAGAGAGACAGCACGGTGCAGTCGCTAGAGTGGCATTTTCCAACCAGGTGCTCTCCAGAGGTTTTGGGTTTCAACCTCTATCAGCCTGCTTGGCTAATGGTTATGAAAGCTGGGAGTTGTAGTTCAGTACGTATGGAGGGCACCAAGCTGGGGAAAGTTGGACTGGAGTGTTGAGCCAGGAAGAGAAGGAGCTGTGTCTGTGAAGCTTGTGGCTCCATCACAGCATTTTGGCTTCACCTGCTTCACAGAGCCAAGGGGAAGGTGAACAGGGAAAACAGCACATGGGTCAGCCTGGGCTTCCTGAAGCAGGTTCCCTCAGGGCGCTGCCTTCCAGATGTACCGGACTACAATTCCCCGCGCTAGGCATGTTGGGTGGGGATGATGTGAACTGTAGTCCCAATGCATCTGTTAAGGGGGGGGGCAGGCCAGAGGAGCCTGTGTCAGGCAGCAAATGAACTATCTACACTGAGCCTGTAAAATGCAGTGACCAGAGTGGCGGTGTGGCTGACGCGCAGTCTTGCATTCCCATGCAGGTGCACGTGCCACCAGATCTCCTTGGCTCAGCAGGCAAAAAGCAGGTCATTTTTCCTATGATAAGGGTGAAAGAGCCCCCCAGAAAAGGAGCTTCCTAATGGGCCGCCATATCCTGACCTGGCCTACTTTAGTGCTCCTTGCAGAGCTATGTCATCTCTTCCGGACCACAAAGGGGTCCTCTTCCTTTGCACATTGGGAAACACTTCCTAGGCCGAGCCCAGGAGAGCAGGTTCAGGAAAAACAAAACCGAGCCCCTTCTCACCCATCGTTTCACTCCCTTGTAAAATCCACTCCTGCTGCAGCAAAGGCCCAAAGAGCTTCCTTTTCCTCTTAAGGATGAGACAAACGCACTTCATGGGTAAGGACAGTTCCGTGCAGAGCAAGGCCAAGGGTGTGAAAGGTGGACAGTGAAGAAAGCGGACAGGAAGGACACGATGTGTTCCAAAAATGGTGCTGCAGGTGAGCTTTGCAAATACCCTGGACTGACGGAAAAACAAGTGAGTGGGTCTTAGATTATATCGAGCCAGAGCTTCCCCTAGAAGCAAAAATGACAAAACTGAGGCTGTCATAATTTGCGCACATTGTGAGAAGGCAAGACTCCCTGGAGTTGACCATAATTACAGGGCAAGTTGAAAGTGCAAGAGGAAGGCCAAACATGAGATGGATCGTTTCTGTAAACAAAGCCACAGCATGGAGTTCACAAGAGCTGAGCAGGGCTGTCAAGGGAAGGACATTCCATTCAAAGAGTCGCCGTAAGTCAGGGGCAGCTTGACAGCACATAACAACAGAACTAGACTATTTTTTCTAATAGTCAAAAATAAAAAAAAATAAAAAGGGTGGGGAGAGAAAAAAAAAGGACTAGACAAATGCACAGAGCAAATGGGCCTGGACCCTTGGCTTGAAGGTACCAGCATCCCCGTTCTTGTTTATACCTGCCGGATGGGCTCAGGAATCCGGAACTTGCTGCAGGAATGGACCAGTCGCACAGCGGATGAAAGACTCATTTTGTGGCCCACAGAGACATATACAGGTTTGGTGCTCTTGGCACAGCTGCGCAAGGCCTGGTAGGAACCAGAGATTGTCTGCATTACTTTGAATCCAGAGCAAATGCCAAATGTTTGATTGACAGAGGCACAAAAGAGGGGGAGTGAGAGAGGGAAACACTGGCTTGCCAGTTTTGCTTACAACACTATACAGGAGAATGTTGCAGGCAAGTGTATGTGTGTTGGGGGGATATCGTGGCGCTTGATGTTTCTTGGGATCTGTAGAAGTGGGTGCTTCTAGGACAAATATGAGCAACCTGCAGCCACTCTCCATGTGGCCCTCTGCAGCCTTGGAAAGCCTACCCAGTTGAACGATCATCGACCATCAGCTGGACAGTGGGAAAAGGCAGTGGTTCTGGTAGCAGTGGTCTTGATGGGGCTGCTGGTGGAGAGATGCTTTAAGCATGTAATTCTGATGCAGCTGAGTTCGTCCCTAACAGTGATGCGGGAAAGGCTCATGGCCACAGAGAAACAGTAGCCTGGACTGGGCTTGTGAATGCGGAGAGGCTTTAACCCCTTCCCCCTTCACAGTGATCTTGGTGCTTTAGGGCGCAAATCTCCCTTCTGCACTGAGCACAAATGAAACTACACTTCAAACCAGGATTGCTGGGGTGGGGACAGTCTTTACACTCCTTAGTCCACAATTCCACCCTTAAACTCAGTAGGTAGGCAGGAAAAGTTTAAGCTTCTGCATCCCTGGACACTGAGGTGTGGGCACACACGCATACGTGCGTGAGTGATGCATGCTCTTTTCTCTTCTGGCTACTGCAGCACTTGGCCTGAAATAGGTGGTTCAGCATGCTTTCTCCAGAGCCCCTCTCCCCTGGGGTGGGATATGGCAGCGCCTCTTTCTCTGGAGGCAAGAAATGCTTCTGCAGTACAGCTTTCTGCAATGTGGCATTACTGTCCATTACAGAGGAAACGCTTGTACTGAGCAGCAGAACCCAGATCCGGCCAACGTATCGCTCAGTGGAGGATAGCGTGCAAGCTGGGGTCAAGCAGTCTGCTCCGGCTCACTTTTGCCAGTGACTTGCTGTTTCCCACTCCTCCCAAAAGGTATGCCGTGTCCACCAGTGGCCCTGCTGATGCTCCTCCTCCTCGATGTCACCATCTCCGCACCTGACCTCTTCAAGCATGCAAGCAGTGATGTGACTATACTGGTGCAAATGCTACATTTCCTCTCCTGCAACAATACTTACCATACCCAAGATTCTCCCTGAACTGCTTGACAGAGCAAAGGTATTTCCTCCTTTCTGAAGGGCACGGATCTAGAATAAGAGGAAAGAGATTTCTTATGACTGAAACAAGCTAGAACAGATGAAGCTGGTCTGATCAATCTCAGGCGAGTTCCTACAGCTCCCCCGACAGGAAGACATGGGATCACACTAGCCAGAGCTTTTCTTGGCCACTGTCACTTCGGTCCTGCTGAGCTGTACTCCAGTTTCCAAATAAAAAGCCTGAGACTGGATTCAGATTCAGGAATAGTATGGATTTTTCACATATGTACCCCAACCTCTTTTGTAAAACAAATGCACATGTATGAATATGCATGCCATGAGGCAAGACTGCATTGTCCCATGGTGGAAAATGCAAGGTGGCCCCTACATGACACATGAATCTGCTTACAGCAGGCCCACACGGGACACTGTATCGCCATCACTCCCCTTTTAAAGTGCTTCCTCCTAATGGAAAAATGCTGGAATGGCAACTGCAATGAAGGAAGCCAGTAACACACAAAATGTGTGTTCAGAATTCTTACTCTGGACTTACTTGTTCCTTGTGAACGTCATCATTGGTCAGACCCTCAACCTGCAGAAGTTTTTTGGCTACACCAATACAGGGCAGACCTGTGAGTATGCCAAGATGGCAAGCGATGCCAAAACCTGCCAAAGGAGAAATAGAAAAGGAGCAGGCTGAAGGCAAGGGAGCTTCTGGATTTGTTCTGGAGGGAGAATCCAGAGCCAATTGATAAGGTCACGAGATCCAAGCTGACAAAGAAAGGGTGAAATATGCTGGAAGGAGCCAGATGCTCACGGTTGCACAGATCTACATGAGAAGTTGTGCCATCTCCACCGGTGGTCCACCTGCTCTTGCTGTTCCTCCTCGATGTTAGTGCCTCTTTGCCTGCCCACTTCACACACGCCAGTAGCAAAGCGACTGCACTGGTGCAAAAATTGTCCAGCATCTTTTCAGACTAGCCTTTCTAAATGCAGGCAAGCTCCAGAAGTGTTGGAACACAGTCTAATCCTTTCCCACGGGAAATTAAGCTACAATGAAAACCTCCAAGGGGCAAATAAAAGTAAATACAAATATCACTGGAGAAACAACCCAACGAAGCACCGCCTTTTACTTCTTTGTGTACATGAAAGTGGGAGGGACACTGCCCCGTATCGCTGCACTGAAGTGGGTTGCAGGAGTTGGCTGTGCTGGGGACTGGAGTCAAGCGACTTGCTCCCGAATCTGCCTCGAGTTGTGCCAGGCACTTGACTTGGGAGCACTGAGTGACTCGACTCGACCCAGGATTTCTACTGTTTTTATGACTGAGCCACTCCAGGGCGTATCACCCACATCTGATGTGCGGCTGGAAAACTTGGAGCAATCTTGGGGGAAGGCATCTGTGATGGGCTGGAAGGCCGGCATGAACACAGCAGAGGTGGAGGGAAGGCAGGGAGGGAGTTTCGAGGGGGCAGGGGCAGGTTAGCGGGGAGGGGTTGCAATGGGAAGGCTTCAGCTCTTCTTTTTGGCAAGGGGGAGTCGCTGGGAGGGAGGTACTGGGGTGGGGCTATTGGGGTTGCCATATAGGGGGAATGCTTCAGCTCTTTTTTGGCACATGCTGCTCTCCAAGGTGGGAAGTACAAGAGTGCTTCTCCTGCCTGCTGCCTCTGCTCTCTTCCCGCATGTTTCCAGGGAGGAAAGAACAGCAACCTCAATAAATTGCTGGGGGTGGGGGTGTCTCCAAAAGTGGAGGTGCACTATACACCCTGCTAAGCCACTGCATCACTTACAATCATCCAGAGATTGCTGCTTTTGCTGCCTATAGTATCAGGCATTGTTCAGGGCAGACTCCAGAACACTTGGATCAATATCAGCCAGGTTTTTTTAGCCAGGGTGTTTTTTTTGGGGGGGGGGCTGAAGGCCTGCATTTTGGGGTGATATACAATGAAGATGAAACCAGTGCACTCAAACAAAAGGTTGTATCTGAACTTCACCAGTGCTGCACCAGGCTTAATCAGAATCAACTGAGGTCTCAGTCTTCAACCACTGAAGGAAGTAACCCAGAAAGAAATCCGGTGTTTCCACTCTTTTTGCTCATTCTAAACCAAATACTGGAAATAACTTACTCTACCAAGTTGATTTTGTGCAAAGATGCATTTTATAGTAACCCTGTTGTAACTCAAAGTACTGAGTGTGGTCTGATTAACATGCTGGGGTTTTGGGGAAATCATTGCAAAGGGCTACAATTACTAACTGCAGCAGCTCTGAGTGTGTTTACGGTTCCAGCCAGCTCAGCACCAGCCAAGCAGGTGGTTAGTGAAGGTGGGATCATTATGAGACCTCACTGTACCAGGCAGGGGGCCAATTGTGTCAAGAAAATATTTCTTCTAAAATGCAATCTTGATACATTTGAATAACAGTGCCAGGCTGAGGGCCAATCATGTAACCCTCCCCCCCCCCCAGTTTTTCTAAATTGCTATCTTGATAAATTCAAGTAACAGCACAGCTTTATTTAAATAAAACATGCTTGAAGCAAAGGACTTCAGTGCATCACTGAGAGAAGTGCAGATGGGAGCACGGGGGTGGGGGGTTACAACTTTCCCACCCGCAAACATACACGCCATCAGCAGCTCCCTTTTTCTGTTAGAGTTGGCTCTTGAGACTTGAGAAACTTGGCTCAAAAATGTCTTCAGTGACTTCAGACTTGACTTGAACTTGAGATGGAGTAAGGGACCTGAACACATCTCTGGAAATTGGGAAACTTCAGCTAGGCATGGTTTTTGCATTCTGCTGCTTCTCGGTGGGGTGCGCTTTCACAGACTCATAGAGTTGAAAGGGGCCAGAAGGCCGTCAGGTCCAACATCCTGCTCAGTGCAGGGCTCACAGTTCAGCCATCCCTCTCAGATGGCTGTCCAGGTGCATCTTGAATGCCTCCAATATGGGAGAGCCCACAACCTCCCTTGGTAATTCCACTGTCAGGAAACAGTTGGGAAATGTTGAGCCCCTTATTCCATGTCCTGTACTCTGGGATGATCGAGAAGAGATCCTGCCCTTTCTCTTTGTAACAGCCTTTCAAATACTCATGGAGTGCCATCAAATCTCCCCTCAGTTTTTCCTTCTCAAGGCCTAACATGCCCAGTGCTTCCTATCTCTCCTCATGGGGCTTTCTTTCCAATCCCTGGATCATCCCTGTTGCCCTCCTCTGAACTCTTTCCAGCTTGTCTGCGTCTTTCTTAAAGTGTGGTGCCCTGAGCTGGACACAGTGCTCCAGATGAGGCCTACCCAGTGCTGAGTAAAGGGGAACTAGTACTTCACATGATTTGGATGCTCCTATTCATGCAACCTAGCATAGCATTTGCCCTTGTTGCAGCCACATCACACTGTTGACTCACATTCAGTTTATGATGTACAGCAATTCCAAGATCCTTCTCACTTGCAGTATTGTTGAGCCAGGTATTCCCCATCTTGTGATGATGCATTTGGTTTCTTTTTCTTAAGTGCAGAACTTGGCATTTGTCCCTTTTGAATTTCATTCTGTTGTTTTCAGCCCAGTGCGCCAACCCATCAAGATCACCTTGAATATTCTTTCTGCTTTCCAAGCTGTTAGCTATCGCACCCAGTTTTGTGTCATCTGCAGATTTGATTATCATTCCTGCACCTCCCCATCCAAATCATTAATGGAAATGTTGAGCAGCATGTGCCCAGGACTGAACCCTGCGGTACCCACTAGTTACCTCCCACCACCTTGAGGAGGTGCCATGGATGAGCACTCTCTGATTCCAATTTTGTAGCCAACCGTGGATGCACCTGATCGTTGTTCCATCTAGCCCACTTTTAGCTGGTTTGCTAATCAGGATATCATGGGGCACTTTGTCAGAAGCTTTGCTGAAGTCAAGATAGATTGTGTCCACAGCATTCCCACAGTCCAGCAGGGAGGTTACTGAATCAAAAATGAAATCGGATTAGTCTGGCAGGATTTGTTCCTCAAAATCCACACTGCCTTCTAGCAATCACTGCATTGTTTTCAAGGTGTCTGCAGACTCACTGCTTTATAATCTGCTCCAGAATTTTTTGGTGGGATGAGTGTGCTTTGTGTACCGGCCCTTCCCTAAGCCTGGCCAACTCCCCTTTTTCTCTGTCTGGGTGGATATGGAGATTAGGAGCAGAAGGAGAGAGCAAATAACTGAGCAACTGACCAAGTAGCTCTGCAGAAGCTGGATCAAGCACTGCTGGCTCCCCACAGTGGCTCCTCCAGAACTGCTGGGCAGGATTATAAGCCCATCAAAGAAAATGTGATTGTTACTAGATCGCAATGAGAATTCAGGAGTCTTACCTCTGTGATGAAGTATGCCATTTCCATCTACAAGAAGCACCTAAGAGAGCCACAAAGGGACACATAAGTTATAGGAGATACATGGCAGGAGGCCTTTATGATAACAGAGCATGTGTTTGTGCATCTCTGTGTGAGAGTATTTATTGTTACGTGCAACAAGTTGTCTCCAATTCACGGTGACCTTTGTGTCTTGAAGAAGCAGTCACTCCCCAATAAGTATTTTGTTCCGGTACATCCTGGCATTTAAATGGACTGAATGGTCATGATTACCACTTGATGTATGCAAGATACTCAACACTGTGAAGCTGCAGAATATTTTTACTGGGGCACAAAAGTGAAGTAAGCAACAACAAACTGGCGCTTGTTGGTTGCAAAGTATTGATTCCCCCTTGCTGCGACATGCCTTAAGAAGCTCTGGTGCAGCCCACTGCTTCCAGAACTCATGTTTTGTAGGGTGTTGCATGGATTCCACCTGTGTGCAATTCCAGCACCACGTGATCTCACAGTAAATGCATCTGCTCTTGGAAGGCCCCAGAGTTTGTTGGATGGCATAAGCAGACAAACAGCATCATAGAGACCATGGTGCTATCAAAGCAGCTCTGGATAAAGTTATGCAGAAGCACTAATCAGGGTTAGGCCATAAGACAATATCCCAAGCTATGACGCAGAGTGCCAGTAAATCCGTGATTACAAAATGGAAAGACCATGGCTCAGCTGTGACTCTGGCCAAAGAAGGCTGCCCACCAAAACTGGATGACTGGGTTAGGAGGACTTGATTGATTGATTGATTGATTGATTGCATTTGTATGCCACCCCATAGCCAAAGGCTCTCTGGATGGCTCACAGTATGCAATATAAATATATTTATAATACAGATAAAAATAAATAATAAAAAACAAAACCATAAAACATAGTAAAATTAAAATACATTATAAATACAACCATATAAATAGGAAACAGGAGAAAAATAAGCACAATATAACCAACAACAACCACCACCAATAAAACAGTAAACAATAAAATAGTACACCAGCAGCAAACGAATAATCCAATCTAAAAACGGATACTGAATTTAAAAAGAACAGTAGCCAGAGAAGCAACCAAGAGATCAAGGATAACTCTGAAGGAGCTGGAGAGGTTTGCAGCTGAGATAGAAGAGGCTGTTCATAGGACAGCCATCATCCTATGTTCCAGAAATCTGGGCTCTGTGGAAGAACGGTGAGAAGAAAGCCACTGCTAAAACAAACCATATCAAAGCCTGTTCTGGAGGTTGCGAAAAGATATGTGGGAGAAGCAGCAAACATGTGGGGGGAAAGGTTCTTGGGTCTCATAAGAACAAATGTGTGAAGGTCTTATGAGACAAACATTTCTGCAAAATAGTATGTGTGGCACAAAGTCAACAGTGCTCATTGCCCTGAGAACACTTGCCTCACTTGCCAATGGCAGCATCTATAAAAGTTCTGTAAAATTATTCAGGCATTTTCAAAGCGTAATATCAATTTAGTAGTGTAAGATATTCCAACCAAAGCCTAAAACAAAAACACACTAGGGCAAACTAAATGCAACAGACTAAAAACAGCAGCTGCAAACCCTGATTTTCATATGCATTTATGCAAGCTTACCGACATACATTTAAATGAATACATTTACACACACCTCCACTAATGTAAAGCAGAAGTTATCAATGGACACCGAGTATCTAGGAAAGACAGACAGACAGATGTTCTCAGTGGAAAGTACAGATGAAGCAGAAGGGAAAAACAGCTACTGATGCTTATATGAAACTGCCACATTCACAGGCTGGATGCCACTGAATATTGTCACTGGGAAGCACAAGGAGGAGATGGCTTTTCCTTCAAACCCTGTTCTTGAGCTTCCCATGGGGGCACCTGGTTCGCAGCTGCAGGACTCAGGATGTTGGGCTAGCTGGACCCTTGGCCTAAGCCAGCAGGACTCCTCTTAGGTTCTTATGCAAAAGAAAAGTATCACACCTGAGGCCTGAGGGCAGGCTCTTTTTCCTCTAGTCGTTGCACTGCTTCCACAAGAAAAGAAACTTCTCGGAAGGCTAGGAAACCCGCCACATAGGGGGCATGCACATCCACCATGCGGCTGTCTTCATACAGCACCTTAGAAGGAGGGCGAATGCATAGTGAATGAATTTCCTGCAGCGTAATAGGAAAGCAACATTTGCAACTTCATCCAGGTTACGATTAAGGAAGCTTTGTACTTTTCCTTTGTCTGCCGAGTTGCTCTTTGAGATCTTCCTCAAAGCTGAAACTTCTAACACCTGCCAGCTCAGTTTGACCCATCAGCCTTGTGAATATATAAGCAGGTTTTGGCAGCAAATACCCAAAGTCAGATGCATCTTGATTCCCAAATGTAGCAGACAATAGATCACATTTTGGTTTTCTTGCAACTAAAGTAGTACTAAAATATGCACATTCTTCAATGTCTCAAATGCCTTGGCTTCAACTGACAAAAGTAATGAAAACCAACAAAAAGTACATTTACTTCCAGAATGTTAAATAAAAAGATGTTTGCAAGTTGCAGAGGGTAAGTTTTCAGCCTTAGTGACATTTGCCAGCTTATGCCTTCTGGAAAGCAGTCAAGAGTTACTATGGCAAAACCTATCTAGAGATGCTAGAAGTTTACATGTAGAATGGATAAAGAACTTTTTTCTCTTTTGATAGTTTCTGTCAAGTACATGTAAATTACTATCTTGTGAGGAGAAAAATCGCACTGATAATACACAAGTGCACTGCATACAGAATTCAAAACAATGGGAAGCATATCAACATACCTCACTATCTTGGATTTCCTACAAATGGAAAAAGGCAGATACAACTGACAAATAAGCTTTTGAAAATGCTGCATATGTTTTAGAGTCAGAGAATACTGACTTGATGGAGGGCATTTTCAAGAAACAGAAAAGTACACCTTCTAAAAGGACAGGTAGTAGCACTGACCCTAGCCATAGGATGTTTAATTTGGGACAGATCCTAAAAATGACCATTATCTCTTGTCAACATGCCCTTGAAACATTGTCAAACCTATATGCTCAGCCTATAAAGCCTAGTATGAAAACATAGCAGCTGGGGATCACCAAACTGAAGTTATCCACCCAGCACTTAAAAGCACAAGGATATTTGGCTTCATAAAGCTCAAAGATTCCCTGTTGCTTCCTCAACACTCTCCAGGAGAAAATGCCCCAGCTGCAGAACAACTACCTTGAGGTCCGGGTAGCTGAGCACCACGAGTGATGCACAGGCACTGGTGTCGTCTCCTTTGACATAAGACAGGTCCACTCCTCCAACTCTTTCCAGTCCAGCAAAAGAGGGGTTGCTCTGCCACTCCTCTGTGTCTTCTTCAATCAGATCTGCTTTCAGCTGGGCTTGATCACTAAGACATACAACAGAGTTAAGTGGAATCTGCCTACTTCCAGAACTATAACAGGCTCAGGACAAGAACTTGTTTTTCCCAGACAGAGCAAAATCTGGATGGGCAGAAAAAACGTCATCCACAGTATGGACACTTATCCCATTACTGCCTCCAATAAGCAGGTTTTGCAGGTCTTGGTTATGTTTCAAAACTGCTAAAACCTGCAAGAGATGACTATGGGACAATTTGCACCAAAGCCAAGGACGCTTCTACCATACAATAATATTTGTTTTTAAAGAAAACCCACCAACATCCATCTCCACAGTAATATTATGTGTGATCTCTGCTGGCCAACAAAGCTTATGAAACTAATTCATTTTGTGTATGTCAACAGCTGTAACTTTCCACAAATACAAGGACACATCCCTCAAGTGAATTAAGGTCATCATATAAAGGAGTGTGTGTGTGCTGTGGGGGTAGTGTGGCTTGCTTTTAGCTGTTCCACATGTTAATATGCTTTAACTGAAATGGTAAGCAAAGCAGTTAAGGCCAAACCACTCCACTTTTGAAACTAAATTCATCCTTTTCATTGTGAAAAGCATTGCTTCCTGGAACTACTTCTCAAGGTTTCTACCAGTTTCATTGGCCTTGCAAAGTTATGTTCATTCTCCTTATCAGACTCTGGGGAACTTGGGGGGGGGGGGGGGGGGGAGAGAACAGACCAAGCTATTTACAAGAAGAGTGGCATTTGCTCTAGGTATTAGGTAACCCTCTCTCCTACATAACATTCATATGTCGAACCATCCAAGCACAGCAAAACCAAACACTTCGTGGCAAGGTTTGTCAGAAAAGGCAAGCTGCCATGTTGCAGACATAAGGTTTATTTAGCCAAGCACAGCATGAGGCATGAGCTGAGCAATCTTATGCCCATTTGCTTGTGAGTAAGCCCCACTGAAGTTCTGGACAGGAATGGATGGAATGGCATTACAGGTGCAGGTTGCTTACTGTGCAGCAAAGATATGCTAAGGCTGAAATCCAAAGTGTACTCAGCAAGATTCACTTTTGAGTAAACATGCTCAGAACTGCTGCTTTCTAGACCTCTTGTTCCTTAAGGCAGGAAGGAGTTTTGTTTCTGCTCTCACAGTACAACTAGGCAATTTCAGGACCCTGGGCTTAATGATCCTATGGGGTCCTCTGAGACCACCAGTCTCCCCACTCTAGGCTTTAAATTGATACTTCGTTCCTGATACATGAGAGCAAGCACATGAACAGCAAAAACTCTTGCCAACCCTGATAAAAGAGAAGTACTCAGAGCACGTGCAGTTCTGCATTTTTTAAATCATCAGAGGCCCAGCACTACCAGGACTGTTTTGCTTTTTGTGCTAAGCACTGAAACAGAACAGAGTTCGCTTCTGTCGTTGTGATCCTAAAAACCTGTACTTGCAAATAAGAACCGTTTAGATGGGGAAAATGATACTATGTTTTACAGTAAAAATGAGTACCCTGTCGGTAACCACGCACATACCGATCAGTTGCTCCCGCACTCCAAAACATAACAAGGCGGGAAGGCTGCATGGGGCAGCGTCAGCCCTCGCCGGACCAGGCGCTGAGGCGAGGCCTGTTCGCTTCTGTCCCCATTTCCGGCTGCTCTCTAGCTGGTCATTGAGTCCAGCGCAGGGACCAGACTACAGCATCACTGCCTCCTTGATTGGCTCCTGCCCCCCCTAGCCTTAAAGTTCCTTGAGAAACTGCAACCGACCCTAAGAAACTACGGGTGCACCACTCTTTGCCCGCTCAAAAGGACGGACTCGCAGCGGAGCACAGAACTTGAGGCACAACAGAAAGATCTTGGCGGCTTGCTGGGGGCCAAGTCCGCGGAAACTGCGCAGTGCTTGCAAGCGAACGGAGATGGAGCAACCATCGCAACAGAAAGTGGCGGGCGGTCGCGAGAGCACGAAATATGCCGCTCACAGCCGGATCCCAAACCTCCACGCATAGCTCTTAACTATGAAACCTCTCTCTTACGGCGTACATGCACCCAGTAGATGGCGGACGCGAGAACCGTGACTGAAGTCACAGCCAAAGAAATACAAATCCCACAGACCCCAGCGGCAGGAAGAGCCTCTGACACAGAAAGAGAGGCTCTTTTTCTCCCCCCCACCCCCAGCCAGCTCCCGTTTAACGGAAATCTTGGACCTCCCGTTTGCATTTTACCGCTCCCAGGAGCGCAAAGTGTCCTCTGGCAGTTGCACCTCCCTTTCTGGTCGGCTCGCCATTGCACTTGGGTTCTGATTTCCTTCTTCCTGCGTTGTCGCTGTATCAACAGTCCCCGCCCCTTCCCTACTACCGATTTAGGATGGCGCGGCATTTCTTGGGTGGTCTTTGAAGGGCACTCCCAGCAGACCCCAGCCAATCATGCAACTGGGGGATGCTGCGAGTTGTAGGGATTTATTCCCTCGTTTACCAGTGCTTAGGGATGCATCCTAAGAATACCACTTACTGGTATCGAAGGGCGATGAACACATAGGTTAAAAGTGAGCACATGTTAGAACTCTAACTTTGGGAGGTGACATCCCTAGTTTAACGCAGCTTGGTTGGATGGGTGGCAATTGTTGTTTTTGCCAGTCCTGAAGTTGCAGCTGACCCATTGCGACCCCATGGACAACATTCCTCCAGGCCTTCCTGTCCTCCACCATCCCCCAGAGTCCAGTTAAGCTCACACCATCTGCTTCAGTGACTCCATCCAGCCACCTCATCCTCTGCCGTCCCCTTCTTTTGCCCTCTATTGTTCCCAGCATTAGGCTCTTCTCCAGTGAGTCCTTCCTTCTCATTAGGTGGCGAAACTATTTGAGTTTCATCTTCAGTATCTGGCTTTCTAAAGAGCACTCAGGGTTGATCTCTATGACTGACTGGTTTGATCGCCTTGCAGTCCAAGGGACTTGCAGGAGACTCCTCCAGCACCACAATTCAAAGGCCTCAATTCTTCAATGCTCAGCCTTCCTTATGGTCCAGCTTTCACAGCCTTTCATCACAACTGGGAAAACCATAGCCTTGACTATACGCACTTTTGTTGGCAGGGTGATGTCTCTGCTTTTTAGTATGCTGTCTAGATTGGCCATAGCTTTCCTCCCAAGGAGCAAGCGTCTCAGCTGCAGTCACTGCAGGGATCTTGGAGCCCAAGAAAATAAAATCTGTCATTGCCTCTATTTCTTCCTCATCTGTTTGCCAGAAACTGATGAGACTGGATGCCATGATCTTAGTTTTCTTAATGTTGAGTTTCAAGCCAACTTTTGCGCTCTCCTCCTTCACCTGCATCAAGAGGCTCTTCACTTTCTGCCATTAGAGTGGTATCATCTGCATATCTGAGGTTGTTGATATTTCTCCCAGCAATCTTAATTCCAACTGGTGATTCATCTAGCCCCACCTTTCTCATGATGTGCTCTGCATATAAATAGGGAGGGCGACAGTATACAGCCTTGTCAAACTCCTTCCCCAGTTTTGAACCAATCAGTGGTTCCATGTCCAGTCCTCACTGTTGCTTCTTCACCCGCATATAGGTTTCTCAAGAGACAAATAAGATGGTCTGGTACTCCCATCTCTTTAAGAACTTGCCACAATTTGTAGTGATCCACACAATCAAAGGCTTTAGCATAGTCAATGAAGATGTTTTTCTGGAACTCCCTAGCTTTCTCCATGATCCCGCGTATGTTGGCAATTTGATCTCTAGTTCCTCTCCCTCTTCTAAACCCTGCCTGTACTTCTGGTAGTTCTCGGTCCGCATACTGCTGGAGCCTAGCTTGTAGGATTTTGAGCACAACTTTGCTAGCATGTGAAATGAGTGCAATGGTGCAGTAGTTTGAACATTCTTTGGCATTGCCCTTCTTTGGGATCGGAATGTAAACTGACCTTTTCCAATCCTGTGGCCACTGCTGAGTTTTCCAAATTTGCTGGTATATTGAGTGTAGCACTTTTACTGCATCATTTTTTAGGATTTTGAATAGCTCAGCTGGAATATTGTCATCTCCACTAGCTTTGTTGTTGCTCAGACATCCTAAGGCCCATTTGACTTCACATTCCAGGATGTCTGGCTCAAGGTCAGTGACCACCCCATCGTGGTTATCAGGGACGTTAAGATCTTTCTTATGTAGTTCTTCTGTGTAATCTTACCACCTCTTCTTAATCTCTTCTGCCTCTTGTTAGATCCCTGCCATTTTGGTCCTTTATGATGCCCATCTTTGCATGAAACATTCCCTTCATATCTCCAATTTTCTTGAAGAGATCTCTGGTCCTCCCTATTCTATTGTTTTCTTCTATTTCTTTGCACTGTTTATGTAATAAGGCATTCTTATCTCTTCTAGCTATTCTCTGGAATTCTGCATTCAATTGGGTGTATCTTTCCTTTTCTCCCTTGCCTTTCGCTTCCCTTCCTTCCTCAGCTATTTGTAAAGCTTCCTCAGACAGCCATATTGTTTTCTTGCATTTCTTTTTCTTTGGGATGGTTTTAGTTGCTACCTCTTGTGCAGTGTTGCGAACCTCCGTCCATAGTCCTTCAGGCAATCTATCAAATCTAATTCCTTAAATCTACTGTATATTCATCAGGGATATGATTTAGGTTATACCTGAGTGGGCTAGTGCATTTCCCTACTTTCTTCAATTTAAGCCTAAATTTTGCAACAAGAAGCTCATGCTCTGAGCCACAGTCAGCTCCTGGTCTTGTTTCTACTGAATGTATAGAACTTCTCCATCTTTGGCTGCAGAGCATAGTCAATCCGGTTTCTGGGTTGACCATCTGGTTATGTCCATGTGTAGCGTCATCTCTTGGATTGTTCGAAGAGTGTTTTCTATGACCAGCATATTCTCTTGACACGATTCTGCCAGCCTTTGCCCTGCTTCATTTTGTACTCCCAAGGCCAAACTTGCCTGTTATTCTGGTTATCTTTTAACTTCCTACTTTAGCATTCTAATCCCCCATGATGATAAGGACATCATTTTTGGTGTTAATTCTAGGTGTTGTAGGTCTTCATAGACCTGGTCAACTTCAGCCTCTTCAGCATCTGTGTTTGGGGCATAGACTTGGACTGCTGTGATATTGGTTTGCCTTGGATTCGAACTGAGATCATTCTGTCATTTTGGAGATTGTATCCCAATACTGCTTTTCCTACTCTTATTGACTATGAAGACTACTCCATTTCTTCTGAGGGATTCTTGCCCACAGTAGTATATCTGATGGTCATCTGAATTAAATTCACCCATCTCTGTCCATCTTAGTTCGCTCATTCCTAAAATGCTGAGGTTCAGTCTCGTCATCTCGTTTGACCATGTCCAGCTTTCCTTGATTCATAGATCTTACATTCCATGTTCCTATGGAGTATAGATCTTTATAGCATCGGACTTTCCTTTCACCACTGGATACATCCACAACTGAGTGTCCTTTTGGCTTTGACCCAGTTGCTTCATTCTTTCTGGTGCTACTAGTACTTGCCCTCTGCTATTCCCCAGTAGCACATTGGGCACCTTCTGACCTGAGGGGCTCATCCTCCGGCATCACATCTTTTTGCCTTTTGGTACTCTCCATGAGGTTTTCATGGTAAGGATACTGGAGTGGGTTGCCATTTCCTTCTCCAGTGGATCAAATTTTGTCAGAGCTCTCTGCTATGACCTGTCTGTCTTGGGTGCCCCTGCACAGCAAAGCTCATAGCTTAATTGCGCTACAAAAGTCCCTTCGCCACAGCAAAGCAGTAATCCATGAAGGAGTTGAGGACAATACAACAGCACAAATAATTTGGTACCAACGTTTTATTAAAAGAGGGGAAAATGCAAAATTGTCTCTATAACAACTGTAAAACTAGCCATATTTTACAGATAGCAAAATGATAGTGCAACCCAAGGCTTGCTAGTGACAGCACGGACAATGCACCACCCACCCAATATGATGTGAGGAGGAGGACAGGTGTTGTGCCTCTGCTATGTCCCTTACCTGCCTTCCCATTCAAAGAGAAGAGCAGTTATCCCTAGTAACCCACCTGTACAACTTTCTAGGTGTCATGTAAAGCTGAAATGAGCCAAACAAGTGTCCATCTGCAGAAAAGTAGCCATAATTGAAGCTCCAACTAGATAGTCAGATTTTGGCCTATACATGGGATGAAACCCCTGAAATAGCTCAGTGGAACTGAAGAAAGTATAAGCTTGTGTGATAGGATTAGCTATTACATCTTTTAATTGTAGTGCACATACAAAACAGAGCAGCAAAAAAAAAAAAAACCCACCATGATGGGCAGTGTCGTTTGAAGCAACTGTTGATATTTGCATATTTCAATTTTCTTCACCCTGAGAGAGACGTTATATCCAAATAATTTTGGTAAACCTGTTTAAAAGCACCACTGAATATCCAACAAAAATAAATGCTCCTTCATACTATAAATGGTGGACCATAAAGGTGAAAGTGAGGGTCTTCTCTTTTCCTCCCTCTGCAATCTGTTCTCTTGCACAGAATCTCCTCCGTTGTTGCTTCATGCTTACGTGCAATCTCAAACTACTGAACATACTGAATTGAGTTCAGCTAACATAATAGCGCCAAATAGAATGAAACACTGCAAAACATACAATTTTTGAAAGCATATTAAGGACATGGTTCCATACATTCAACACACGTTATTCTTCTTAAATACGATTAACTCATTGTCCTTGAACTAGCACTCCACTTACCAACTTTTTCAGCTCAAAAAGAAATTTGGTATATTGAGTTAGGATCAGTTACAAATTTAATATCAGGGAGTCAAATGCAGTAAGGTACAGGCTACAGCAGTATAAACCAGTGCAACTAAGCTATGGTAGTTTAGTCATGTGAATGAGATCTCAGGTTGCTCAGAAAACTGTATTTTTCATCACCCTCCCCCACCACGAACAAGCAAGCAAACAACAAGGCAGGAAGGTGACAGTCTAGTTGCCTCTTAAAAAAACCAACAGTCTGAGGAGCGACGTCAAACCAGTGCACTCAGCTCTGCGTCTATGTGGAATGACGTTTAAAGGCTGACACCTGAACTGTTTCCCTGACTGTATCAAGACATGACTTGTTCAGGTGTCTGGGACCAAAGGTGTGGGAAACGTCATGGGAAAAAGTTAGAAAGAAATGATGTCTCTAATCACAGAGGAAGGCACCTTTAGTAGGAAAGAAGGAAGAATGGAACACTTGGGAGTACAAGGAACAGTGCTTTGTCTCTTACCCTTCTAAATGACCCGAAGGAGAATGAGACATGTTTGTACAGTAGGTAATAACCTAAATTTATCAACTACGCCCACCCACAGTTTGACTATTTGTGAGGGTTCCCTGGCATTAAACCTTTTACCTCTGGACACTGAAAAGGCATTTCCTTTTTGTTTACCCCTTCCTCTGAATGTGGTTTTTGCCTCTGCTTGCATTTTCTAGAGAAAAACTATCCTACTTTTTAAAATCCTTCATCTCTCAAAGGCAGAAATGCCTTCACAAGTTTGTGCATCACAGTTCATTCTTTCAAGTACATGCTTTCATTTAGGATCTTCTTGAGCTATGAAAGCTCTTTGGCCCCATAATTTATTTTGTTCATTGCAAAACAAACAACATTGAAATCCAGTGCTTTGGTCTTCAAAAGTTTTTTTTCCTCAAGGGGAGAGGGGAATGAGTTTCTTTTGCTGCATTAACCAAGCCTTCGATTTCGTTTTAGAGTAGCCGCCAATTTCCAGGCATCAATGCATTGGGAGAGTAGGATTTCTTCTGGGAACATATTCTCTATCTCTTCAAGCATTTTGCTGTCTTTCTGTTCGAGGTATGAAATAAACGTATCCTTAAGGCTGAAAAATAGAGATCAGGGCAGGAAGAGAGAGAGAGAGAGAGAGAGAGAGAGAGAGATTACAACTATTCTGGTCACAGCTGCTCAACTATTCAAATGAATGTGGCAAAAGAGAAACTTTCCTCACCAGCACAAAGCAGCCAAATTCAGGTGAAGAACAAAGTAAGCCACCATAAAATGGACTTAGACTGGGTTTGCAGGATCTTACCTCCATACGGGGTTGAACTCTTCCTGTGGATGTTTCAATTTCAAGAGGATCATTTCGTGCAATTCTTGGAGGAAAGATTCCATGCCAGCCTGGACCAGGAAAGCAGTGAGGAGTTTAGTGCTCTCCATAGTGAGCTTATGTTTATAGGATGCGCTGACCTCTGCAAAGGGATCCTGGGAGGTAAATGGAGAGGAAGAGACATACAGTGGCATAGTTAGGGGACGAAGGAGAGAAAAAAGTGTAAGAAATGTCAAGTCATTCCAACTTTTTCCTACTGCCTACCCTTTTCAGATGTAGCAGCTGTTCAGATTTATGGCTAGCAATAAGCTGCCACAGTGCGATGGTGTGCTTTAGCTGACATCGACTCAGTGCCTGTGAAAGGAATGTGCAAACATTTATCATTGTTTTAAAAATCAAATTACTGTAAGCCTAGTTCTGAATTTTGGCTATAAAGATCAGACAGAATCAGCTATGTATTTGTTTAGATGAACTATAAATCTGAGTGTTTCTTATGTATATCTTCTAGGGACACTATATTAGCATCAATCTGCATTTTAAAAATAGCTTTAAATGTTGCTGTTGTCACTAATACCTAATCCACCCATATTTAATGTTTTCCTTTTACTTAAAATTGTGTGTGTGGTATAATACCTATTTCTGTATCTGTACGATGGAAACAACCCTCGAATGTAAAAAGAAGAGTTAAATCCTCCTAACAACTTCCATCTAGGTGCTGATCCAAGTCTACCTGATACCACAAGTGCTCCAAGCATTTTGTCGATGCATCCCAGAATCCCTTATCATGTTAGTGGATGGTACAGCATAACTAAAAGATCACTTATGACTGCACCATGAGTTGCTCCCCAGCATCCTCTATGAGTTCCAGAGGGTCCTAAGGCTGCCCTTCTTGGGTTAAAGAATATCTTGACCAGTAAGTGCAGTGCTACTTTGTAAGCAAGTTGAGCTGACTGAGTAAAATGCTCCAGCTGGAGAAATGCAGCAACCTCCTTGTGACAAAAAAGATGGACTTTCAAAAGCCAGCTTTATCTAACAGGATCTGACTATAAGTTGTACCCTGTTGGAGACCCTCCAAATAGCTCTAAGCCATGGCACAAGTGTGAAGAACATTCCTCCACCCTACATCCAAGGCCAAGAGGAAGGCTGGAGTTCACCACACTCTCAGAAAGTGTGAGTGGCAGAGAACGTGCTGCCAGAGCCAGGAAACTCTAGTCCACAATAGCTGGGAAAGCACCCACCTCTCTTAGCTTGGGGCATGTGATACCATTACCATTTGTGGTGGACATGCTTGACTCTTTCACCCCATAAGAGACACAGGCTGGCCCTGATCCCCTGCACTCACCTTCAGCACATGTGCACTTGTCTGACTGCCCATCTGTAGGATATTTTCCATGTATTCAGTCAGAGTCATCTCTGGGTCCCCTCCAGCCATTGCCAGGAACCCCAAGGTAATTTCGGTGACCGACAGAGCCTCACAGATGTCACTGTATGACTGCAACTCCCCACTGATCGTGCTAATTGTGGAATTTGGGAGGGAGCTCTGTAATTCAAGGGGACAAGAATCAATCCGCATTCATCACTGCGTCCTTTGCTGTAAAGAAAAGGCATTTCCCATGCAGTCACTCCTTCAGGCAGACACGTGCAGTATAGGCTGCTTTAACAACATGTTTGTGCTGCACTGCTTTTGCTGCAGACTGCGAAAGAGGCCTACATGACCTTGGGAATTGCCGTCACCAAGACAGGAAACTAAGTTTTACAGAACTCAGAATCAAATAAATAAGCACTCCACCTTAGGCCAACAAGAGTGTGCAGCAAGGAGACAATCCTAATTAAAATAGACCTTCACTGAAATTTATCCAGCCACTTTCTTGCATCTCTGAAGCTCACCTGGCTCAGCTTGCTCTTGAGTTCACTGAAGAGATGCTCGTAATTTCGGTCATGCCTGTACATGAGAGTGGGCATGCCCTATTGCAGAACAGACAAAAATATGCTCAGTGAACAGACCTCCTCTGGGTTGGAGAGCTGCATCTCAAAGGCACTACAAATGCTAAGCAGCCACAGTTACATACCTTCAGTGTGATCAAGGGCTTCCCTTGCAGGAATCTTCTGATGAGCTGTTGCTGGATTTTTGCCAGGTCGAATTCCTGGACAGCCTCCCCTCCTTTCTCCAAGCTATACTGGCAATTTGACAGAATCAGTGGGATCAGGTCTCTCTCCACTTCGTAAGCGATCACATGCAGATCTGTCACTTCGGTGGGGCTGACAGAGTATCTGTGACGAGGAGGCCTAGAACAAGAATGAGAAATCCTGCTGTAAGGCCACTGGGCAGCTGCAGGACGATGCGGGGAGTCCAACCAATGCATAGATAGACATACCTGTTGGCATCTGGCGTTTCTTTTTCTATGGAGGTGACAAAATCATTGTGCAGGGCAATGAGGTAACTGGACAATGCAGTAGAACAGAGGCCTAAACCTTGTCGGCGAGGCAGAATAATCTCAAACTCATTCTGCACAGTGAGGTCATTATCACAATAACCTTTGGGGAGTTTGATTTCACCTGCAAGGAGATGGCAAAGCAGCATTTATAAGCAGCAGGCTCAGAGCCCTCTTGGACATTCCTTCCCTTTGGGGTTCCCTGTGGCTTTTCAAGGCCAAGCTATTTCACTACTCTGAGCATCAGAACTGAAAGGCAAGCGCTGGGCAATCTGAGGAATCAATTGCATTATGCTCTGTTAATCCCATCTGTGGCAGGGGAACAAGTGTCCCCAAAAGACCTGAATCCTACAAGAAACCATTTCTATAGGCCACAAGAGAGACGACTAGGCCTTCTTCCAAAATAAAAATATAAAGGGGGTGGGGACTGGCCTGCCAAGGATAATTAGTAAAGGCCAACATTCCACTGAGTGCTATCACATAACCTCCCCATCTTGCCATTCCAGTAAGTAATAGTGTAAACTGGCCACTCACCACTGGTTTCCAAAGATGATCTCAACTTGTTCCACACATTCAGAAATATTTTCACTCTGTTCATCATAAGGTGCTTCATGCCTCCTGGATAATACAAGAAACCAACAGTGTTTCTCATTCTGCAGATCCTTCTAAAAGTTCTAAAGTCATTCATTTGCAGCCTCTGGTTTGGAGGTCCCACTTAGCTAGGATGCCTAATATTCGTAGAGGGTTATATATCTAGAATTGTGTCTAATCAAGCCCAGGCCTGTCACCACGAATCGTTGCAGTGAATGTTGTAGAATTGTTATGCACTGTATGGCAGAGCTATCTATAATCAGATTTGTTCTTTGTAAGCTGTCCAGAGACTGTTTTTAGTAATGGGATAGCACAGAAAAAAATCAAATAATAAAGATAAGTAAGCTTTATTTGCCATTCAGAAGATTCATACATTTCTGACTACTACTAATTTTAATGGCAAAGATTTACAGGGATCTTTAGACATTTGCATTACTGAAGTCATAGCTTCAAAACGGTTGATTTTAGTTGCCAGATTTATTTGTACAAATACCTCCATTTGTCCTAAGGACACATTCTGAAAGTGAAACCAAAAAAGGGGAGGCAAATAAAACTATTTTCCCCAGAAATCCACGGGATTTTCTCCTTTTGGCCTTGCCAACTTTGTACAAGCTCACTCATTCACTAATCTCTGGGGCTCAGGTATAATTAGGGCACTACTGATAATAGATTTAAGGAATTAGATCTGATAGACAGAGTGCCTGAAGAACTATGGACGGAGGTTCGCAACATTGTACAAGAGGCAGCAACTAAAACCATCCCAAAGAAAAAGAAATGCAAGAAAGCAAAATGGCTGTCTGAGGAAGCTTTACAAATAGCTGAGGAAAGAAGGGAAGCAAAAGCCGCCCCGAGGCTTCAGCGAATGGGGCAGCATCAAAATGTTTTAATAAATAAAAATAAATAAATAAAACGGCAAGGGAGAAAAGCAGGTTGCTTACCTGTAACTGATGTTCTTCGAGTGGCCATCTGTGCAGTCACACATATGGGTTCTGCGCCTGCGCAGTGCCTTTGGCTGGAAGATTGAAAGCTAACGGTTTTTGGCGGGAAGCTCCGCTCCCCTCCCCCACAGGCTATAAAGAGCGGAGCGTCCGCCATTTGTTCAGTCTTTGACGACCGAACTTGCGCCCCCTTGTGGAAAAATTCTCAGTATGATATAGGGAAAAAAAGGGATCGGTACCAAGAAAAAATGGGAAACTTTCGGTACTGATGAATGAGTCCACTCACCGACACCGAGCGGGGCCGGCGGGTGGGTTGTGTGACTGCACAGATGGCCACTCGAAGAACATCAGTTACAGGTAAGCAACCTGCTTTTCTTCGTCGTGGCCTCTGTGCATCACACATATGGGTAGATTAACAAGCTTACCATCAAAGGAGGAGGGAAGGTGTCCTCATTGTAGGACGGAGGAGAGTACAGTTCTACCGAAAGAGCAGTCCCGTCGAGCCCGAACATCGAGACGGTAGTGCCTGGCGAAGGTGCAAGGGTTCGCCCAAGTAGCGGCTCGGCAGACGTCATTGATCGGGACTCCGGATGCAAACGCAGAAGACGTAGCGACAGCTCTAGTAGAATGGCCTCGGGGAACTGTAGGCAGTTCGAGCTTAGCTAACTGGTAGCACAAAGTAATAGTGTGGACTATCCACTTAGAGAGCCTTTGAGGAGTGACTGGGTCGCCCTGATCTCTAGTCGAATATTTAATGAACAGTTTATTGGATTGCCGAATAGACTCCGTTCGCGATCGATAAAAGGCTCAACAACGCCGAACGTCGAGGGAGTGCAAGGATCTTTCCAAGGGATTCGATGGCGATGGAAAAAAGGCAGGCAGTACAATGTCTTGTCCTGTATGGAAAGGTGTAGAGACTTTGGGCAAGAAAGATGGGTCGAGACGTAGAACGACCTTTTCTCTGTGGAAGTTCAGATAAGGGGGGTTGATGCGGAGGGCACAAAGCTCACTAGCTCTCCGGGCTGACGTGATAGCTACAAGGAACGCCGTCTTCCACGAAACTAATCGGAGATCCACAGTCGCCAAAGGTTCAAAGGGGGCCCTCATAAGGGCCTGTAGAACTACAGAAAGGCTCCACGTGGGCATAACCGGTCTAATCAATGGATTGAGGTTATACAGTCCTTTCAAAAATCTCTTGAGAATAGGATGAGAAAACAGGGATGATCCGTCGACTAAGCCACAGTAGTAGGCTATTGCGGCCGTATACACTTTAATAGAAGACGGCTTCAGTCCAGAGTGATGCAACTCCAGAAGGAACTGAAGAATTTGTTCAATTGATGAGACAAGCGGGGAGAACGAATGAGACTCGGCGAAGGCGGAAAACCGCTTCCATTTAGCTGTATATGACTTTCTTGTAGACGGCTTTAGAGCAGCGTCGATAATATGCTGAATCTCAGGGTGCAAGAGCGTTGGATTTGAATTCGACGGGGTTTGAGCCGAACCCAATGGTACAGAGAGATTGTGGCAGTGAGAAGCACCTGCATAGTTGGACTCGAGAATCGGGGCCGAAGCAGTCGAAGTGATCGTTGAAACCGATGAATTAATAGAAGCTGTAGGATTTGAGGCTCTTGAATCCGTCGCTGGCCCCAGTGGAAGGTTAATCATCGAATTCGCCACGCTGTCAGATTCAATGAGAGCAAATCCGGATGACGAAGTGTGCCGTCCATTTGCGTTATAAGATACGGAAGTGACGGAAGATGAAGAAACTCCCCGCGGGAGATGTCGAGCAGTTTCGCAAACCACGGTTGGCGTGGCCACCAGGGGGCAACTAGTATCCCCGATGCACGGTCGCTCACTATCTTCGCTATGACCCTCATCAGAAGAGGGATCGGAGGGAAAGCATAAAAGTTGATGTTGTCCCAAGGGATCATGAATGCGTCCCCTAGGGATGCTTGTCCGATTCCCGCTCTTGAGCAGTAAGTCTCGCACACCCTGTTCTGTTGGGTAGCGAATAGGTCCACATCGGGAAACCCCCAGCGCCTGAACAGGTGGTTGCGCGTGCGAGGATCCAGTTCCCACTCGTGCGAAGTGAAGATGTGTCTGCTGAGGAGATCCGCATGTACGTTGTCTGTGCCTGCCAGATGAACGGCTATCAGAGTGATGTGTCTCTGAATGCACCAGTCCCAAATCGTCATAGAAAGCCTGGCTAAGGTCGGTGACTTCGTCCCTCCTTGTTTGTTCAGATAAAAAACGGTCGCTATATTGTCCGAAGTTATCTGAACGATCCGATGACGAATGAGGTCTTCGAAAGAACGAAGGGCTTTGAAGACTGCCAGCAGCTCTAGGAAGTTGATATGATTCGTGGATTCTAGGCGAGTCCACGTTCCCTGGGTAGACAGGCCAGAGCAGATCGCCCCCCATCCTAGGAGAGATGCATCGGTACCGAAAGTTATCGAAGGGGGTTGCGGCCTGAAGGGAACTCCCACCACGAGATTGGTCGGCTTCAGCCACCAGCACAGGGAGTGGAGCACGGAAGACGGGATCCGAATCCGTTTCGACTGTGAGTCTCTTTGTGGATGATACACCTTGTTGAAAAGTAATTGCAGTGGGTGAAGCCGAAGTCTGGCATGTGGAACTACGGCAACTGTGGAGGCCATATGCCCCAGGACCCTCTGGATGGATCTCGCCGTAACCATTCCCTCTCGTTGAATTCGATGGATATGGCGAGCGAGAGTCTGTTGCCTGTCCTGAGGAAGGAAGGCTTTCTCCAACGTCGAATCTAGGCGAGCTCCAATGAAGGTGATCGTCTGTGTCGGAAGAAGAGAAGATTTTTCTGTATTAATACGTAGACCCAGACTATCTAGTAAGGCACGGGTTGTATGGATGGTGTCTAGTAGTCCTTCTCTGGATTGCGAGACTAGCAGCCAGTCATCGAGGTACGGGTAAACTTGTATGCCCTGAAGGCGTAGGAAGGCACAGACAGGAGCCACACATTTGGTAAAAATTCTCGGAGCTGAAGCCAGTCCGAAGGGCAAAACTTTAAACTCATAAAGTTGGTTTGCAACAGCAAAACGAAGAAAACGCCTGTAATTTGGATGAATTGAAATATGAAAGTAGGCGTCCTTCAGGTCCAGTGAGGCGAACCAATCCCCTCTCCTTAACAACGGCAAGATGTTTTGAAGGGTGGTCATACGGAACTTCCTCGGTATAATAAACTTATTCAAGTCCCGTAAATCCAAAATCGGACGTAGACCGCCGTCCCGCTTGGGGACTGTAAAGTATCTAGAATAGAATCCGTGGAGTCCGTCAGATGGGAATACTTGATGAATCGCTCCTTTAAGGAGAAGTTGATGTATTTCGTCGAGAAGTACCGGCGAACATGAAGTGGACCGGATCGGACTCGATGGAGGGATGATGTCAAATTCTATTCGATAGCCGTATTGAACAATGGACAATACCCACTGGTCAGATGTGATGGACTCCCAAATGGGGAGTCGGCTTTGGAGCCGGTCCCCAGATGAGAGGGGGGTGGGTATTAAAGGAGCGTGAGGAGTGGTTCGCCAGTCCCGTCAGCGCTGTCTCCGGTCGTCGAAGCGACGGCGGCCCTGTTGGAAGCGCTGCTGGGGCTGAGGACGGCGACGCTGCTGTTGTTGCTGCTGGCGAGGTTGTGGCAGCTGTCTCTGTTGGTATGGCTGCCTGTAGGATGGCCGATTCCAGGACCACTTACGTCTGGTATGTGACTGGATCTCCATCCTGCGCGCCGTCATTCTTGACTCATGTAGTTTCTTGAGTTTATGGTCGGTGCGTGAATGGAAGAGTCCCGAGCCGTCAAAGGGCATCTCTTCTATTCGCCGCTTCGTTTCCTCCGGGAAATTACAACTCCAAAGCCATGCGTGTCTCCGGAGGGAAACGGCACCGACCAAGGCCCGGGAGTCAGTGTCCACGTGATAACGTGCCGTAGACAACTGCTGCACCGCGACCTGCATGGCTTCCTTGATCAGGACTTTCGCAAGGTCACCCTGGTGGTTTGGGAGGGTGGAGGCGACGTTGTGGAGGCATTGCATAATAAAATATTGATAGCGCGCCAACGTTGCCTCATAGTTAGAAATGCGAAGTCCTAAGCCCGAGGCAGCATAGACCCGTCTGGCCAGGGAATCTATTTTCCGGCCCTCCTTATCCCTCGGCGCCGTATGTCCCCTCGCCTCCCTGCCTTGCGAGGATTCGACGACCGCCGAGTTTGGTTTTGGGTGCTTTAATAGGAAGGGAATGTCTTCTTCCCTGACCCTGTACATAGATTCATATCTACTGGACGTCGGCTGGGGATGTGAAGGCAGGTCCCAGGGCTGCATCATCGCCTGCCGCAGAGTAGTTATAAGTGGCAGGATGATAGAAGTTGATTGCTCCCCGCGGACGACGTCGTAGAACTTATCCGTCGACGGTCCCGGGCGCTGGGCAGCGTCGATGTCCAGGGACTGGACAAGCCTCGACATCAGCTCCGCGAAGGAGACGTGTGACTCATCGGGTGACGCAGGATCCTGGGATGTCACCACGACGTCCGGAGAAGTTGAGTCTACGTCAGAGTCATCCGAATCAGCACCATAATATGGCGGGGCAGAAGATGACGACTCCGCCGGTGATAAGGAGCGGCTGCTTCTGCTTCGCGGGGATCGAGGCGGCACCCTCCTCAAATCCACAGCCCGGGGCGGAGGTGAGGATCGCGCTCTGGGAGCAGGGTAGTATCCCACAGAGAGCGGGTCTCCCCAAGGTTGGTAGTAGGGACGACGCCAACTTTCCGGGCGTTGTTGTACCGAGCGGCTCCTCTGATTCCCTGGTGGGGACAGGCCAGCTTCTGTCTCCAATGTCACCACGGGCATCGGTGTCGGTGACCTCGCTCTGGGAGGGGAGTCCTGAATTTCCCCGTCCGAGATAGACCCCCGTAGAATTGGAAGGGATGCTGGCGGGAGGTCAACCACATGTCAGGGAGACCCCTGAGGGGTGACCCGCATAGCCTCTTGGAGGATCAGTTCGGGCGGGGTCAGTATCGTAACCGCCACCGGTACCGAAGGGCCTGTCGGTTCCGAGTCCCGATCTTGGGAACGATCCGTAGGCTTAGCCTTCTTTGGAGGCTTAGAGGCCTTTTCCTTCCTGGCCTTCTTATGGCCTGCCGGCTTGTCTTCAGCATGTTTGCGCTTCTCATGCCTCTTTTTTGGTGAGGCAGAGGGGGCCAGCGAAGCGGACGCGCCTTCATCCGAAGGGCGTGAAGGAGGAGCCACAGAAGCGGAGCCCGGTTTTGGGGTAGGGATGAGCGGGTCTGATTGCATCAGAGCCCTATCCCAAAGGAGCCTCCGAAGCCGGTTTTCGCGGTTCTTCCTAGCCTGCTTAGAGAAGGCTAGGCAATGAACACACTTATCCGTCCTATGCCCTTCCCCAAGGCAGAGGAGGCATAGGTCGTGCGGATCGGTCGGTGCCATTTTTGACCCGCAGTCAGCACATTTGCGGAAAGCCGCCCGCTGCGCCATCGCAGAAAGGGGAAGAAAAGAGAGATAGTGCCGAGGGTAAGTATATATATATATTTTTTTTTTGAATCGAAGAAGAAGTGAGAGAGAACTACACAAAACGGGAAAAACGAAGTAACGGGAAAGTAGTTTAAGGGCAATATATAAAGAGAGAACCAGAATGGCCAAAGCGAAGGACGAAAGCGGCGCGAGGCACAGCGAATGGCGGTCGCAAAGACTGAACAAATGGCGGACACTCCGCTCTTTATAGCCTGTGGGGGAGGGGAGCGGAGCTTCCCGCCAAAAACCGTTAGCTTTCAATCTTCCGGCCAAAGGCACTGCGCAGGCGCAGCACCCATATGTGTGATGCCCAGAGGCCACGACGAAGAAAGAGAAAGATACAAACAATTGAAAGCAGAATTCCAGAGAATAGCTAGAAGAGATAAGAATGCCTTCTTACATGAACAGTGCAAAGAAATAGAAGAAAACAGTAGAATAGGGAGGACCAGAGATCTCTTCAAGAAAATTGGAGATATGTAGGGAACGTTTCATGCAAAGATGGGCATCATAAAGGACCAAAATGGCAGGGACCTAACAGAGGCAGAAGAGATTAAGAAGAGGTGGCAAGATTACACAGAAGAACTACATAAGAAAGATCTTAACGTCCCTGATAACCATGATGGGGTGGTCACTGACCTTGAGCCAGACATACTGGAATGTGAAGTCAAATGGGCCTTAGGATGTCTGAGCAACAACAAAGCTAGTGGAGGTGACAGTATTCCAGCTGAGCTATTCAAAATCTTAAAAGACAATGCAGTAAAAGTGCTACACTCAATATGCCAGCAAACTTGGAAAACTCAGCAGTGGCCACAGGATTGGAAAAGGTCAGTTTACATTCCGATCCCAAAGAAGGGCAATGCCAAAGAATGTTCAAACTACTGCACCATTGCACTCATTTCACATGCTAGCAAAGTTGTGCTCAAAATCCTACAAGCCAGGCTCCAGCAGTATGTGGACCGAGAACTACCAGAAGTACAGGCAGGATTTAGAAGAGGGAGAGGAACTAGAAATCAAATTGCCAACATACGCAGGATCATGGAGAAAGCTAGGGAGTTCCAGAAAAACATCTACTTCTGCTTCATTGACCATGCTAAAGCTTTTGATTGTGTGAATCACTACAAATTGTGGCAAGTTCTTAAAGAGATGGGAGTACCAGACCATCTTATTTGTCTCTTGAGAAACCTATATGCGGGTGAAGAAGCAACAGTAAGAACTGGACATGGAACCGCTGATTGGTTCAAAATTGAGGTAGGAGTTTGGCAAGGCTGTATACTGTTGCCCTGCCGATTTAACTTATATGCAGAGCACATCATGAGAAAGGCGGGGCTAGATGAATCACCAGTTGGATTAAGATTGCTGGGAGAAATATCAACAACCTCAGATATGCAGATGATACTACTCTCATGGCAGAAAGTGAAGAGGAACTAAAGAGCCTCTTGATGCAGGTGAAGGAGGAGAGCGCAAAAGTTGGCTTGAAACTCAACATTAAGAAAACTAAGATCATGGCATCCGGTCTCATCAGTTCCTGGCAAATAGATGAGGAAGAAATGGAGGCAGTGACAGATTTTATTTTCCTGGGCTCCAAGATCACTGCAGACAGTGACTGCAGCCGAGAAATTAAAAGTCGCTTACTCCTTGGGAGGAAAGCTATAGCAAATCTAGTCAGCATATGTACTAAAAAGCAGAGACATCACCCTGCCAACAAAAGTGTGTATAGTCAAGGCTATGGTTTTCCCAGTTGCAATGTATGGCTGTGAAAGCTGGACCATAAGGAAGGCTGAGCGCCAAAAAATTGAGGCCCTTGAATTGTGGTGCTAGAGGAGACTCCTGCGAGTCCCTTGGACCATAAGGCGATCAAACCGGTCAGTCCTAGAGGAGATCCACCCTGATTGGTCTTTAGAAGGCCAGATACTGAAGATGAAACTCAAATACTTTGGGCACCTAATGAGAAGGAAGGACTCCCTGGAGAAGAGCCTAATGCTGGGAACAACTGAAGGCAAAAGAAGAAGGGGACAGCAGAGGATGAGGTGGCTAGATGGAGTCACTGAAGCAGTCGGCGTGAGTTTAAGTGGACTCTGGGGGATGGTGGAATGTTGCCCACTGGGTCACGATGGATTGGACACGATTTCGCAACTAACAACAACAACAACAAGTGTGCAGTTTAGTGCTAAGCACTTGTCTTGAAATTCTTCATGTTTTAACCATCCTTATGGCATGGTAGAATCTCACCTGAGGGAAGATTGTTAAGAAAATCTTCAATTGTGCGGTATTCCACCTCCGAAATGTTCTGGAACCTCTTCACTAAGTCTTTCTGCAGAGCCAGAATCTCTGGCAAAAACTTCACCAGCCTTAATTCCGCTTCCTAGAATAGAGCAGAACAGAGCAAATCAAAAAGAAGAAATGGGCAGGCTGCAGGAGAGCCAACATGAAGTCAATAAGCAGCAATTCACATATCGTAAAACTGCTCCAATTATGCAAGTCCATGAACGTACAACATGACTTCCCATATGTCTAATTTTATTTAAAAGCCAATGCATACACCTAATGCATTTATGAAAACAATTTATTCTGAGCGTACATCTTGCTGTAAGTGTACCATGCTCATTTAAGGAAGGCACCTCACAGTATTTTGGTGATTGTTTGGCACAAGATGAGCTGCATACCATTTTGATGTATTTCGTTTTGCTCTAATACCAATACCAGCCATAGGGCTTCTTCTGAGGCGTTTGCTAGAGCCTCCTGAGACAGATCTCCCAGGCATGCTTTCTGCCATGGGAGAGGTGAGCCAACGCCCAGACTGTTTATTGGAGAAGACATATAGGCCACAGTCTCTGGTACAGTGCAAAGGATTCTGTTTGTGCTCATGTGTTTTCTATCTTCCACGGCCATAGAAAATGCACTTCTAGGAAATAAAACTATGCCTGATAGTTAGCTGAAGTGGCCTGACCAGAATCCTGTATTTATCCTGCAGCATGTGCAGTTCTCCTGGAGTCTGCATGTACAGGACTGCAGAATGGCTGAAAATTGCTGTACACCAGCAGTACTTTTGAAGCACAAAAGTCATCTTGCATCTGGGATTTTTCTAGCCCTGCCCTTGTGCAAATGCTGTTTTTTACCTGCTCAAGTCAAGAGAAATCATCACATCAAATATATGGTAACAGTGGCAAGAGTAATAATTGCATCAAAGTGGAAAGCAGAATATTGTCCAGCCACAGAAGATTGGAAAAACAAGCTAGCCAGGTATGCAATGATGTAGAAACTAACTATAACTTGAAGACCCGCCAATGAATTTAATGAAAAATGGAAAGCTTATTATGAGCAATTTAACTAATATTAAAGAAATCAGAATCTGTAAAAAATACTGTTAGTGATTTTACCTTAGTGGTAAAGTCATGATATTATCTACAATTAGTTTTATAAATGAGATCGATCTGTATGAGAACCTTGATTAAGAATTGATTGACTTAACTGTGGCTAGAGATAATTTTTTTTGCTGTTGAAATTATATGTTGTATTTGTGTAATATCCCTTCATATACTTTTTCATATATATGTATATACACACACAAACATATCAGTTTCTTTCTTTTTATATCTTATTTCTTTTTTACAAAAATCAATACATAAAACAAAATAGAGTAATCATCACAACTCACACTGTAGCTGTTCTCTAGTAAAATAGAGTAATCATCACAACTCACACTGTAGCTGTTCTCTAGTTTCCTACAGGACTATTCTCCAAAAACTCTACTATTGACTAATTAGTCAATAACTCTAATAATGTAACAAACAGACCAACAATAGGACTCCATGTGCCATGTTATTCAATGGGAATTAAGTGACATGCTGAGCAGACTTGGAGTACTTAGCTCCTGATATGTCAAGCATGAAATACTGAGCAGTTGCTTCCTTCAGGGCGATAATTTCCACTCCAGCAAAGTGCTGGGCTAGATCAGACCTTGAAATATATGTTTTATGAGTTTCTTTTTTATCAAAATGTGGTGGTCAACACTGCTAATTTGTTTTGAGCTATGTGTGAACTCAACACTCACACATTTCCCCCCACCCCATGAAAGCCAGGCATTCCCTTCCCCAAAAGACAGATATATTGGGATGCTCAGTTTCTCCCCTTTCCTACATGTGCGACGGCAGCTGATGTGTGCTGAGGTCTGAATTTGATCAGAAGAATGGTCTGGAGGAAGGTTAAGCAGATGGATTGTGCGTAAAACAACTAACCACTGTTAACAGGAAACCGTGTCCCTGTCTTTAGCAGCTTCTGCCTAATCTCAGCTGCATAAGCACAAATAAAAGCTAGTTCATTCCAATTCTGACAGCACTCAGCACCTTCAGAAAGCACAGATTTGGGTCTCTAGATGGCATAACCTCAGAGAGCAACACAAAGCTACCTTATGCTGTAGCTGTGATTTTAATATTTCAAAGTATCCTGCCTGGTTTGATTTTCACTGATGTACTTCAGCTTTTGTCAGGTAGCTGACAGGAGAGTTCTGCTCTTAAGATCAAAGTCATCACATTCATAAAACAGAGAAGAAAGAAAGGAAGATGTAAGACTGTGTGTTGGATCATTTCCTTTATTAATTATGAAGAGCAGCTTACACTTGGGTCCCTGCACTGCACAGTTTCTGACTAATATATCCCAAGACAGGGCCATTAGAAAAGAAGTGAGTGTGCTTACCTTTTGCAGAAACTTCCATAAGATGGGCACGGGCTCCTTCCCACCTTTCTGCTGAACAATGTGACTCAGGTACTGAACTGAGATGCTCTTCCTGCAGCTCCACATCCTGGAACAGTGCACAATGCTGTTCTTGGGCAGTCTGGATAAGAAGGTTGCAGGGTCCCCATATATAAGTTTCACCAGTGGGTTGGAGGAGAGTCTCTCATCTGTACTGATTTCTTGATTCAATTCCAGAAGTGTTTTATCCAGCTGCTGCTTGGGAAAGCAGGGTGTGTATCTGTGAGTCACCATAAAATGCCTCCTCTCTCTACCCAACCAACCAGCTGGCCAACCAACACACAACTTCAAGGTAGGAAGGAAACTGGAGTATTAGAACTGATCCAGGAATCTGCATGACTTTAACTGTGTTCGGAATGATTGGCCCCTGTGAGAATTCCGAACACCCTTTGCTTTGAAAGCCTGAAAAGAGAGTTTCTTAAGTGCTATGGCAAAAAATGTTACAATACACTGAGTCTTTAAGTATGGGGCACCAAAGGCATTCTGAAATAAATAACAATAGATCCCATATGAGTACATTTGGACAACACTTATCATATGTACCAGAATTCAGGATTGGATTCCTAACATCAAACCAAGAAACTGAACCAAGGTGAAACCATGCCAAAGAAGACTGTCTCACTGGCTTCCATTAAATTCTGTCAGGCACTCAGCTGTCAGCAAGGTTGGGTTCTCACACCAGGCATGAGGACTGCAAATCCACAGGGCAGGTTTAATCCCATCCAATATTGTCTCCAGCTACACATTCTTCCATCTAAGACCACAGCTGCCATTAACTAATGTAAATGTAAGACTAAAGGGCTGCAGCACTTTGGGATAAGGGTACAGGTGTTGAATAAGCCAGCCTCCCTTGAAAGTGGGTGGCCCCAATCTCGGATGACTGGGATGCTGAGGCTCTCTGTGCAAGGGCTCCCCCGCACTTTATTAAAGACCGAGCCTGTTCCCAAGGTGGCCAACTGCTGCTCCAATGGGATGCTCGCCAGCCGCACATGAGCACAAGACTCTCTCAGCTGTGCTCCTCAGCACTTGGTGCCCAGAGATGTACTACCTGATACTGGAGGTGAGATGTAGTCACTGGAAGCCTGACCCCCTGTGATCGTGGCTTATAGGCCACAGATGACTGTGCCAAGGCGATACACTCATCTCTCAATTTTTAGCCTGCATGCTGCCTGATCCCCTTCCCATTCTTTTTCTGGTGTGTGTGAGAAAGTTCGATTTTAATTGGCATAGTATCAACAAGCAAAGCAATTCCTTCCAAAGCTACTGGCTAATTTGCCCATTGCTGGTGAAAATGTTATGGTTGCTTCTGGGAAACAGGTCTGAAACTGTATCACACTTGGCAATTTCTCTGCACTCATGTGAATGTGTTACCAAACAATCAGGTGAAAATGTATGTCTGTTGCTTCTAATGTAACCAGAGGATGGACTATAGCACTTCCTACTTATTGTCTAATTTAGAAATGGAATAGCCAGGCAAGTCAGTACATTGTCCGGGAAGAAGAGAATTTTTTTACCTTTAGTTCAGGAAGAATAACGGTCTGTGCAACAAGTCTTTCCCAATTGTTTCTGTGTTCTCTTTTGGAAAGCTGCCCATCAACGTACACTGGCCCTACAAAAGACCATTCATTACTTTATTTATTTGTTTCACTTCACTATATGAAGCTCTCTGGGCAGCTTGCAACAATGATACAATATGCCCCCTCATTCTCCCACTCATGCAGTTATGCAGGGAAGGGAAGCCATGAGAAATGGTGGGAAGATCAAGCAGGGATTCTTCTCAACACTTTATTCCCTCACAGGGATGGAGAAATCACAAAAAAGCTCTACCAGCTCTGCAAGAAGTAGCCTCCAAAAGAAGGAAATGTGCTTCCTTCATTGGAGTGTCAATACCGGTAGCAAGGAACTTGCTTCTACAAATCCCCACATGAAAGGAGCAACATGTAAATCAGCTCTTAGGCCATAAATTGTTCAAATAATTGTATGTGCATTCTTAATAATAATAATAATTCTTTACACAGTGATGCACAGAAACATACTCTGTGTACAGGCAAGTCACAAGCACAAAAGATATAAAGTGTGCAGTCCCATGCATGCTTAGATTAAAAAGAAGGTCTTTGTGACATGGCTGGCTGTGGAATGCAGTGAGTGCTAGCATTTTTTTAAAATCTCAATATACAGAGGATTGCACCTTATGTGACTTATCCAAAGCTACACAAGGCTCAAGCACAATTCAACAAGTTGAACACTCTTACATATAAATGAACATTGAAATGCGATAACACAATGCCTGAAAAGTGAGGGGGATCCTTTGCAGCTAGTGTTATTTGCTTCATTTTGACTAATACTGTAATTCAGCCAGGGACTTACCAATAACCAGCAGTGGAAACAAGGTTAGTCTGGCAAGTTGAGACTTACAAGGTTTTGGGAAGAAGGCTATACAACTATCAACTCAGGCTAAGAAACAGATATGTGACCCAGAGGCAGAGGGGAGGGAGAGATGACAAATATCTAATGCCAACAACAGTAATATTGCATTTATATTCCGCCTTTCTTCCTGTTGTGAGGAACCCAAGGGCGTTATTTTATCCATTATACCAAAACTGGTACAATACAGACCTCACTGTTTACTCAGGGCAGTGTTGCTGCCACCTACAGTACCTCTGAAATTTAATGCTAATACAACCCCCTGCTGATTATATGATCTCTTTGTTGGAAGTATGAGCCGTAACCGCATCTGGCAATCTGCTCTCCTTACCTTGGTCTTGGATCTCCTTAAGAAGGCGACACAGAATGAGATGGACGACATTAGCAGTGTCATCAGCGCTCTTCCCCAGAGTATTCATCAGTTGCTCTATGTCCTTACGAATATGCTGCAGGAAAAAGCTTACTGGATCCTGAACCTCCGGCTTTATGATCTGCAGCAGTGACTGGAATGACAGAAAGCAAGATTCAGAATGACCACTATGTAGCCCTATCACAAGGCACACAAAGGAATAGTGAATCATAAAACAAGGTCTTTGGGTGACCTTTACTTATCTTTGAAGTAAAGATAGGCATCTAAAGGCACAACTCTATGCATGTTTAGACAGAGAAAAGTCCTACAACTTGGAGCTGCCTGGAGCATGCTGGGAATTTAACTCTCTTTCTTCACTCACTGCAATCCTTGGGGAAGACTGGAACAGGTTGTTCACCAAAGTGTCTACTACAGCCTGACAACAACAAGGCTAAAATGTTTTCAACTACCAGGAAGCATCACCAAATCGATGCAACATGTTTGCAGTCTTACCTGCACCTCTCTTCTGGAAACCCTTCATTGCAATATATTATTGAAAAGTACCAGAAGTGTTTCAGGGGTGCTAGTGAACAATCGTATTTTAAAAACACACCTAGGGGTAATTCTGCCTGCAGAAAGCAGACCAGGAAATGGCTAAGAGAGGGCCACAGAATGACCATTCTGGATGGTTTACATTAACTCACATCAAGCAGTGGCTCACCTGGGCGCATTTTACAGCTCATTCTACCTAGGCCCTTGGCACACGCTGTGAAGGTGCAAGAGCAAAGTGGAAGCCATGTCTGAGGGCCTGAGAAAGAGAAAGCTGCTGGGACCCACCTTGATGACCAAGAAAATGCCCTTCACTGAACTGCCTACCCATTCGGGGGCACACCTGGAACAGCAGCACTGTGTGGGGCACTTTAACACAGAGGGAATCCAATATGAGCCTTATTCTCCAGAGACAGAATGTACAAACAGTGGCTATAACGCCACAAGGAAGTGAGCTGTTTCACAGTTACTAACCAGGCTGTGGCTGCTGCAATAATCTCTGTCACTGGCACCTGCTTTCGACCAGCTCACAAACTGCACCTATACTTTGGGAGCAGGCATGCTTGCTGGCTTCCACCAGCTTGCCCACCTCCACTTTGCTAAGGAACAACTCAGGGTGCTGCCCCGTCAGTGGAATGTTCTTCATCACACGTAAACCTCTTGAACACAAATCTGGGTTGTTTCTCCCTCAACAACCCAGAGTTCTGAGTTTGCATGTCACAGAGAATGTTCTTTAGAGCAGCATAAGAGGTCCAAGCAGCTGGAAACCAGCACACTCAGCCACTCCCAAACAACTCACTGCTCGTAGGTTATTTGATTCATGTGAATTGTGTCATAATTTCCTTTACACGACATTAACTTTTTAAGTAGCTCCATTTCAGGCAAGTCCTCTCAGTTTCTCACATTGTTCTGCTTTTCAGATAGAATTATGTAGTTTTAGCTTTTTAACATTAGAAGTACCTGTGGATTTTTTGTGGCTCCCAGAAGCAAAGCCAAATGCGTGAGCAAGCGGATCAGAATTAAGGCAGCTGGAGGCATCTCCCTCTCAGGTGCTACCTCAACTACTCTTTTACCAGGGTCTCCAAGCACATGGCCAGTTTGTGTCCTGTCATTTCCAATGCTGTATAGAAAAAGGCAAAGTGAGGGTGCACAATTGCTAAATGAGGGAGACAAGAGACTTCCACATTTTAAAATGTATGATTCCTAGACACTGCTGGCCAGTAGAACAGTCAATCTAAGTTTACAGAAGAAAAAAAGGTAGGGACATATTGCTTGTACAGTGTCCCATAAAACTGAAATATGATGATTATTTGTTTTCACTCCAATTCCCAGAATAAAAGAAATTGCTATACATCAGAGAAACATTAAAATGGAGGAATGCTTGGAAACTCGCAGCAAGTCTGAGTTGCTTCTTGTCACAAATTCAAACTGGGGTTAACACTCCGGCTGTCTAAACACCCGGGAGTACTAAGTTGTCTGGGAAGATCTAAATGGACAGATCCTTGGACTTGCAGTGGTAATGGGGGTACCAAGAAGGTGGAGTAACTTATTAAGAAATGCTGGAATTAAAGTATTTGGTTGAAAAGGACAAAATACCAGACTCTGGAAAGGACAGGCTGAAAACAGATCCTGGCTAAGCCAAGGAAAATATGGAGGAAGACAGGCGAGGAAGTGAAGCAGCTTGGAGCATGCGCAAGTAGGTGATCACCCTTGAGACAAGGCACCGACATGCCCTCAGCGCAATGCCAGGAAGGATAACGAGGAACAGAATTGAGAGCCAAGTGAACTCTGGGCTGAGCGTGGAGCACTGCAACAGTAAGTGTGTGCCTGCTCAATCCTAAAACCAGCAGCTGGATGCACGAACTCAATAGAAGTTATAAGCTTTTCTGCAAAGCATGAAAATGTAGTAAAGATTTTCGAGATTACGTGCAGGCTGGGGTGTAGGGATGTACAAGAAATGTTTGGGAGTGGGAATCCATCAGATTGTCTGGCCTCACTCCCAGGATACATTCACGTTCCTAGCTTGTGTGCCCTCCATCGTGGAATTTGAGCCCCATGTGCTGCCACAGGTGACAGCAGCAAGTGGGGAAGAAAGCTGGTTGCTGGGAAAGGCTTGCGGCGTGCCTGCCCACAGCTCCCCTTTACTGCCTGCACCACTGCTGAGAGCAGCAGGCAGGCAGGAAGGTTGGCTGCTATACATGGTGACTGGCACAGCCACTCTCAGTGCCCCGTTTCTGCATTCTGCAGCCGCTCCTGAGAGGGAAGGTTGTGCAACTGGGACATTGCAAGGGTTGGCAGACTTCCTCCTGGCACAGCTTGCTTGCAAGACCAGGCGGAGCACAAGAGGAAGTCTGTGGACACTAGAGGGACAGATTCCAAGAGGGGTCGTCCCAACCCTGCTGGAGTGTACCCGAGCCCCAAAAGCAGGTTTTGCTATAGTGAATCAAAGCCTGGTTAGGTACACATAACAGGAACTATGTGTCTGCACAACAATTAAGGAAGACATACTCAGAATGAAAGAGTACACTGAGAGGGGCCCAGGTGACATTTTACCTCTTGAGAGATCATGTTTGTTTCAGGGTTGGGCTGCATTTCCCACTTGGATTAGACTCAGACAATACTTTGGGAATTAGGAAGGCATTCGCATGTACTCAGAATTCCAGATCTTTTCACACTGCAGTTGAACTACGGTAGGGGATGCACACAAGTAACCACTACCCTGCTGTCCTTCAAGTCCCCTTTGTTCCCAAAAGCTTTCAGGTCTTTTGTTTTTTATTTATTTATTTATTGATTGATTTATATCCTGCCTTTTTCCTATAAAGGGCTCAAGGCAGCTTATATCATTCTCCTCCTCCATCTTATCCCCACAACAACAACCCTGTGAGGAAGGTTGGGCTGAGAGACTGTGACTGGCCCAAAGTCACCCAGTTGGCTCCATGGCTGAGCGGGGACTAGAACCCAGATCGTCTGAGTCCCAGTCCCACGCTCTTAACCACTATCCTTTCTTCAAGCAAAATCGTTATTTGAGCCAAGGTACTACTGTGATGTTAATGTAAATGTAAAAGAAACTGTGTGTATACCAAAACCATGATTGCTAAACTTTTCAGTAATGTTGCATAAATAAAAGATTGCATTCAACATTTAAAAAACAAACCATACTGTGCTTTTTGAAATGTTGGCAGTGCTCTGTGGTTTTCGCCTCCTATTGCAGCACCACAATCAACACATCGACCTTGTTGCATAGGACGACCACACTGAAAAGGAGAGCAAAGAATATGAATGAATCCAAGTAGGCCTTCTTGTTTATGACTACTATAACATCCAGTTGTCATGTGGCTAAGATAATTCTCTCTCACAAGTTGCTAAGCAATTGTAAAACATAAAGCAAAGTTCCTTATTTGTTTGCTGGGGAGTCTTGGAAAAGATATACGTAATGTTGAGGGTGTAACAAAGTGCTATGCAAAATATAGCACAGAGTGCATTTAAAAAAATAAATGGGAAAACACACACACACAGCTCTTACCTCTCCAATAGCACAGGGGTGGCCATTTGGACATGCTAATTTGAAAGAAAGGGAAAAAACAGCAAAATGAGCATATAGAGAGTTGGATGAGACAGGGAACAGAAATACAACATGTGATGGCCCTGTGTTATCCTGCCTCTTCCATAACTAGCCATTACCATAAAAATGTCAATTGTCAGCACCCAGCAACTTAAAGGAAAGGCGGGTTTTCTTACCTAGTGTGAGGGTGGGGGTTCTGACGAGATCTCAGTTGTGAGAATGAGACCCCCATATAAATGAATGTCTGGATAAGAGATGTGTCAATGCTGTGTCAGAAATATGTTACATGACACCAGTCGAGATGGTGGGTGTGCATGTGTGAATGCGCAGATGATCACTCGAAGAACAACTGCTACAGGAAAGAAAAGCTGCTTTTATTCTCCATGGTCTCTATACATCACACATATGGTTAACTGGCAAGCTTACCTCACAGAAGAGGGTGCTGCTGCTGCTCACTAGAGTAAGGAGAGGACAGCTCTACTGAAGGCAGTGTCCTCTCTTGCTTGAACATCGAGGCAATAATGGTGAATGAAGGTGGAGGGATTTGGCCATGTCACCACTCTATAGAGATCGGTGAGGGACACTCCTGCATACAAGGCTGTGGAAGTCACAGTCACTCTGGTTGAATGTGCTCTAACAGGACTGGACAGCTGAAGACCAGAGTTCATAGGCTAAAGATATGGTATGAACTATCCATTTAGAGCAGGGGTCTCCAACTCGCGGCCCGTGGGCCAATTGCTGGGCCGGGCAGGGTATGGGGGAGGGGACCTGCGGCCTTCAAAGCGCCTCCGGGAGCGACGCAGGATAAGCAGCCCACCACCACCGCCTCACCCAGACTCTACTTCCAGCAGCCCCCAGGTAAGTTGAGTTTGAGACCCCTGATTTAGAGAGTCTTTGGGAGGAGATAGGCAATTCTTGATGTGGGCTACTGTATGAGACTCTCTGATTGTCTGATGGACTGAGTTTTGGATTCATAAAAAGTTAATACCCTACAGACATCCAAAGGGCTACTGGATTGGAAGGGTTCTGAAAGAAGGCTGGTAGGATAATCATCTTGTTGATGTAGAAAGAAGAAACTAATTTGGTAGGAAGGCAGGATCAAGGTGATGTATAATCTTGTCCTTATGAAAATTGAGATAAGGAGGGTCAATCCAAAGAGCAGGGAGTTCACTGGCTTCACAGGCTGAAGTAATAGCTATTAAGAAGGCAGTTTTCCAAGAGAGGAGGCAGAGATCTGTGGAGGCCATAGGTTCAAACAAAGTCTTGATGAGAGCATGAAAGACAATGGAAAGGCTCTGGGATGGAGCAGGTTGACAGGTGGAGCTAGATTAAGGATGCTTTTGAGGAAGAGCAGGATGCTTATCTGAAACTGATGTTCTTCAAGTGGCCATCTGTACAGCCACACATATGGGTTCTGTGCCTGCGCAGTGCCTTTGGCCGGAAGATTAACAGCTAATGGTTTTTGGCGGGAACTCTGCTCCCGCTCCCCGCTAGCATTATATAAGGAGTGGAGTGTCCTCCATTTTCCAGTCTTTGAAAGACCAACATTCGCTCCCTTAATAAAGTTATTGTCATCATGGCAAAAACCAAACATTTCAGTGGTATGACAAATATCTAAAGAGATCCTAGCATCGAAGAGAAGGAAGTCGGATCACCCATGACACCAAGCGGGGTTGGAGGGTGGATTGTGTGACTGCACAGATGGCCACTCGAAGAACATCAGTTACAGGTAAGCAACCTGCTCTTCTTCGTCATGGCCTCTGTGCATCACACATATGGGTAGAATAACAAGCTTACCCAGACTTGGAGAAGGGAGGTGTCATCAGCAAAGTATAGAAGAGAGGACAGCCCTGCCAAAAGAGCAGTCTTGTCTGGCATGGACATCAAGTCTGTATTGTCTGGCAAAGGTACGGGGGTAGCCCAAGTGGCAGCTCTGCAAACATCTTCCATCGGAACTCCCGATGCAAAAGCCGAAGAAGCAGCCACAGCCCTTGTAGAATGACCTCTTGGAGTAGATGGCAAGTCCAATTTAGCCAATTGGTAAGACAGCGCAATTGTTTGCACTATCCATTTGGAAAGTAGTTGTGAAGTGACCGGATAGCCCCGGTCGTGTTCCGAGTATTTAACAAAAAGTCTATGGGAGTGTCGAACAGATTCAGTCCTAGACCTATAAAAGGCTAAGCAATGACGAACATCCAGCATATGCAGAGCTCTCTCTATCGGATTCGGAAGAGCTGGGAAGAATGCTGGCAAAACGATCTCCTGCTGCATGTGAAATGAGGTAGCAATCTTAGGAAGAAAAGACGGATCTAGCCATAGAACTACCTTTTCCTTATGAAAATTCAAAAAAGGGGGGTCTACCCTAAGGACGCAAAGTTCAGATGATCTACGAGCTGAAGTAATAGCTACTAGGAAAGCAGTCTTCCATGAGATAAGGCGTAAATCGATTGTCGCCATGGGTTTGAAAGGTGGTCAGGTCAGTGCCTGCAAAACCACTGAAAGACTCCAAGTGGGCATTAGAGGCCTTATCGTTGGATGGAGGTTACCCAATCCTCTCAAAAATCATTTAATCAGAGGTTGAGAAAAAATAGAGAAACCTTGAATAGTTCCACGGTAGTGAGAAATCGCTGCTGTATATACTTTCAAGAAAGTTTAAGTCCAAACTGATGCAATTCGAAGAGGAATTGAAGAATCTGCTGAATCGACACCAATGATGCCGGAAATGAGTGAGATTTGGCAAAGCGGGAGAATCTATGCCATATTGCTGCATACAACTTCCTAGTGGACAGTCTTAATGCAGATTCGAGAATATATAGCAGATCTGGATGTAAAGTCTGTGAAGTAGAGGTAGTAGGGATCGCCGGTGGCATCGACACCGGTGCAGTACATACAGTTTTTGGATCCTCCAGGCAGTCAATTTCAGCGACAATAGGTCTGGGTGTCATATCGTGCCTCTCCCCTGAGTAATGAGATAAGGAAGGAGAGGGAGCTGAAGAAAATCTTCCCAAGAGATGTGAAGGAGAGTTGAGAACCATGGTTGGCACGGCCACCAGGGGGTTATCAGTAGCCCTGTGGCCCCTTCGTGAATGATCTTTGCCAACACTCTCATGATGAGGGGGATCAGCGGGAAAGCGTAAAAAGTCATGTTTGTCCAGGGAATCATGAAGGCGTCCCCGGACGACCCCTGTCCTATCCCCGCTCTGGAACAATAGTTCATGCACACCCTGTTCTGTTGGTCGGCAAGCAGGTCTATGTCTGGTGGACCCCAAAGGTGGAACAGTCTGTCATGAACCCGATGGTCCAGTTCCCATTCGTGTGACCGCGACATACGTCTGCTCAAGAGATCTGCCTCTACATTGTCCGTGCCTGCAAGATGTACTGCTAGAAGAGTGATATCTCTCAGTATGCACCAGTCCCAAATTTTGATGGACAGACGGGCTAGTTTTGGGGACCGGGTTCCCCCTTGCTTGTTCAAATAAAAGACCGTAGCCATGTTGTCCAAAGTTACCTGGACAGCCTGATGAAGAAGCACGTCTTCGAACGACTGCAGGGCTTTGAAAACAGCAAGAAGTTCCAGAAAGTTGATGTGGTTCCTGGAATCCCTGGGACTCCACATCCCTTGAGTACGTAGTCCGGAGCAAATGGCTCCCCATCCGAGAAGAGATGCGTCGGTACCAAGAGCCACTGTAGGGTACCGAGGCCGAAACGGGACCGACATTCAGATTGGCTGGTTCTGTCCACCATGACAGGGACTGAAGAACGGAGGCCAGGAGCCAAATCCATTTGGTAGGTGGATCTCTCTGTGGTCGGAAAATTCCGTTGAAGAATAACTGAAGAGGGCGTAGTCTGAGTTTGGCATGTGGAACCACGGCGATGGATGCAGCCATGTGTCCCAACAGAATCTGGATAGATCGGGCAGGAACAGCCCTTTTTTGTCGAATCTGAGAGATGCACCAAGCAATGGCACGCTGTCTGTCTTGAAGAAGAAAGACTCTTGTCAACGTAGAATCCAGCCGGGCTCTGATAAAGTTGATCATCTGTGCAGGGATAAGAGAAGACTTCTGTTGATTAATGCAGAGTCCAAGGTCTTGTAAAAGAGCACAAGTAATATCAACGGCAGGCAAAAGTCCTGCCCTAGTGTTGGAAACCAACAACCAATCATCAAGGTACGGGTATATCCAAATTCCACGTAGACGAAGGTATGCGCAAACAGGAGCCATACACTTCGTAAAAACTCTTGGTGCAGTGGCCAATCCAAATGGTAACACCTTGAATTGGTAGATCTCAGAGCCTACCGCAAAATGAAGGAATCGCCTATGACGTGGATGTATCAATATGAAAATAGGCATCCTTCAAGTCCAACGAGGTGAACCAATCCCCTCTCCCTAGCAACGGAAGTATATTTTGGAGTGTGGTCATCCGAAACTTCTTTGGTGTTATGAATTTATTGAGAGCTCTCAAGTCCAATATGGGTCGGAGACCCCCGTCTCGTTTCGGGACCGTAAAATATTTAGAATAGAATCCATGGAGCCCGTCCGACAATGATAAGCGACGAACAGCTCCCTTAGTAAGGAGTTGGTGAATTTCATCCAACAGTACTGAGGAGGCCGGTGTAAAATGGATAAAATTCGATGATGGAACAACGTCGAATTCAATTCAATAGCCGTGCTGGAAAATGGATAACACCCATCCATCAGATGTAATGGACTCCCAAGTGGGGAGCCGACTATTCATTCGGTCCCCAAATGAGAGAGGGGAGGGTGAGGTTGGGAGGAGAGGAAAGGTTCACACGTCCCATCAGTGCTGTTGCCTATCCGTGTCAAAGCGACGGCAGCCCTGGTGGAAACGCCGGGACGGTGTCTGTGGCGCTGCTGAAGTTGATGTGGTTGTTGTTGCCGAGGTTGGAATTGTTGGCGGTATTGCGGGTGTGACCATGACCACTTACGTCAGGGCTGGGATTGCAGTTCCATATGCCGGGCCATCATTCTGGCTTCATGGATCTTTTTCAGTTTACTATCTGTCTTCGCATTGAAGAGACCGGATTCGTCGAACAGCATCTCCTCAGTTCTCCGCTTCATCTCTTCAGGAAAATTGCAATTACGCAACCAGGCGTGTCTGCGGAGGGAAATGGCACCAACGAGCGACCTCAAATCAGAGTCAACGTGGTGCCTTGCTGTGGAAAGCTGTTGCACCGCCACCTGCATAGCTTCCTTAACAAAAGTTTTTGCCAACTCGCCCTGGTTCCCTTGGAAGGTGTCAATGAAGGTATCTAGGCGCTGCTTAAGGAAGTATTGATAGCGCGCCAGGGTTGCTTCATAATCTGAAATTCGTAATCCAAGACCCGAAGCTGCGTACACCCGGCGGGCAAGGGAGTCAACTTTTCTTCCTTCCTTATCGCGAGGTGAAGTGTGTCCACGTGCTTCCTGGCCCTGAGAGAATTCCACAACAACCGAATTCGGCTTGGGGTGACGAAGGAGGAATGGGATGTCCTCCTCTCGAACCCGATACATGGATTCATATTTACGTGAAGTAGGTTGTGGGTGGGCCAGGAGGTCCCATGGCTGAGTCATTGCCTGCCGCAGAGTCATTATGAGTGGTAAGGCGATGGAGGTGGATTGTTCGCCCCTGACCACATCATAAAAACGGTCAGTGCTTGACCCCGGTTGTTGGTGGGCTTTGATGTCGAGCGACCTCACCAGTCTGCCCATTATCTCATTGAAAGAGATATACGGTTCTTCAGGTGACCCCGGCCCTTGAGAAGAAACCACTGCATCTGGTGAGGTTGAGTCAACCTCTGACTCATCAGATTCCATCCAGTAAGGGAGTGGAGCACTGGAAGAGGAATCTCCTGGCGACTCCGATCTGCTGCTTTCTCTAGATGGAACCCTCGGGATGTCTCTTGGTGTAGAATGGAAACGACCCTGAGGAGCTGGCGGTGAAGATCGTCCTCTGGAAACCAGGTAATAGGCCACGGATTGGTATTCTTCCCATCTCGGAGCGGAGGAGTATCAGGACTGGTACCAGTCATCAGATCTAGCATCTGAAGAGCAGCTCCTGCGGCTTCTCGGAGGAGAGATGGCGATGTCGGTATCCAGAGGGACAGGCGGCATTGGTGTAGGCGACCGAGCTCTCGGCGGAGAATCTTTTATTTCCCCATCCGAGATGGAACCACGCTGTGGATCCTGAAGGGGTTCGGCTACCGGTCAGCATGGGGAGCCTGGTGGAGTAACCCTTATAGCCGCTTAGATGGTCGGGACCAAGGGTGTCGGTTCCGTGGCCAGAGTCGGGATCGAGGAGGCCGCCGAACCCGAGTGGTGATGTTTTGCATGCTCGGGATTCCTCGATTTCTTAACCAGCTTGCCCGCCTTATCTTTTTTGGCCTTCTTATGCACAGGATGTTTGTCTGGGTCACTGTGCTTTCGTTTCTCCTTTTGTTTCCTTGGAAGGGAAACGGGCTGATCGGCCATGCTGGAAGCACTTTCTTCTGAAGGGCGTGAGGGCGGAGCAATGGAGGAAGAGGCCGGGCGTTGCGGCAGGTCGGCCTGAGTTGGGCGGCCTTCGGGTGGAGCCACTGTAGGGGGATTAGCCACCAGCCGGTCCGATTGGAGGAGAGCCTGGTCCCACAAGAGCTTGCGGAGGCGGTTCTCCCGATTCTTCCTCGCCTGTTTGGAAAAGGCCAAACAGTGGTCGCATTTATCTGTCCTGTGCCCTTCCCCCAGGCAAAGGAGGCACAGGTCATGCGGGTCCGCGGCGGGCATTTTGGAGCCACACTTTCCACACTTGCGGAACGCTGCTCGTTGTGCCATTGTAGAAAAATGAAGAAAAGAAGATAGTAAAGCAGGAGGATAATATTTTTGGTTGTTTTTTTATAGGAACAAGAGAGAATAAAGTGAAAAAACAAGAACTGAGTGAGATACTAAGAGTAACAGGAACAAGGGAATACTAACTTGGTAAGAAAAAGAGGAATTTTTCAACAAACGAGAAGGTAAGTAATGATCTAAGCGAGAGCGAAGCGGCACGAGGCACAATGAACAGTGGTCACAAAGACTGGAAAATGGCGGACACTCCGCTCCTTATATAATGCTAGTGGGGAGGGGGAGCGGAGTTCCCGCCAAAAACCGTTAGCTGTTAATCTTCCGGCCAAAGGCACTGCGCAGGCACAGAACCCATATGTGTGATGCACAGAGGCCATGACGAAGAACTTCTGAATGCAGAGATGAGAGCAAGTTGAGTGGCCTTTGGTTGGAGCAGGAACGCTGAGATGGCAGCTGTATAAATGTGGATAGAACAACAGGTGAGACCTCATTTATACAAGGAGTTGAGAAAGAAGAATTTGGACAGAAGAGGCTATAACTGAAGAAAAGCCAAGTTACTGGACAAATGTAGAAAAAGCTGCCTATTTAGTGTCCACATGTGTGATGTACAGAGACCATGAAAAATAAAAGTTAGTTTTGCCATCAATTTGTCTTTGTGAATAATAGCAAACTCATACAGTTCAGAAAGGACACATGAAAATGGTTTACCAATGTTACCTTTGTGGAAATCTAAGTGCTGCTCAGCCTTTATTTCTTACAGAAGAAACAAGGGAGAGTGCACTGTCAATGGCCTGCTGTATTAAGCAGGTATAAAAGCACCTGTGTTTCCCAAAGTTTTTCTACTGCTGCTCTGTCCAAAACTGCTTCTCCATATGAGATCAATTTCTGGGAGATCAACATCTCAGCATAACAACTTCCTGCCTGTGATGAACACAAGTCTGGCCTTTCTAGCAACCAATTCTACCCTAGAGTCTAAGTCCAGGGCTTCGTTAAACAAAAATGTTTTCTGGGGATGCTTTCTGAGATTAATGGGATATTTCCACAGATCAAGACTAATCTGCTATTTGATTCCAGGATATACATGTCAGGAAAATATTGTGGATGATTCCTAAATAACTTCCCATTGTCTATTTGTAAACATTTTTATCACTATTTTTGAGTCCTTGGAAGTGACATTACAACCAGGTTCTTTTAAAAAGGCCACTTTGACACGTGTCCATTAGCCTAAACTGATGTTAAAGGGTACTTTGACTTATGAGACCACAAGAATATTTGAAAAGAAAATCTGAAGAAAAGTAAAATGGATCTACTCCGTACTACCACTGAAACAATAGTGTTTTTCCAGCTTACTCCCAGGATTGTGCATGGTACTTACTATACCAGTGAAGTCCTACTGTTGCCTCCCACTTCACAGCCTGTGCTAACAAATCTTCTGGCATTGTTGGCAGAAAAGCATTCTGCAGGAGAAAATGATAAAGTGATACTACAGTGAGTGGCATCTTTTTTATGGTACATTCCAGCTCCAGACTGAATTAACTGTTTTTTCCATGTCATCAAAGAAAGATAAATTGGGAGTCTAAGGTATCCCACCTATCACAAAGCGCAAAAGAATTACCCAAAAGTAAATGCAAGAAAAAAGTTATGATTTAAGGAATGCTAACAGAAAGTTCAGCATGAATGAACCTATAATGTTTGAGCTAGTTAAGGTTCGCCAAATTCCTTCTTGAAGCTTAGTCCACTTTGTTTGCATTCCCATATGTGAATGTCTTCTTCACCCACCTTGTCTGAGAAAAGCATGAACTTTTATTTGGAAAATGTGCATTTTCCCTTCATAACACTACAGAATGATGGTATGGTGGAAAGCTGTCCATTTACACATTAATTCTAAGCATTAATGCAAATACAGAAAATTGTGAACATTTTCTGAGACTTGCGTTCCTGTTTATGTTTGGAGTTGCAAATGCAACACTTTTTCATGATGCACAAACAGGAATGAAATGTTCACACATCTTTACTCAATGTGCATTCATTTACCTGCATAGTATTGGGTGAAAATGCAAGATTCCTAAGAGGTACGAGGAGTTGATTCTGTCCAGATAGCAAAACAGCTGCAGTGTGAACAGCCATTTCAATGACTACCCTCTTGTGACTTGAATCCTGGGCACTCAGTGACAGCGATGGGAGACTGTTAGTCACAAGATAATTTGCAAATGCTTCCCATTCTGAAGAAGGAAGAACTCTGGAGTTCTGGATGAACTCTTTAAGAATATCACATTGCTGAAATAAAACAAATAAAATTAATCTTCTTAACAAAAAGTAAAACAAGATCTGTTATTTAAACTCAAAAGATCTAGTTTACTTTTCATATTGACTCTGGCCAACTATGATAATTGAACATTTGGAAAGAGATGATTAATAGTGCATGCAAGCAGGGACTTTCAACAGATTTTCAAAATAAAGCTGCTGAGGAAAACTACAAACCATGTTCAAGTCTTCCCCGTTTCATTGCTATTGTTGACAGCTTAAAGCCCCCACTCCCCATAAAAAAGAGCACTTGTGGAAAAGCCAACATGCAATCTGGCACCAAAGCAAAGCATTTACCTCCTGCTTCGGCTGAAGACTCTGATCCTTGCATCCATAGAGAGACGTCAGTTCTTGGAAAACAGCTAAGAGAAAATGAACAGCTTGCCCAGACTTGGAACCATCGCATATCTGAAAAGACACAAGTTTCTAAGACTTGGAGAAGAACGGAAAAATATTATTCAAAGCTGTGCTTCCATCTTTCTTTGGTAGCAGTTATGGATATTAACACAGCTGACCACAGTAAAACTATGAAAGTGTGAAATTATGTCCACGCAAGAGCAACCTTGCAAACAGGTCCACAAAATGTTACTTAGTCACTTTATTTAACTAGCACACTAGTTACCTGGTCACCTGGAGGCAACTCTTACCTAGCATGGGCAAGAAGCTGCTTGTCAACTTCCACACAAACTAATTCCAATTTGGTATTTAGTCATTGGATCATGTTTCCTGCAAAGGGCATTTCTCCCGGAAGGCAGCCCCCAACCGCAATTGAAACATCAGGTGGAACATGCCACAAAATGGCATAGGTGAATGAAAAGCACTTAAAATAGGTAACCTAAACCAATTTCTCCCATAGCATATGCAGTGCTCAGGTCCCATTTGCTATTCTTGTTGTTCCACTCAATGCCAAGATAGCTTATCATTCAAAGCAATACATAAATACTGTAAAACCTAATAGTGGTGTTCCAATTGTGGATGACCAGCACTCACAGAGAAACCCTGGAAGAAAGTATCAGAACAATGATGGCAGGGAGGGAGGAAACGAAACATCAACAAGAGCATATGAAGTTCACCTAAAAATGGAAGTGACATTTTTGCTACCGTCAGAAAAGAACCTTGCCAGGTCACTAAAGAAAAGCTGTGCTAATTGGAAGGCCTTACTTTCAAGGCTGCTGCAAGATTGTGTGTCTGGCTTTCTATCATAGCTTTTCCCATAGCATCACGCAGCATTCTGTAGTTTCTGCCATATACCAGGAATCGATCAATCTGACCAAGTTTCTGTCTCTGAAAGCACAAAATATGAAGCTCAGGATTAGAACAAATGCTAAATAATGTGGTATGACTACTTTCTAGAGAAAGTAATATCCTGCATTTGGATTTCAACCATTAGGAGTTTGAAATGGCCCACACAATAAGCAGGCACAGGCCTAAGGGATTTTCCATCTGGGTAATTTGATGCAAAACAGGATAGCTTATATTTTAAAGCAACCCAATAGATGTCTGTCCAGTCCATCTATTTCAGCATTCTGCTTAGGAGAGCATTGTTCTTAGAAAGCCAAGTCTCAGCATAAACAAATTCATTTTATTTTTACAACTCCCTTTCAGTGTCCCACACCATTTGGCCTTCCCGGACCAAGCCATTGTCCAGAAATGAAGCTGTAGAAGTTGCAAATGTTACAGTCAGATCTGCAATACCTGTTGCTGTTGAATTATTTCTGATGGAAATATCCACTGAAACTGAGTTTCACTGGAAAGCCTCTGTGTGAACTCCATCCCGCACAGGTCAGTAAGCTTTCGGATAAGATAAACCCGGCACCAGTCATTTTGAATCTGATCACAGAACTGCATCACTCTTTCCAAGTAGTGTTTCTTCTCTATTTCTTCACTAGAACCTGCAAAGAGAAGGGAAGTGAAGCCTTATTTCCTAACTATGGCCAGCTCTTGATAACCAGTGGTTTTAGAAATGCAACTGTCTTGTAAGAGATTGCATTCAAAGCACAGAATACACTCTAGTAGCAAAACAGGAAACCTATAGGAATATAAAAACAGTGTTTATCTTTCTCTTAAATATGGAAACAAATGAGAAGTCCACCTTATAATTAACCTATCAATAAAAATTGTCCCATACACCACCATTTCCATCCCCTATAGTCATCATAATCCAATTGCCTGCAGTTCCATGAAGTTCAAAGAGAAGTTCTGCAGCCATATCCATAAATTGCCGGATCCTGGCCACTCCTTGCAAGTACTCAATGGTGGCTTCTTGAGAGGTTTCTTGGCTGCTTCTGCCCAACTTTAAGTAGCTTTTCAAGAAATGTCCATTATCTTTCAGATAGTTTGTCTTGCTTTCCTCAGAGAAGGCTCCTGATTTCTTACAGATAGAATCCTGGAATAAAAGGGGGGGGGGAGGAACTGGATTTTTAATCTCAACTAAAATATTACATAATATATAGTTAAAACTTTCAAATGAAGGAATGTGTAGGATTGTGGGCAGTCAGCATCTTTTGGGATAGAAGGACACTAATTTAGTTTGGAAGAAATTGTTTGCAGAGAATCAAGTCAGTCTATACAATTTAATTTGTTTCTTGGAGATCATATCTTTTGCAGGAAAAAAGAATCTGAAATATTTTTATCAAAACTAAGCTACCTCAAAGACTGGACACTCCCACATGAGCCTGCCTGATTGTACAAATTCCTTTGTTTTGAGAATGGCAGCTTCAAAGCCATGATAGAGCTTTTGGTGGCTGCTTCCAGCCTGTGGAACTTCATTTCAAGGAGGCCTAGATTTGCTCCCTCTCTGCTGTCTTTCTGCTTTATTCAAAAAGGCCTTTTAGGCATTAAGTGGTTTGTTGGGTTGGTTGATTTTCATTATTTATTCTGTGATGTTTTTAACATGTTAATATATTGTTTTAAACAATTTTAATTTTGCCCACAAGCAGCCCTGAGTGCCATTTTTACTAGAAACACAGAGTACAGATTACATAAAAGGACTGAATAAAAAAATAGATAGGGCTGGGCAATAGGATGGGGCAGAAGAGAAAGAAGTGAAGATGCACTGCCAAATCCAAAGGTTGATTTGACTTGTGTCAGGATTTCAGACCTGCAAAGAATGAATGTCCGAATCCAAAACGGAGCATACAGTCAAGCATTCAATAATTTATTTACAGCAAACAGGTATCCCTAAATTACAACAGCACTGAGGGGTAGCCAATTTAAGATTCATTACAAAGAAACAGAGGATACACAGTGTTTTATGGAGTTGCTGTCACATATGCACTGGGAGAGGAAGGAGACTTTCAATGGATGATATGCTAGAACGATACAGAAGCACACCACAGACACATCAAGAAATCATCAGAAGCATCAGGAAAACATCATGATGCATTGAGAGCTTGACAGATAAAACAACCAGAATTTGGAGAATTTAACAGGTTTCAATGTTTTCTTTTTACAGTCTGAGGTAGAAAACTGCCTAAAGACAAGGTGTGAGCTGGCCTGGTATTTGAATAGCAATGAGGGAAACAGCTGACAGCAAGACTTACCAGTCTCCAGCATGGCTGCATTTGTAACAGTATCTATTCGCTGATGTGCTTAACCCTTAACAAGAGGGGCATGTACATTCCAACAAATCAGCAAGTTGATACAATTTGTGGATCTCAATTAGTAATTTTATTTATTTTTATTTATTTGGGTATTTTTACCCTGTCCAATAACCAGTGGGTCTCTGGACCGCTTACAATTCAAAACATTGTATCTTTCCCCTGCCTGCTATGCTCTGCACTCAAGAGCCATTAGCCAGCAGATGAATCATTTGCATATCATGGGCTTGCCTCCTTTTTCCATAGAATGAACCTGAATGGAAAAACCCTGGATATTTTTGGGAGGTGGGGTGAAGAAGCGGAGGCAAAGAGTTCTGTATTCCAAAATATAAAACTTTAACATACATGAGGACAACTTCAACACTTGTACTGAATGGATAAATGCAAGACAGGAAAGCCGCTGGAGAAAAAAAGGAAGCATTTTTTCCTTCATCATGGGGATGTAGTGGGTAAACAAGAGGGCTAAACACTCTGCTTTATTAAATAAAAATAATTAAGAATTTAAGAATCATGAGAATCTTCAGTTACCAAAATACAGGGAATCCTGAGTTATGGACAGCCAAGTTATGGAGAACCTGTACTTACAAACAAATTGCCATAAAGCCTATTAATTAAAAAAATACTGCAGGAAATAGTCATCACCACAGAGAGAAAGAGGAAGTGAAAGGGAAGAGAGGGAGGCCTCCAAAGCAAGCCTTCCTGCCCCACCCATCCGGACAGGGCAATTTCTTTGGCATTTCCTTGCTGCAAAGAGGCGCTTCAGATGAGTTTGGGCAGGGGGGTACCTAGAAATATTTGTGGATTTTCCACTTTCACAGGGGTCCTGCCCCCTGCAAGTGTGGAGGACCAACTTTACATAATCCAGCTTACATACAAATTTGTCTTAAGACAAATTTCCATTTTCTCAGCAACAGAACTCATTTGTAACCAAGGAACTACCTGTATATATTTTTAGTTGTAAGCTATCTTGAACTATCTGTTCTGGATAAAGATAGGATAAAAAAGTTTTAAATAAGTTTTACATAAGAAATAGTCATTCATAAAATACTCTTTAACTGACACTGAAAGAGAGATTCAGGCTTTCCTTATTCAGCAGTTGGTAGCTTAGTAAATATATAAATACAAGACTAGTGAAGGGGGGTAGTGTTGGCTAAAATAGAAAAGCCAATTTACTTCAAGCCTTTCCCTTAGCTCACAGAGGTAAATTAAAAATAGATCTTAAGCAGTTTCTGGTCTAGTAAATTTACTTCCAAAACACATGAGCAAGATAAAATTACACATCTAAAAACAACCTGCATATCTCTGAATATACAACTTAAATTTTTCCAGAATGAATCAAAGAGCACAGAAACCACATGATAGCGTATTCAATAAGTAGAACAAATGTAATTAAACAACACACAACACAGTCCTCTTAACTCATTTTCTTTTAAGACAGGCAACACATTCCTTTTGAAAAATAACTCAGACACTATTAGAAAAGGGATTTGTTTTCCAGAGATTGCCAAGCATGCAGGTCTCATGGGGCTCTACCAAATTTTTTTAAAAATGCAAAAATATACATACCTCAAAGCAGTTGACAAATAACACATACAGTTCTACTTTATCTTCATTGTCCAGGAGATGACTTGTTTCTACTTGCGATAAATATTCTTTTATATAGACTTTCACATCACTGAAGCTATGGAAACACAGACACCCCCCCTTATTATTAGGGAACAGACCATATGCTTCAATTGATATTCATCATATTCCCGAAATAAAAGGTCATATCCAATGTCAGAACAATGAATTTCAGATATAGCTGTGCAAAGGGTGGATGTTCGGGGGGATACAGCAGTTTCTGAAAAGTGTGAGCTCAGCCCTTGCGAAGACTACAAGGACCTCAAGGAAACTCGCATACGAGCGATGGCAACACAGAAAGGCAAACAGGATTCATTGTCTGGAAGAATAATCCCAGGTAAAATTCCTTACCTGTATTTCAGAAGCAGCTTTAGCACCATGGAACGGATCACAGGAGTTTTATCCACCACATCATCAAAAGGGGACAGAGATTTTGTATGTACATCAGATTCAGCAGAACCTAGAGATATAGTGCAATTCAATTTAGAGAAATAATCAAGCCAATTCATTCTAAGTGGGGAAATTGATAATACCATGTGAGCCTACCTCTCAAATACTTTGCGTGAACAAACAGCAGATTTAGCAGTTCCTGGATCACAGCTTTTTCTGGGGGCTCATTGTCTTTGAAGCACATTGTTGAAACCAGGTCTATAAAAAAACTGTTGCAACATTTACGGAACTGGGCATTTTTCCCTATGGCAATGCTGTGAGGGAGGAAAAGGGCGAGAACTTACTTATCCAATCAACTGCAGAACCTGCATCATATAACTTGAGAGCAATGCAAAAGAATTCAAAGCCAATCAGGTGACACAAAGTCTTCCAATATTAAGCTCAGAGGTTCAAGGTCATCATCAGGATAATAATCTGCTGGATCGGAAATAAAGCTTTACCTGAGCTCCTTGGATACTGTGGGAGTATAGTCTTCTGGTACCTTAGTTAGGCATAATGGACATTGCATCCGTTCTGGCACGAGCCATACTTTGATGCAACTGTGACAATACACATGATCACAAGGAAGGTTCACTGGCTCTGTAGGATCTCCCATGCAAATTGGGCATGGCTTCAAACCATATCTGTGAATCCAAAAGCAACAGTCAATCCAAACATGCATGTGGCTTCAATATATATTTCATTATAGGCTTCTCTGACTAAAGGGAATAAGACAATATTTATTTATATTGTGATTTATATTGTGATTGTGATTTATATCCTGCCTTTTTCCTACAAAGGACTCAAGGCAGCTTACATCATCTCTCCTCCTCCATCTTATCCCCACAACAACAACCCTGTGAGGTAGGCTGGGCTGAGAGTCTGTGACTGGCCCAAAGTCACCCAGTTGGCTCCATGGCTGAGCGGGGACTAGAACCCAAATCCTCTGAGTCCCAGCCCCATGCTCTTAACCACTACACCACACTGGCTCTCAAAATATGAATTAGCATTGTATTACCCCCATTCTAAAGCAGTTCTAACAATATTGTCATTTCTGAATGACTGCCTTCCCCAAAATCAATTAGTCCATGCACTTAGATCACCAGCAGAACCCCCTCTTCAGAGACATTCATCTCTGGAGATGCTGTCAATGGTGATTCAAGACACAGCTTTCTTTGTAGTGAAGGCAGCATCCCTGGAGCAACTTCACCAGAAATGTTTATTGACACTGATGAAAGACTATTTTTTCTCTCATGTCTTTAGCCTGACAGCCTTATTTTGCTCTGGTAGCCTGCAACTCTAAGGTTGGTTTATTTGTCTTTTTACTGTTGCTGGACTGGGTTTGTTTTCAGTACCTAATTTTTAAGCAGCCTGGGCACTGATGTGGAAAATAGGACACACACACATATTTAAATGAAATTTGTGATAGGCAGAAGGGCTGGGTGGTACAAATACATTAGTAAATATTGAAAAGACTCTTAAGGGGAGGGGACAAATAGATTCCTGTCTAAAGACAGGCACCAAATAATTGCACCCCTGTGTTATGCAGCCATACATGGTACTTGTAAGTCGTCTCAAATTGTCCTGGAAAGGCAGGATACAAATATATTAAATAAAAAAGTAATGCTTCACTTCTCTCCCACAAGATGATGTATCAGATATGATAATTAAAAACTTAAAAACTGTTCTTATGCAAAGATTCCTCCATTCATTTCTTAATATTACAGGCATTTGTGCATTTTACATGGCTATTTGTATTTCAACATTTAGTCCAGGAACTAAGAATAAGAACAAACTCAAAGCAGACCCCCAAAATGGACCATTCTTGTCCCCAAAACATCACCTGCAAAATATTAAACTGACAGCCTCCTTGCACTGGCGTAGCACTTCCATCACAGCAGTGAATGTTTTATGAGACTTGATATCAGAATTCCACTGAAAACACTGAAAACAACAAAAAGAGTCCTATGACAGTCCAGGCTTAAAGTAAAAATTGTCTCATATATAGGCAAAATATGTATTTATTCACACTGGCTTACACAAAATGTTCCATTTAATTTATTGAATGGCATGCAGAACACCCACACACGTCTATTCAGTGAGGTCAAATTCCACTGAGCTCAGTATATACAATGAATTCAGGAATGGATGTACTGGATTGCAGAGCAATCCTTAAGATGCTTACTCATAAGTAAGTCCCATTTATTTCAATAGGTCTTATTAGTAAGTATGTTTACGACTGCAGCCTTAATATTTTGTTTTATTTTATAGTTTCAAGATAGCTAGTAATAAAATGCTTTTAAAAATGTTAGCCATGATGAAACTATGTTAAAAGCAATGAAGTTGAGCAGCAGTCCCTCAGTACCACATGAGTTATACTCTCAGGTCACCTGAACCACCATAAAATGATGTCTACACTCCCATCCCTAGAAGGTAATTGAGAAGGATACCAAGTCGATGGTGCTGAACATGGCTAAGAGGCCCACAGAGGTAGCTGCCTCTGTCCAGTTTCTCATGCAGATTGTCTTTCAGTCAACTAGAGTATTTTCAGTGCCCAAATTAGGCCTGAATACAGATTGAAAAGGCTCTAGATCAGAAGCAGGCAACCTGGAGTTATCCAGATATTTTGGATTACAACTCCTATAATCCCAGCCACTATCACCTCCAGTCAAGCTTCACAGGCTGAAATGGGCAAGATCAAGTGAGCACATCGATGAGTCTCAAATTCTATCAAAGTGTTTAGAACATGGGGCTGTTTAAGTTGGAAGCTAACCTTCAAATGAAGATAAAAAGATGTCATGGGCACATCACAGAGCCTTGCTATAACTGCAGAATCCAGCTAAAGCGAGTGTGAGCAATTTTGTTGACAAAATATTCAGCAAACTGGTAACACTGGCATTCAGATGTGACAACCCTTTCTTTAGCTGAAACACCTCCGCTGTCCAACAGTGGTGGGATTTTTTTTTGCTATGTCACTTGTGCTGAGTAGAGCCTAAGCTTAGGATAAGGCAAGCAGTGGCTGCTCATCATCATAGGCTGTAACCCTGTTTCACCCCAAAAGTTTAAACACCTGAGCCAAATAAGGAAAAAGTGCTGCTTGAAAAGTGCTAGTTCCGATCCAATGAGAATAAGGTTCTTACTTTTCCAAGCTGCACTGTGTACTTCTTTACCAGATCCTGCACCCCTGAAATTGATGTTTCTGCTTCAAGCAGCACATGTTCCACAAAGAGGGATACTGAGAAGACCCGATTCCATTGACTCCTGTTTCAGAAATAATCAATCAAATGATGATTCATTTTAAAAGGAGGAAGTTAGTGACAGACAATTGGACTGAAAAACACAGCAACTAACTCTTGTATAATAAAATTACAATATCAAAATTGCTTGATTTGGAAAGGACTAAGACTAATCATCCAATCCAGTAGTAAATTGTAACCAAGGAGCAAACCAGAGCTGTGTGTATGCCACAGCACAAGATATACCACTTCGTGTACATCATCTCTGGGTGCTATCATAAGCATCTTTCTCCAGCCAACCTTTTCTCTTCCTGCAGATCAATACAAAAGCTCGTAAAAGTGCAGTCCTTTAACTGGACCTTACCAGGTGTGCTAATTTATGCAGCTTGTTAACAGCTCTCCTGGAAAATGTGATCCAGAACATTTTCCAGGAGAGCTGTTAACAAGCTGCAGAAATTAAAGGTAACAGTTCCTCTGATCTGTGGATGTAGCTTCCTCCTACGTGAAGAGTTGATTCCAAAGAGGAGCAACCTTCACCTCATCCTCATTTCTTTCCCCAGTCTTGACTCCACCTTCAGGGTGTACATGCTGTATGTGGGCCAAGTGGCAAGAATGCCTGATATTATGCAACTAGCCTTCCCATTTGACCTGGCGACACCTCACTGGGTCTACAAATTCACTGTCCTCCCCCACTTGTTTCTGCAGTGTCTCCCTCCCTGCCCAAGAGGGTTTGGTTCTCTGTCACTCCTGTCTTCTCTTTCCTGTTAACCTTGATTTCACAGTCACCTTCCCTTCTACACCATTTATCTCATATCCTGAATCTGAACTAGCTAGAAATGCTGTATTGTAAGAAAGCTGGGCCCCATCTCCACAGGTGGACGGAAGGCCACATCAGTCCTATTAAGATGGCAAGTGGGAGAGAAACAGATGCCGACTAAGCCACTGTACTATCTTGATTGACTACCACATATTTCTTTGTAGGTTTCATGATTGCCCTTCAGATGAAGTTGCTAATTAATTAGTTGCTAATAAATGCAACAGGACTAGAATTCAACTAGCATTTCTAACATTGGAAAGTCTTACCTGACTTCCTGGAGCAGTTGCTCACATTGGCCCCCATTATGGTGCAAGTAGTTTACTGAACACACAAGTTCAATCGGCATCTGAAGGTTCTTTACCTGCTGGAGCCATGCCTCAGGGCTACAATTCAACAATTTTTCTTGCAACATTTCAGTGCAAGCCAATGCAGAAAGCACATCCAGTACCTAAGGTGAGCAGGCATGAAGAGGACTCTGACTATAGGCACAGGCAGTAAGGAAAAAACATATCTACTTCATACAGACAGAATTGCACAGTCTAGTTAATACAATTTTTGGTTAACCAAACTATTGAGTCTATGGGAAAACAATATATTAAATCCTTCCTGATGACATGTGGACTTAAACCTGCATTAGTGAAGAACCCCCCCTTCTCCCCCCTCCCCCGTCTGTGTGTACCAACGCGGACTGCTTTCATCTGTACCTTTGACCCGAACCCGCTAACTAGCGCCAACTCTCTGGTCCGTAGTGAGCTCTGGACTCAGCTTGAGCTTGTGCCCTGGACCTGGTATTCTGCCCGTCCTTGCTGCCACTCACGGCCTGGCACTCACACTCCGAACCAGAAGTGGCCTGCTTGTCACCAGCGCTTTCTTGCTGGCTTTCTTATTTCAGATAAGAATTCCAACTCTGCCTCTTCTTCCAGTTCAAATTTAGAGTTTAAACACCTTGGAATGCTGTGTTTTGAAAGAAGCAGATGCAGCCCCTCTACAGCCCCTTTAGAGCCCTCACAGGCCAGCTGTGCTGCTTTTCCAGCATGCTTTGAGGATAAAGTCATGCAGCTATGAAGCAATCTAGATGCTCCATCTAGCTGTATCTTGTGGGATCAGTATCAGTTAATGTGACCTGCTGATGTCTATGAGGTTTTTGTAGCTATACAACGAACTATACGCCCTCTCAATCCCTGTTCCTCATAAGCGAACTAAGGCTAGCCAGCATGGCATAGCTAGGTGGGTCCAGCTGTGATTATCACTCCTCGTCTGAAGGAGCACTGTCTGACATTTTGAAAAAGGGGAAAGTACAAACACTTCTAAAGAGGCCAACACTGGATCTAAGTCTGTATGAAAACTACTGCTAAGGTGAGAATATGCCTTTTCTAGAGAACTCAGTAGAGAGAATTGTGGTAAGCACGTACAGGCAACTGTAGGCATTCTTTGATTAAATTGTTTTCAGACCTATTTCAGTCTGGGTTCCAATCAGGTTTTGAGACTGAAGCTTCCAGGCCAAATTTAAGGTGTTTCTGCTAACACGTAAAGCTTTGAGCAGCTTGGGATCAGGGTGTCTCAGGTGTTGCTTTATCCCTTAGATTCCTGCTCTGTCTCTGAGATCATGGGGGGGGGGGGGGGTGCCACATGCTCCTGCGGTTCACCTCAAGAGCACCTGAAGTAGAGAACTTAGCGCTGCATCACCCACCCTTTGGAAAGCTGGAAAGACAACCCCCCTCCCCATATTCCTTATGTCTAAACATGTTTTTAATGCCTATCCCTTCACAACACCTTTTCCTGAGGTGTGGCTCAGCTTGCTATAATCTGTACTATAATAAGCGTGTGTGGTTTTAACCTGGATTAACTTTACTGAGTCAACTACATTTTACACAATGTTTTAACACCTCTGCAGAAAGCAGTCTATAAAAGTGAGTAATACATACATACATACATACATAAATGAAAATATACTGGAATCTGATTTTGAGTGATCATCATTAGAATAAACTAAGAATAAAAATAACACATTTACCATTATTATAATAAATTAAACATTAAAGGCATTTCTTAGTTTGAGAAACTGGTCATGACTCTTTAATATCAGTCTATTACAGACCACAGTGCCTCTCCTTTCTATTTATCCTATTTGTTTAAAAAAGCCTATTTTCACGTGCCACGTTGCCTTTATTTTCCCTTCAATCTGTATATTAACTCCAATGTTGTATTTACTCAGCTCCATCATATTATTGTACACAAAAACACTGAATATCTTTTCTGCGTTCTCATAGTACAGCAAGTACATCATTAAAGGCACAGCGTGGAAAGACCTTTCAAAGAAACCTGTGTGACACCTTGTACCTTCCCTGCAAGCATTTCTCCTAATGCTAAAAAGTGAGCACACAGAGGCATATTTTTTCCAGCAGAGTGCTTTTCCTAGTAGCGTGAAACATTATGGCAGGCAAGGTATCATTCCTACCATTTGGGGATGTGAGATGTTGCCTCCTGTCCCTGCATGTTTATCGAGAGCATCGAACACATCAGGGTACACTGCAAGTATCCTGGTAAAGTTCTGCAGTCGATTTCTAAATTGATGGTAACCAAGGTGGATCCAGGGGAGTGGAAGTACCCCATCTTCTGCTGTGGAGGATGCTGGCTTTATTTCCTCTATGCATGATATAAGGGCCATTCGCAGCAACTGGCAATATAAAACAAACCATGAAATAATCTGCAATTCATTTTAATAAACATATTCTCAATTGTACAAAATTAATTTGTTAATATCTTTAAAAGTTCTTCATGTTTCTTTCTCCCAGTGATCAAATGGCCCATTCCTTCATAGCAATCTTGGTGCTATAATATTTATAATCTCTCTCTTATCAAGCAGAGTTTTTTACCTAAAACAGTCTGGCACCCCTAGGAAAACTGTTTCAATAGCTTATATTTACATATTGTTCAAGTACCTGAAAAGATAGATCTGTTCCTTCATTAACGCTAATGGTTGTCAACCAGATCCGACTTCTGGTACAGCTCAAGTGCCGAGCACCATAATTTGACACATGCTATGCTCCAGATATTTCTTAGTGTGCACTTGAACTACATGCAGCCTTGGAAGCTTTCTGTGTGGCCCATGCCAGCACTCAATTTGCCATTGCACTCAAAACTGTTCCCTGGATGGGTCCAAGGTAGAACTTTTTGGTGCAGGCCCTGCTGCTGCCTCAGATGAGGGGATGTTTGGTCAGTCCATGCTTGGCACCACCAGCCAGGCCCTTTGTCCTGGAGCCACCTACGTTACACTTGTCACCTACCAATTTTGCCACTGTACAACCACTGGAGTGCTCTTGGCTGTGGGCTCAAATGCCAGTATGACACTGGCATTCCAAGAACACTCCCCTCACCCATTCCCCTGCTCACTCAGGATTCCTGCAGAATTCCTGAAATTGGTGAGTATTTTATATTCAACCCCAAGGGCTGAATTTTGACTAATGGTCTTTTTTGTTGGCATTCTTGGGACAGGTACTAGACAGGAGTGTCCACTTTCTCCTCTACTATTGGATTTACGTTGGGAATCTTTGACTTGTGCATTTGGACAGATTATAGTATTCATGATAGTTTAGAATTCAAGATCAGTCTTTAAGCTGATGATTTGTTATTGCTGATCTCAAAGATTCAGACATCTATTCCAGCTTTGATTCAGGTGAATAATATTTAACGATATTTGGCTCCCAAAGAAGTTGTCAAATGGCAATGAAGAGGCCCAGTGGGTAAATTGGCTTCCCCGCATCCCTTACAATGGAAGTAAGGGAACAAGGCATCTTTAATGTGCTCCTCCCTCCTAATACTGTCACACCACCAAAATCCTGAAGTCTTATGGCTGGTTGTTCTGCACTGAAGACAGGACCTGTGTGCAGGTTGTACTGAACATTAGTATCAGTTCAAGGCCTATGTGCTGGTTGTGGGTCTCCTGTCACTGAAGTATATAGTCATAGATATCTAGGCCCTTGGAACATAGCATGTGTCAAATTATGATGATCGACAGTTGCATGCTGTATTATCTAGCAGAAACTAGGTACTGCTGGCAGCTAATTGACACTAAGGTAAGCCCAGATCTACCTTCCCAAGCACTTGAAATATAAAGAAGCACTAGCTACTGAAACAGTTTTCCTATGAACGCTAAACTTTTCTAACAAAAAGCCTCAGCTAGATAAGAATCTGAGACTGCTATGAAGTTGACATAATAAGCATTTGGTCCATGGAAAAAATGAAATTAAAGCAACCTCTGGAGATTTAAAAATGCAAAGTTGTTTTAATTACTGTAACATTTCATCAGTGCTTAATAAAGGGAAAAAGCTGCATAAATGTTGACTGTGTCAATTTCAATACATGCATATGATGTGTGCATGTGTATGTGCACATGCATATGTGCATATTAACACTGGTGACCTGTGTAGGACATAGGATAAATTAATTGGAGACTGGGATAAAATAATTGGAAAGGGCGTGGATAGGTTACTAATAAAGGTATGATTTGTGGGTACATGGGAGGGAGAGGTCATACCCACTGCCAGTCCCAATTAAGTCCACTGGCACATAGCCCTTTATCTAGCTGTGATCTTTAAGGACAAAACAGTTGTCCACCCTCATCTTACTACAATACTTACATGTAGCTCCTTATAAGAGGTCACACCCATTGTTAGAAGGATGAAGTCTCTGCTATAACAGTGGAAAAGGGTGTTTTGCTCTTCCTCAGAGAGTGTGGCAATGTATTTCCCCAGTGCTGTCTGCTGAAAGATATTCACAAACTTCTTGGCATGATCTGCAAAACAAGAGCACAGTGGGAAAAACTGTTACATGAAAATATAAAATTGTCATATCCTCTTCCACAGGAATAAAGTCAACCAGTGCCACGGGGCTATTTTAATAGGTGAAACATGTCAACTCTTAAATTTCTTAACTTTGTAACACATCCTTTGTTTACAATGTTGGATATCAGGTATTGGGAAACATAGAACGTAATAAATAAGTGCAATACATCAAAGTGATTTCAAATATGTAATTGGACCAGAAATATGAGACACACTCTCTCTGAGTTTCATCCCACAAAAGCAATTTTTTAAAAGCACCTGACTTTTTAAAAGCAGCATTATGTCCTAGATTTCAATCCAGGCCATTCTCCTATATGCTTTTTTTTTTTTTTTGCTAAAACCTTTGCCTATGATAAGCTGATATTTATATATGAGGATTTGGAAAGAGAAACCAAAAGCTGCAGAACATTAATCAACACAGCCTAAGTACCTCAATTTTACCCTCCTATCTGTTGAAGTTGTCAAGTCTAGGCTTTCCAAAAAGAAGCATTAGTAACCATTTTCTTCCTGTATTCTCACCTTCATTTTCAATATGTTGAGCTTGAATTAAAATATCTTCCAAATAATCCTTTATCCTCCAGCTGAAGGGCATTTCATTGCCAACAGCTGATGAAAACTCAGAGTAATTCTGCACCAGAACTGTCTCCTTTTGGGAGCTGGGCAAGACACAGGGAAAACAATTTAGCAAATCAACACTCTAGTTTAAAAAAAAATCAAAACGTACAATCCTCCCCCCCCCCCCCCCGCCCCAGGCAACAGTGTATGTCCTTCAACTGAGATACAGGCAAGATATCTGTTTACAATGCAACAGAAGCAATAAATGTAGGATGATATGACTATGGGAAACAACTGGTATGCAAGCTACCCTAATAACACATTCCAGAAGCACTGAATCTGTGGTTGGTGTGCTTGAGAAACTCCACCTTTTATATACTGAATAAAGGGGTGCCAAACTCAGAACAAACTGAAGCAGTTAAGTTTTCTGGAAGGCTTATGCAGCACACTTTTTGATACCAAAGTTTGGTGAACTGGTTATGAATCCTTCCATCTTAAGTCCCATGAACAAGAACATAGCAGGCTCTTTGTGAAGTAGCCACAACCCCTGAAAAATGGCCTGCTGCTGCCATATAGATGCCAACTAAACAAATAATGTATATGCTATTTCTTCATGAGGAATCAAAGATCACATTCAATATTCATATTGAACAGCTAAATGTGTAAGGAACCATTCCCATCTTTACCAGCTTACCTTCTCTGACCCATGACATAAGGGATGTTCAGAAGTTTCAGGTCACTGAAAATGTACATCCACAGATCTTTCACACAATTTTCTATCACTGGGTTGACCAGTAGGTCCAAGTTACAGTCTCTGTCGAGGACAGACAGCATATAAGCTAGCAATGGCGTCACTGCACGCTGGACCCGCTTCCACAGGGTGTGTCTGCAAATGCCAAGACAGTCAAACCATGCGAATTAATTCCAATTTCCAAACCAATTGGTACCAAAATTACGTAATATGCTGTCAAAACTAAAAAAGCAGCAGACAGGGATTAAGTGTGAGGGGGGAAATGTTTAACGTCAACTTATCAGATAAAGAATGAAACAATTTATGTATAAGAGGCCTAAAGCATTTTAGGTAGTATCAAGGTAAAGTTTCTACAGGGTCAAATAATGTGGTATTTAACACACCACAGTTGATCTGCAAAACTGTAATATACTTTGTATTATTTTAATTATAACAATAGAAAAAGGTACAGGGTGTAAATTTCCTCTGGCTTGAACAGTTTTATTATTTAGGTAGGTTTGATCAATTAGTAGTATCGAAGACTTAAGGGATGGTTTCGACTCTGTTCAAAGAAAGAGGGGCACAAAAAATATCATCTCTAAGAGAATGAAATAATAATACTAGTCTTTACAACTCATATTATTCAAAATGGTATCAACTGAAGCAGAGTAAGATTCTTTGATAGAGCTAACAATTATGAGTGCATACAGTTATTACTTCAAGAACACAAGTTTTAATAGGAGTTTAGTTACAATCTTGTACCCATTACACACATTTAAATGCACTGAAATAAATAGGCTGGTACATTTAACTAGCTGCAGGATTGCCAATTGCTGGAAACTAAAAGGGCTGCACATTAAACACTGAGGCCTCTTTGTTGCCCTTGAAAAGCTATTTACGAGGCCCGGGGCGATTTTCTGAAGCAGTATTCAATGGCATACAGTAACATGAGAAACTGAGAACCCCTCACATGACTGTATGAAAACAACTTATGGATGCGCACAGCTCCTTCGGATGATGTTCTAAATGATAAATTGCTACAATTTGACAAATTCAAGTGGCAGTCTATACCTGAAAGTTCCTGCTTCCTGGAGGGCATTTAGGTTTGATGCCTCCTGGAGCACCCACTGTTTCATGGTGTAAACACTCTCTTCTTGCTTCATCAAAAGATCAGAGAGGCGTTTCTTTGTTATTTTCAGAAAAGAGCCTGAAAAGCAACCAAAAAATGTGCTAATACACATATGGCTGAATTTCTAGAGTTGAGGCAAGACAAAAACTACCTCTTTCCACAAGACTGACAGGTAATTTAGTCAGATTTGATGATCAACAACAGCCTTGGTTTCCTAATCTTCTACAGTGCCTTGTAAGACATTTTAAAAATGAATTCTGTCCTGGTAGATATTCACAGGAACACAGAAGCAGCAGCCTGCTGGATCAGACCCAATGACTCACCAGTCCAGCATCCTGTTTCTCACAGTAGCTGATGATATGCCTATAAAATGTCAGCGAATAGCTCAGCATCTGCTGCGTCCAATTAATGCTATTCAGATGTGGAACCTACCAGGGGTGGCACACCTGAATGGAACTGCTGCTGTGAGGAATTTGCGACTCAAATTTGGAGGCAGCAAAAAAGGGAAGTTGTACTTTAAATTCAGCCCTCCATATGTCATCAGTATTCCATTTTTGTATGTAAGGTTACAGAGGTTTATGCTGAAATTTCATCCATCTAAATAGAAGGGGGTCCCAAGAAATCCGTTTTTAAGATTTAGCTGCTTCCAACAAAGCTACATTTCATGAGGTAGGGCTGCACACTTTCACCTGTATGTATTAGCATGTTTTTTTTCACCTCCAGAGAGGAACTTTTGCCAAATTACATTGAACCAACTCTGCTGGGCTGCAGCCAGGGAAGCACAGATGCTGCAAAATCCATTCCAGCTCCATTCTGCAGATTGCCAAGTGCCTTTCATTGCACTTTTGAACTAATGCAGTGATGGAACTGGGATCTGTGCAAAGGTATTTGCACAAAGTTGTAGTTGCACAAATTCACACTCCTGAAATGTGCAAATCCTCCCAAATGAGCAAACCTCCCCATAATAGAGATCTGGTAAGGGTTCTAGTCCCCACTCAGCCATGGACTTCACTGGGTAACTTTGAGGCAGTCGCAGACTCTCAAACCAACCTACCTCACAGGGTCGTTGTTGTGAGGATAAGTTTGAGAGGAGAAGAATTATGGAAGCTGCCTTGAGTTCCTCAATAAGCAAAAAGTCAGGATATATGTATGTATGTATGTATGTATGTATGTATAATAAATACTGCATTACCCTTATCTACCCTTGTATTTCCCACCACATCTGGCCAACTAGAGCCAAAAAAGTACACAGAACAAAGATTACCTGTAATCTTATAACTGTGCAAGTCTGAAATTCCCCAGCAGTTTCACTCTGTGCTCAACAGTACATAATAACCCTGTGACTTGATGCTATGTGTGAAGCAAGATTATATGAACATATTCTTGGAAAGGGTTGCATCAAGACATCTTCCAAACCAAGTGCTTATTCCAGACCAAGTCATACCTTTCAAGTCATCCTCCTCAGATAAGAGACTAAGCAGAATCTCAATTCTCTTGGTGCTACGGCTTGCAATCTCATTTTGGTCCCTCAGCATTCCCACTGCACTTTGCACACAGCTCTTTAGAAGGAGGGTGCTGTCCAAGATGTTGGTCTTTCCAGCCATACAAAATCAGAAAAAGAAAAAATGACTATTAGTATCCTGATGCTAAGGACCATGGCTGGTACACATTCCCCTCTAAAAAAAGCTACCCATATAATCAAGTGATTTCTGACTGTAATGGCTCCTTTGTCTGACAACCAGTTTAGGTGACAAAGGTATGAAATTTCACTTGCAGCCAAGAATGAGCCAAAGGATCTTTTAAGAGACAAGCATCCCTAATGTAGGCACTGGGGCAACACCTCTACAGACACAATGACATGGGGATGGATTTGGAGTCAAATGGGGAGAGGGAAGGTGTGGGTGACGTGCTGAGGATGTGGGACAGTAGATTGGTAAAAAGAGTAAGGACAGAAAGGAGGTATTCCAGCTGTCTTCTGTTCTTTCAAAGGACAGCCAAGCTCGGCCTTCTGAATCTGTGCAGCCTCCTAGCAAAAAGGAGGGAGTGGAAATATGAAACCCAAGAGTTGGGGGTCAGGTGAAAAGGGATGGGCGGCGGCAGCCATTTTGTGACTAGCCAAATTACAGGGAGACACTCAGGAACTTACAGCCAATGTTTCTTGACTGGGTGTTGCAATAACTTCTACCTCCATCTCCTCTTCCTTTTCTTCCAGTCCCTCTGCCATCATAGCTGCAACAACACAGAAAAGATGCAATCTGTGTACTGGTGATATTAGGAATTTCAACAGACTGTCAGAATTTGATGATACAGGATTTACTGAAATTCTTACAGTTGTGGTTCTCCACAGACTTCCCTTTGTCTTCAGAAAACAACTCGCTGATGGTGATATTCCTCAGGGCACTCACATCAGAGACGATGTCCTTTGACCTTCTTAGATCATCAATATGCACAGACTGCCAGAGTCCTAGCAACAGATAACAAGATACATCAAGAAATGCAACTTGCACTGACAAGGAAGTATGCAATTTCATTCTGCTTCTCTAATTTCCCAAGAAGAACACTCTCCATTAGAAAAAAAATCATTTAGAAGAAGTTTCCTTTGCATCTGAGCAGCCGTTCATCTAAGAAACTGTATTACAGGATGATATAAAAGAGACAGTTTAAGGCACTATAGATACAACAGTCAAGAAGAAGTCAGCATGCAACATCATTCCTGATTGGATCCTCCACAAACCCCCTACCTTCAAATCAATGACCTGCATTTTTAACATAGTTGCTAACTAGGGATATTTGTCTAAAAATATTAATGAACAACTTTGAAAATGCCTAATATTGTATTTGAAATAGAAATCCATCCATGGAAAAATAAAGTACTGCAAATATTTCCATCCCATATCACTGACTCTACCTCCTAATTTCTCATAGCTAAGACATTTCTTTCCTAGCTATCCTAGATTCAAAGAGAATGTTTATCAAGTTTCTATCCATGTTTAGTGTTCCCTTCTTTAATTAAGATTATGCCGATATATCTCTAAGAGAGAGCCAGCATTCACAACATACAGTAAATAGTACTGGGTTGGAGTACAAACACACTTCTGGATCAGCTATGAAGTTCAGTAGTAGCCAGGCCAACAACCTGCTCTGACTGGCTCTGTCCCTAGAACTCTGGGCAGCCATTGCTGATCCTGGCAAAGGAGACTCGCTTGTGAGCAAGCCCGCTTGGCCAAGATTGGCAGCAGCTGGTGGCATCCCCACCTGCTGTTTCAGGTTGGCAGGGAAGAGGAGGGTGATTCCAGGTGGCCATGTGCATAGCTGGCTGAAGGTGGCACCTCTTCCACACTGTCACTGCCAGTCATTTCAGATCGGGCATCACCAGCAGGGAAGAGGCTGCTGAGCAGACAAGCATTTTTCAACTGGATATCATGACAGATACCAGTTCAACATCCTTATGAGCAGGCTGAACTGATGGCTGTTCCTCCACTTCCCCTCTCCACAGTCACTGAAAAGCATCTGTGGAGATTGGGAGAAACCCCAGTGCTCCTGTGGGGTCCCCTGAGATACCTACACAAGGACTGAGGCACCCTACTGTCATGTGCCTGATCATTTGTTGGGCACAACAGGGGTAAAATGGCCTCTCTGACACAGTGTGGCTCATTGTCTCATGTGAACTCCCCCACCACTGCCTAAGCTAGAAGGCCCAGGTATGGCCACAGCAGGCTATTTTTATTCATCTCTACTTGTACTGGTTGGCTGGTTTTTAACAGCTCCAGCAGCATCACAAATCAAGTTGGGGACCTCCACCTTCATTCTGCATCTTGTACATAGCCAGTCCTACCTCCATGAAATCCCACATAGGAACTTCCTCCTTTAACTCGTGATAGTTTAGTGATGAAGAAAACGAATACTGAGGCATCATTCAAATCTATTTTGTTGATTTCGTTAACAGCTGAGTATCTGCAAGAGAAGGGAAACCATTACCACCAATGCTGCACAGTAAGTCCTGCTGAACATGCAGTTTTCATTCAAAACACACCCAATTTAATATTTCAACTTGTATAAGGCTTACCTCCCCACTTCACTACAGCACACAGTACTAGGAGAGCTACTGCATTCACATAACTCTACACTAATCTCAAATGCAGGGAGGGGAGTTCTCCACCATTCTCCTTTGAGATGGTGGGGATCCAACCTGGGAGCTTCTGGGTCCTGAACTTCTCCACATTTGCAGAGAATATGTAAAAACCAGGAGCAACTTAAATTATGACCAACAGCCATGTGGTTCATGCTGCTCTAATTATGAGAATGGAAAATACATTATACACATCCTCTAACATACTTGGCTGAGGCAACAAGCTGGGCACTGAGAGGTCCATTTTCAAAGTCAGTCTGAACAATCAGGATTTTCCTTCCAGGTGTAGCACTCAAAAATGTCCTGAAAGGAAACAGTGAGAGATAGCACAAAGTGTTAGATGTGTTTTTACTTTCCTGGTTGTCGTGAGATGGTCTCACATTTCAATTAACTCACACAGCAGGCCTTATATCAGTTTGAAACTTTTATTGGTACTTTCTACAAGATTTACAATGTCGCTGATAAGCTCCACTAACGAGCACTCTATCGGCTGCAGTTGCTGCTTCTTTCTGACTTTCTACGAAAGCATCACGTGGTCTCAAACCTTCCGATCTTGTCTTTCCACCCGAGGGTGTGACAGACCCCTGCCCCTTTGTCGTAATTGGGTCTGTCGTGCCAAAGCTTTTCGGTTTTGGGCTGATGCCAAAATAGAACTGTCTTCTTGCTCTCCCGAGCTCTGTTCAGCAGCTTCAGAGCTAGAAGTCGGGGGGGCATCTTCTTCTGGCAGTCCAGAGCTAGAATCAGGGGAAGCTGCTCTCTCAGACACTTCCCAATCAGCCTGCGGGGGGGGGGGGGGGTTGTATGCTCAGGGGCCGAGGGATGAGATGGAGGAGAGGTTTCTTGCTCAGCAGCCTGAGAGTCAGGCTGCATAGGGGCTGTCTGAGGACTAGTTCTCAAATATAAGTCTCCTTGGTCAATCGCCAAACTCTCACTGTCAGCTCCTATCTCTTCCTCACGAGTAGACATCTCTGCCAAGGTGTTAGGCATGACACTGGTGGAGAGAATGCATCACACACACACCCGCACAAACATACACAAAAAAATACTATATAAATCCCAGTAGCCTGAAACCATAACATAACCTTGTTCTCTAGTTCCTCATTCCATTCTAAAATTTTAACATAATATGCAATTTAGTCTTTGGGTTGGCAACACAGTGCCCTCAGACGCTTCCTTGTGCCCACCAAAGACCCTTATTCCTCCCAAGTTTTTTTTTTAAACCCACCAATTAAAACAATGACCTTAGGCAACTGGAGGTTAACAGAGCTCTGGCCATGGCCACCCTGTCCTTTTACTTACCCAGAATGCTTCTGGGCCTCATATGGACTGAGGACATTCTACAGGGGCAAGCAAAAGGGTAGGGCAGCTGGAGGCCACAGCTCTCGGGCTGGTCTGTCAGCCAGCAGCAATTAGCAAAACCTGAAAGAAAAGCTCAGGGAGGAACAGGCTGCTGCCAGGGAGGAGTAAGCTGGGCAACTTGGAAACCACTTGGGGGATTTGGGAGAGCCTGTGGGGAGAGGGAGGGGCAGGGATGTGTGCTCAGTTCCTGCACGGTTGCAGCATGGTGTGTGCCATTGGCCTGTGTTTGTGGTATAGGTTTTGAAGCTGTGAGTGTTGGGGGGGGGGGGTGATTTGGAGTGATCTTTCTGTTTGTGATGTAAGTGATGTAGTGATGTAAGCCGCCCCGAGGATTCGGCGAATGGGGCGGCATAAAAATGTTTTAATAAATAAATAAAATACTTCGTTTGGATATTAATTTTGGAAGAATTTATTCAGCAGTGATTTGGAGAAACTGGCCTTCCCTTCTGTGAAAAGGGAGCTTTGTTCAAGAGGAAAGCTATGGACATGAGTTTGTGTTCTTCCTTTAGCTGTACCACTTTGCCTCTCTACAAAGTGGGCAGAATTTTTTCAGAAATAAATTAACATGGCCATTGAACCATGACATCTTGTGATTCCCCCTTAAGAGCAGCCCTCCGTTCATGTTGTCCGTCTAGTCAAACACCTGTGTGTGCCTACAAGCCTTAAACATTTAGAGAGATTAGTTTATAAGCCTTCAAAGCTAAGAAGAGCAGCAACTCACCGAATTTCTTTCAAAAATGAGTGTTCTGTGTCAAACTGATGCAAGAACAGAACTTTGAGGTTGTCCATATCACAACACATTTCTTTCTGAAAAGTCTCTGTATCTGCTGCTGTCAGGAGCCTGGAGAAAGTAGTGATCTATAGGGCAAGGGTAAAGAACAGAGCAAGTTTCTCTGTCAAACATGAAGCAAGCTTTCTAGGGTTCATGTACAATTCTACAAAGCAAGCTACTTTTTGAAACCGAAGGGAGTGGTATGGTGCAGCAGTCGATTGTTCCAAGAAAAAAAAAGCACAGCTCCTTTCATGTTCAGTGCGTGAAAACCCTTGAAGCATGCTCTTTGGGTATCCAGCCTTAAAACTTGAAAGTGTATCAGTGATTACTTTGGTCAAAGCTGAACTGCCTGAGAAACTTTATTTGAAACCTGGCTGTTAACTGCAACTGCTCTTCAAACATTCAGGAATAGTTCCAGATATTGTCTTCCTTCTTGGATATTATCATGCCTACCTGGATTTTCTAGATTTCTGCCACTTATGTAAAACACTCCAGGAAAGTCGACATATAATGACCCATATAAATGCAAAGATATGCCATTGATTGTTGTTACGAGCTGGGCAAGGCTTGGGTTTACACACTTTGCTCTTCCTCTTCTCTTTCACACACAAGCCTGAAACTTGCTTGCTACAAGAATGCGCTACAACTTTAATGTCTAAACCAGAGCACTGTTTATACAATACCAAGCTGTAAAGTAGGTACTTGATGAACATGCTAATGAATTCACCAGAGGGCTGGTAATTAATACTTCACTTTTTCACCTAATGAAGGCTTAAACCTTGAATATTCAGACAAGTGTGACTCAAACTACTTATTACCTTAACATGTTTTTTCTGTCTTGAACCATCATCTCCAAGGCAAGGAGGCTGAACCTTCATTGCCAGTCCACAGAGATCATAGAAGTATCTCTTTCATTTCAGAAAAATAGCATTGTTCAAGTGTATTTCCATGCAGATAGTCCCATCTCCTAAATGTCTAGAATGTTTTTTATATAGAAGTACAAAGTGGTATTTCAGAACAACTCACCTCAGTAAAGACTGTGCGATTCCTGGATTCTCTGTCAAGACAAGCATGGAGGAAATCTGCAAGACAGGCATGCTGCTGTTGCTGAAAGTACAGTGCAGCCAACTGATGTGCCAGAATGGAACCAAGGCATGAATCACCAAGACGGATGACCGAATCTGGTGTTGCACAGTTCAGCAGGACTAGCTTGGCCTGTTCTTCTACTTTTTGTATTAGTTCCTGAGAAGAAATGCCTGTTTTCAGCTCTTCTGTCACCTGCAGGACAACTGAGGCACAGGTGTCAGAATGGTAGCCAACAAAGACATCGGAAGGGGTATATTTTTGCTGGCCCATCAAATGCTTTTCTGTGTTAACTGCTCTAAAGTTGTCCACCCATTTTTTCAGTTCTTTGACTATGTCCCTTTGCCACTTTTCCAACACTGAATTGATATCCAAGTAGTGTTTCTCAAGCCTGTTGATCAACGGAATGGGGAAGTGCTTGTAGACCACCTCTTTCTCCTCGATGACAATCAAACGGAACTCTGGATGCACTCTGCATTTCACTCGATGCGTCCCCAAACCCAAGTCCACATACTTCTGACCAGCCAGTTGAACATAGTATTGGTTGAGGGCATCATACAGGCTTTCATAGAGATTTTGCAGATTGAGAAGGACAACCATCTGCCCAGTCTCCATACAGATCTTTACTCGATTGATGTTTCTGCAGATCTGGGTATATTCCTGGTCTTTGGGAAAACTGGAACCAAAAATAATTTCTGGCTGTGCTTCTCTGAAAAAAGTCTGCTGGAGGATCTGTAGTGCTGCATAATTTTCTGTTAACACTAGCAGGTACCGGCATTCTCCTTCCTGATAGTCACTGTAAATGTTCTGTTTGACTAGGTTGATTGTACTGATGTTCTCACAGTGGACATTTCCTTTTTCTGCCATCTTAGACATAAAAATATCCAAGGCCTCAATGCCTTCCTTTCCACTGAAATTACGGAGAACCACCTCTGCTAAGTCACGGGGACCAGGCGTGCTCTTAAATCTTTTTGTCAGAGCAAATGCCATTTTTATGAGGCTGTAATAGTCACGCAACCCAAAGAACTCTTTATTTTGGATCTTGCAAATCTCTTCATATGCATCTGCAAAGATAGGAAAGAAATGCTCAACCTTCTGCAAGATGACACGTTCTGAAGCACAAATACCCTTTGCACTTTCTATAAGTTCCTTCTTGCTTGGGTCTCCCCGGGACACAAAGATACCCCGATTCATCTTAGCTGGATCCAGAGCCCAGTTAGATATCCCAATGAAGCCAACTTTTTTGTGAGGGAGCGGATCATCATCAACACATCCATCTTCCAGGAGTGGGTGAAGAGTCTTCAGAGGCATTTTGGGAGAGTCTTCAGCCAAGCCAATTTCATCTAGTACTACCACAGAAACATATTCCTTCAGGTTCTTTCCTTCTTGGAAGCGAGAACAATGCTTGAAAGTATTTATGATCCCCTCAGGGGTAGAATGTGGGCTGCACTGAAAGGATACCAAATGAATTTGCTTCAGCTCTTTATAAAGCTCAGAATATGCCGCCTGGCCTTGCATGGCATCAGCCACAATGGTCTTGGCAAGAGATTTGGAGCTGCCAGGTTTTCCAATAAGGAATAAAGGAATCTTCAGTTCAATGCAGATAACCATCATAAAGACATTTTCCTTCAGTGCCAAGTTCCTTGCTATTGTTTCCCTCAGAGGTGCACCATTCAGGAACAGATCCTGAACTAAGCCAATTTCTTCAAGAATTTCCTTCTCATTATCATATGGGGATGGAAGTATTTTGCTGATGACCCTTCTGTATGCCTCTTTCTTTGCCAGGGAGGCATGATAGCAAACACTAACTGAAAGAACCAAGGACCAAATGAATGGGTCTCTTTGGGAAAAACCTTTAGCAGTCTTTGTCTCTGCAAGATACTTCTCGAGATGTTTCATGAGCAGCTCACTGCGGCTGTAGAACCACTTGAAAACCTCCACACAGCGTTCTACATCTCTGAGGCTGATGAAGCTACATTCATCATTCCTTTTCCTCATATAAGTCTGAGACTCAAAAAGCACTTGTGTCATTGTCATAATCTCATCATCAGACATTGGTATTGATCTATTAAGCCTTTGGACAATTTGCTGTATATAGAGCTTTTCAGTAGAGTTGTTCAGTTGTCCAAAATCCCAAACCAGAGGCATCATGCTAGGTGGGAGTGCATGCACACGGTATACAAGCTGTCTAAGAGGAATAGAGCCAAGCTTATCCTTGGTCTCCTCTGCTTTGACATGATAGCCCAAGCCAGATGACTCCAAGCGCTCAATCATCTTTTCAGTGTGTTTCCGATAAGGATTACAGGCAGCTATGATTTGCAAGCCTGAATTGTGCTTCAAAGGCTCTCCTTCTACAGTGTGATCACACAGGACCTCCTTGATGCTGCTGACAGCTTCAGTAGTGTTGGCTTCATCAAAAAATAAGATTGTGCCAAACTGAAATTGCTGCATATTGGCAATGGCAATAGCTTCTACATCTCGCACTTTGTCATAAATTGCATCTGCTGTGGTGCCTCCATGGACTTTGACAAGCTTCATGTTATTAGCAGGAGCACCACTCCGACGCAGTTCACACAGGAATTTTATAAGCCTGGTTTTTCCACAACCAGTTTCTCCCATGAGGACAACAGGGATCCCACACCTGAACCGCATTTCAATAGCAAGGATCTTCAGTATATTATCTGTTGTGAGCTCATATGTTTCATCAGGATCAATTGGCCACTGAATTCCTAAAACCATGCACAGTGTCGCAATTTTCTGATCCCTGGGCAACCGATCAAAATCAACATTGAATGGAACTCTCTGAAGAACCAGCCCCTGGTACAGTTGAGTACTCATCACGTTATTCTTGATGATACTCCCATTCAAAGGGTTGATGGCATCAATTCCGCCATTAGCATTGGGCTTGAGATGAAAGCCAATGAATGTCATGGATGTAGAGTCCTCATTGAAGAATATATATGGGTGGGGTTCAGACTCCCATTTTCTCCGAATACGAAATGGAGCAAGATCTTCTTCAGTGACTCCTTCCATGTTAAACACCTGCCTCCCAGGGCTCTCATCAGAAATATTAAGTGAAGGTGTTGCAAAATCTTTTGCCATTAAAATCATGAAGGTGACCACAAAATTTTTGAAGCCCTGCAAAGCATCATGGATAAAATCCCTATTACAGAACACTGATCTTTCACAGTTTCTCAGCTGCAGGTTCAGAAACCAAGCAAAATTCCTCAGTTCTGACCAAGAAGGATCTTTCACTCCACAGTGGATGAGCAGCAACTGTAGGCATTCTGCTGGTGTCCCTTCAACTGAGTCTTCTTCATACTGGAATGTGTCAAGATTATCAGCTCTGAAGAATCTTGTTAAGTACTGGAATGGTCTCTGAAAAGCTGCACTACAGAACAATTCCTGATCCATTCCTGGGTCTGAGCAGTCATGGGATCTGTCTTTCTGGGTGTCTCTTTCTAGTACTTTCAAGGGAGATCTGCAGGTTACTTTGGGAAACACATCTAGAAGGTTGTAGCTCAACCCCGGAAAAGTCTAAAGGAAAACAGAATAAAATCCAAGAGATAAGAAACTAATTTTACAGTACTCATGTAATTTATTTCCCCCTTTCTTACAAGGTTAATCACTTTCCCCCATTATTTCAATTTTACTATTCTTCTATATTTAGCTGCATTTTCCTAATGGCCAGTATTTTAACTTGGTTTCCTTTGTTATTGATTTCAGCAATGCTCTACTTTTGTATCACAAAGCCAGCCTAGCTGGCCAGATTTAACACAATTAAGAGTTTAGTTAGGAAGTCTTTTGTCTTGATCTGCTTGGAAGGAAAGGGAAAAGAATGGTGCACAAGGAGAAGCTAGTCTATCACAACCTCTGTGTCTCCCTTGTCCTCAAATGATGAAATTATGGTGAGGTGATGGAAAGTTCTTTTACTCACCCTCGAGCCACCCTTCCATCATTGAGGCCATTGCACAGATGAACCAAACATGAGGGCCAGCCTATCTTTTCCAAACCTGGCCCTAACTATGATCACAATCACCTATGGTCTCACACATCTGCCTTCAAAATTCTAAAATAGCACCTACAAATTTAAACAATTGTTTTTTATTGACTATTAGACCTATTGAATAAAAACATTTTAAATATGGAATAGGATTTTTATTGTGAAAGTTCAACAGAATACATCAATAACAAAGAGGAAATAGTCATGTAAAGATATGAAGTTTATACATAATTTTAACAACTAACAGAACAATCAGTGCCCAGATCTGCTGGCTGGTGAATGCCTGTGTGAGCAGGTGTGCTGGGGTGGGCAGACATGCCCTCCAGCTGGCAGAGTGAAGTTCTACCATGTGCTCTGGTCTCCCAGTTCTGTTGTGGTACCTGGTGTAACACAGCAACAGGGAGGCTTTGGATCCAACGCTTCTTTGATCTCCTTTAAACTTTCCATTAGTTCAAAGCCATAGAAATTCAAAGAAGTTGACTGAGTACCTTTATCTTCAAATACAATCAACATTCCCAAACAGATGCCAAGACTATTACTTCTAGGTATCAGACAGGCCTCCTTTTGAGTTCAGTACAGTTTTCATCACTACACAAATTTTTAAACAAATTATTATTTTCCTGAATAGTAAAGTTAAAAAAAATCTTACTTTAGCATACTATATAATATTAATAAAGAATTTTGAAGACATTCTCAGTATAAATACATAATTAAGCTGTAGTTTAATTTCAAGAACAATTAAATGGGAGTTTTGCAATAGGATTCAGTAGTTGTAGACTCTGAAATACAACATAGGTACTAAGAAAATGAACAAGATAATACATGTCATGCAAAGGCACTTACAGCTCTTGATCTTTTGGGTGATGAAGTGGTTTCAAGAATTTCTATGACATACAAGTGGCACTGTCTCCGCAGCCACAGTTTCCCATCTATGTCTGCCAGGTACCGTAAAACTAACAGCTTGAACAAAAATTCTGGAATTCCCATCTGGACCTAAAGTGAGTACAGAAACTTGGATGGATGAGGGAGCAAGGCAAGATGATCGTCCCTGCCGCTGGTCTACTGCTTTTAAAAATATTCCCTAACAAAAAGTGTCATTGAATGAGAAGTTACGAGGAACAATCTGAGTAAGAAATGCAGTACACTTACTGAGGAAGTAATATCAAAATGAAACATCATGGGCTCTTTCTGGTACTTTTCTACCAAGAATGGAAGGAGACTCTTCAACACTTTGCTTTCATCCACATGGGGCTCTATCAGTCGAATGGTTTTTAAGGGCACATCAAAGCCATGTAGTTTTGCTCTCATTTTCTCATGCAGCCTCTTTACATAGAGGGACTTTCCTATTATTGGTAACAAAAATCACATTTTAGATATTAATGCTTATAGAAGATAAGAAATGCTAGAAATAAAACACAGTGGATTGGTTTAAGACAGAGCTTCCCAATTCTGAATTATTGCTTAACAACAATTAAGAATAGCAAGAGAAAGTGTGTTTGTGTGCGCACGTGCATGCATGTGGGAATACAATCTAATTTTCGCATGATTTATTTCAGCACAAGCTTTTTTTCCCAGCAAATACCATTCAGAGCTGATGCCATTGTAGTGGGACTACATTTCTGGATTTGATCTGAAAGAGTTAGCAGCACCTCAAACTGTACCACAGTATCTGTCCAACATGGGATTTAAGTCTGCCACAAAACAGCAGGCTGACAATCCTTCTCTTGAGCAAATCTGTTTGGACAGGAACTCCAGCCTGTTGCTGTAGGCAGGTTTGCCTGGTGATCTTTGCATTTCTGTACTACTCGTGGTCAATGTAAACATGCAGACAACTCAAAACCAAAGAAGAAAAATTAAAAGGAGCCAACGTAACACTGTAGAAATATCTTAAAGCAATGGAACACAACCTGCATCCTTGCATGGTGAAGGTGTATGATCTATACTGCACCTTTCCTCACAGTACCCGAATTCCCACAGTACACTCCATTTCCTGCCCAACAATCCTCATAAAAGTTGCTACTAGGGATGAGTGAGGAGCCTGTTTTGTTTTGGGGGTGAGAATCCATCAGATGCCCTGGGCTCAGCTCCCCAGACTCCAGCCCACTTTCTTGCAGGAATGAGTCCAGTCCCCTAGTGAGTCTGCTGAGTATTCACATTTGGCCCTCTCCAGGAATCAAGCCCTATGTGAGCACTGTGCAAGTGCCATCCCTCTTCCATGCACGTGATTTTCAGTCTTTGTTGGAGCTGCACATGATGCAGGAGTTGGTTGCTGGTTGGCAACTGGGGTTCCACATGCATTCATGGACTTCCTCTTGGCTCACTTGGCTTTCTAAGATTGAGCCAAGCATGAGAGGAAGTCTGTCAACCGAAGAGGGACTGCTTCCACACAGCTTCATTGCAACTAGCTGCTACTTCCCCACCGAGGCTAGCAGTGAAAAAAACAGCAACTGTACTTGTGCACATATAGCCCTCAAACCAGAATCACATAAGGCCTTTGGGACCACAACTCTTTTTAAGCAAGAAAATAAGAACCACCAAACTGGATCAGACCAAGGGTCCATCCAGTCCAGTGTTCTGTTCACACAGTGGCCTACCAGCTGCCCAGAAGACCCCACAAGCACCTTCCCACTCAAACTCCCCAGCAACTGGTCCACATAGGAATGTTGCCTCTGAAAGGACTAGTAGCCATCAATAGCCTTCTCCTCCATGAATGTACCCAATCCCCCTTGAAAGCCTTCCAAATTGGCAGTCGTCTCCATCCTGAAGCCATGGAGAGGGAGAACCAATGCCCCTACCTATTTTCAGGAATACTATAGTAAGATTGCTGACAAGGGGCTATACCTAACACTATCATGAAAAACAAACAGTCTTACAAATTAACAATATTATGGCAATTTGTTTTTTATTGTTAAAATAAACCTAATGTCATCTAAACCCTAAACTGTGATTAATGTTAGCTAGTTCCATAACACTTTGTCTGAAGTAGGTGTCTTTCAAATCAAGTTAGGGTGTGAAGCTTGTTCAGGGCTCATACTTGCCAGGCTGAACTGTCATTTAGTGTTTCAACAAGACTGGGCTTAAATAGTCTGAAATCAAAACGGAAAACTCTTTGAATTTTGTTCTCTTACCCATTCCAGCTCTCTTGGAAGATACCACCCCAATGCACATTTGGTCCTTGAAGAGGGATGCTGGTGAATTTTCAGACTGTGTGGCTTTGTAATGATTCCCAAGGTAACTCTGGACATCCCTCAGGGGCTGCTGAGGGATCATATGAACTCTGAACTGACTGAAGACTGAGGGGACATAGCAGTGCTCTCTCTCACAATTGCAGAGGATGACTAGGCTATAGTCATCCTGATGCTTTAAATGAAGGCGCTGGAACAGTTCCTCAGACCTGTAGCCCACATCATAGCTCAATTCATCTGCGAACAGCAAGGAGTAAACCTTCTTTTCCTTGCAGCCTGGAGTGAGGCACCGTCTCAGAAACAGTTCCACTTCCTCATAGGTGGTTGCTGGTGTGCACAGGAGGACCTCATCGTAAGAAGGTAGCGTCTGCTCTGGGCTATTCATGTAGATAGCCAGCGTAGAAGCCAAGATGTCAGAGCGAGGGCAAAGAATGAGGTTGGGCCTGCTAACATGAAGACCTTGCGGCAACACCCGTGTAATACTCCTCTTCTCCAAACTTGCCAGTTTATCCAGGAAAATGCCAAGGGTTTCAATGTCCAAGCAACCTGGAAAGAATGAGTCCATGTTCTTCATGTAGGATTCCCAGATATGCTCTAGTTCCACAGTTAACTCTGCAGTCTTCCTTTCCATCGGTTCAAAGAAATCAAAGTTCCGCTTTGATTTTTTAGATTCCATTTGTTTGGTGACCTCATGGACATCCTGTTTACTACAGTTGTGCTTTATGAATGACAGCATCATTAGAGCAGCCTCACTGGGGCATTTTGACCCAAGATCCCTGCACAAATAGACTATCTGCTCAGCCGTGTAGAAATTCAGATAAAAGTATTGGGATCGCTTCTCAGACACGAATAAATTCCACCTCTCCAGGAAACTCTCCATCTTTCGACATATGGCTGGCAGAACCTCTGTAATGTCTCCATTTCCCAAAAGGTCACAGCTAGGATGCAGATTGAAGTTCATAATAATGCACAATTCATTCTTGGGTGAGCAATTTACATCAGCAATCCAAGATTGGAAGAGCATGTTTCCAGCAGAATAGAGGTCTATGAAGGACAGTGCAAGTCTCTGAACGCTAGAAAATACCTAGGGTGGGGCACATACACAGTGAGATAAATGATGCAAGTACCAAACGATATTTTGACAGCCATCACCCATTAACAACCTCACTGACAAAATGCTTCAGACAGACCTCAATTCAGTCTGCAGGAAGAGTGATCCTATGGGACCTAGACAGCATCTAGGGGCCCACAGGATATTTTGCATTCCACACCCAAGGTCAGAAACAGAGCTCCAGCCCTGGAGCCAGGGATCTGTGCTCTAGTTCCCCTCACAGCTGAAAAGGAAAGAACTACGATGACTGCTTTTCCAAGGCTGAGAAACCAAGCTCAGAGACAGGGAAAGGGGGGAGTTCAAGCGGCAGGGAGGGGAGAAAACTGGGGCAGCCTCCAGCTTCCTCCATTCCCCCTCTGAAGCCAAGCAGCCTTGAACTGTTTAGCTTCAGAGGGACTACTGAATGAACTACTGCCACTCCTCCTGCTCTGCACAGGATATTCATAAGCATCCAAGTCTGTGTCCTTAATGCTCTGGTTATGAGCATCAAGGGCACAGGCGATAGGATTATTCCTTAGTGACATAACAGCACCAGAAGAGACTCTAGCTAGTTATCTGGGAATGGTGAGATTTAGGAAAGTTTTCATTCCATTGTTCTGTTTGAAAATGGACCACTGAAGTGTCAAACAACCATAAATACATGTTAGAAGTAGAATACGTGTTAGCAGTAGTACTTCTGCTTAACAAAACAAGTTAAGAAGTAGCAGAACTGTCAGTATGACATGATAATCTGGCTCTAATTAAATGTATATGTAAGATTCCGAAACTGAGACTGTACCACATTCAAAAACACACTAATCACTACAATTCAATAAGAAGCAAAAAAATCTATGAACAGTTGTAACTGTATTACCCAGAAGTGAAATAAGTTTATTTTCTTGATCCTTGTAATCTCTTAATACAGTCTACCTCTGCTGGCAGAAGCCAATCACGTTTTTCCTCTCCACCACACACTTCTCTGTTGCTCAATATGTATTAAAATACACATAGAGAAATACAACCGGCAACTTACCTCAGAAAACTTCTCCACTTCTGCGCTTTGTTCTACTTTTCCTGACATCAGCATCAGCTTGTTCATTAATTCTTGCAGCTCTTCAAAAGAGTACCGCCGTACTTCTTCTTGGCCACCATGGCTTTCTGGGATGGTCAAGCACAAGACACTGTGCAGCAAAACCTGCCAATGAATAACAATGATTACAAATCAATCTGACTTTTGTTTTACTTCTTCACACACTCATGCATTAAATTTTGCCCAGTTAGTGAGGCATAAAGGGAAAAAAACTGACAGAGCATAAGTCTTACAAGAACTTTGGGCCAGTCACAGACTCTCAGCCCAACCTACCTCACAGGGTTGTTGTTGTGGGGATAAGATGGAGGAGGAGATGATGTAAGCTGCCTTTATTCATTTAATTTATTTATTTATTTAAAACATTTCTATGCCGCCCCCATTGCAACAAAGCCCCGGGGCGGCTCACAAAGGCCTTGAGCCCTTTGTAGGAAAAAGGCAGGATATAAACCGAAAAACAATAAATAAATAAATAAAACTGGACTAGTATGTCCAGGGCCTCTTCAAGCAGTGCCTCACCTTCTGGCCTTCTGTTGGTGCCCTGATTGTGTAAATTCCTTTGGCGTTGATTGTGGTTGCCAGTGATATAGATGATAGTTCCACAGAGCCATGGCTCTCTTTTATGGTTTTCAGCCATTCCAAGTATCTTGCAGAATCACGCTATGGAGTATACAGAGGAATTTTAATTTAAAATAGCCCCAAGAGCCCATACTCTTCTCTCAGACAAGATCACACAGTGAAGCTAGACTGAATGAAGGCATGTCAGAGATGTCAATGACATCTGATATGTGGACAAATTCTAATTCATTACCCAGTGTATACTTTCTAGTTTGAAGCGTTTCAACCCCACCATCTTCTGTGCTGTCATGAAGTAACATGCTACCGAATTCCCCAGCTGATATGATGTCCAAACTCGAGTGTATAATGCAGAGTCGACCTCACAAATCTCTCACATACGCACAATCTGCTCGGTAAACCTTGGGTTTAAGTAGTTACAGGTGCTTGTCCCTGCAACAGCTCAACTTTAACACCTCAATTTTGTGTTCTATGTCACATGAACAGTAAACCAATTCAGTACATTTCTTTAATACTTAGCTTCACAGAAGCAGGCAAGACAGATGGACTAGGAATTACCAGTTTCTTGGGGAGATTGTTGTCACTTGCCAGGGCTTTCCACAATTTCCCTAAACAGTTCATGAACTCCTCAAACCCCGACTCCCGCTTCAACTCATACAACAGGGAGGAGTAGCCAAGCACAGCATCATGGAAACAAGCCACACGATCCACGTCCATGTCATTCTCTCCCGCAGAGATAGAAGCCAGGTCCACAAACACCTTCAGCTCATTTATATCTAAGAGAAATAATCAAAGCACTGGGTGAGAGATCCTATGAAATTGACTGTCTATGAGCTCTTCCTATGAGAATCCTACAGGGTTTTCTGTTGCAACTGCTCGCTGGCTCCATTTTAATAGAATGACTGATGTACCACTTGCATTGCTCACCCTTGCTTCCTTCACACACATGCGGAAGGGCGGAACAGAATAAATGGGAAAGAGAAAAGCAGCGGAAATGAATTTAATGTGTTACCTTATTTCTTTTGAAAGAGTCATAGTACTGCCAACAGAGATGCTGATTAAACAAGCAACAGAGGACCAGCTGGGTCAGAACTAACATTGCACCAGGCAAAATAATAAATAGTTAGATGATGAATATATATGAAGCATGTTCCCAGATGATGGATGTAAAGATCTGGCTGGAATCTAGCTCTCTTGTGCTCATCAGACTACTTTCTACACTCGGCTCTAGTCAAAGTACCCTAGCATAGCTCCCATGCTGTGACAGCAGCTTCCAATGACACTAACTACCACTGGTAACTGGATAAGGATACCAGTGGTAATGGCTATGCATATTACTTCCAGTAGCAAGGACAGTATGCACTTGTATAACTAACTGCTGGGCAATCTGAATGTAAGGGTGCTCTTGCACTGAGGTCCGATTTGTGAGCTTCCCACAAATCACAGGTTCACCACTACACTGCACCGGATAGGCATTTGCTCTGATACAGGAGGACATTGCTTATGCTCTTAACTACTCATCCGCTTAATGGAACTAAAAGGTAATCAGAACTGCCACAAAAGATAAGCAGAAGTACTAACAGAAAGATTTATTTATTTAAAACATTTCTATGCCGCCCCATCGCAACAAAGCCTCGGGGCGGCTCACAACACATAAATACTAAAATTATACAATAAATAATACAATAAACAACACCCACCCCCAGTGCATTCTCTGCTTAAAAAAAAACCCTAGTTAATAAATAATCAACAGTTAAAATAAGTTTTAAATAAAAAGGACTTAGCTTGGCGCCGAAAAACAAATAATGACGGCGCCAGGCGGACCTCTCTGGGGAGCGCATTCCATAAATGGGGTGCCACTGCAGAGAAAGCCCTCCTCTGGGTGCTCACCCTCCTAATCTCATTCACAGAGGGTTCCCGGAGGAGGGCATCTGCTGCTGAACTCAAGGGGCAGGAGGGCATATATGGGTGCAAGCGTTCCTTTAGATAACCAGGTCCCAAGCCGTTTAGGGCTTTATAGGTCATAACCAACACCTTGAATTGGGCCCGGACTTCAATCAGGAGCCAGTGGAGCTGACGGAGAACTGGGGTTATATGAGAACAACGCCCAGTCCCCGTCAGCAACCTGGCAGCTCTATTCTGCACCAACTGAAGTATCCGGACCGTATTCAAGGGTAGCCCCACATAGAGCATGTTACAGAAATCTAATCGGGAAGTTACCAGTGCGTGTGTCACTGTCACCAGGCAGTCATGCTCTAGGAAGGGACGCAGCTGATGTATCAGCCGAAGCTGAAGGAAAGCGCTCCTCGCCACCGCCGTCACCTGAGCTTCCAAAGACAGCTCAGGGTCGAGGAGCGCTCCTAAGCTGTGAACCCTGTCCCTCAGAGGGAGTGCAACCCCATTTAGGACAAGGCCCAAGTCCCCCATCCCGAGGTCTGATCCGCCCACCAACAGGACCTCCATCTTGTCTGGATTGAGCTTCAGTGTATTGGACCTCATCCAGCCCATTACCTCAGCCAGGCACCGGTTCAGCACAGCCACTGCCTCACCTGGATTGGTGGAAAACGAGAGGTAGAGCTGGGTATCATCAGCGTACTGATGATTCAGCAGTCCACACCTCCTGATGACCTCTCCCAGCGGTTTCATGTAGATGTTAAAAAGCAAAGGGGACAAAATGGACCCCTGCGGAACCTCATGGCATAAGTGCCATGGCGCAGAGCCATAGTCCCCCAGCACCATCTTCTGAAATCGGCCACTGAGATAGGAGCGGAACCACCGCCACGCAGTGCCTCCAACTCCCAATCCCGCTAGCTTAAAGATGGTAATTCTTGTTCCTCCCTGTGCCCCACTCCAACAAAAAAATCTCATATCCCACTTCCTGAGTGAGCAAGAGTAAGGAAGATTATATGCATGTTCACTGTGCAAACAAATGAAAGCATGTAAAGGGGAAGAGGCATCAGGTGAAGGATTTAAAAAGGAATAGGATGGGAAATGTGGGTAATATCCCTTTATGGCCCTTCCTCAACAAGACTTCTTATGGGTTCCAACTTGCATGATTTGACAAGCCACAGAGAAAATTGTATCTAACAGGATTTTACTTTGTGTTGAAGACTGAGAAACAAAAACAGCAGATGTGCACTCTACCTTCCAGAGCCTCTTTGACCCAGCTGACAAACTCCTTCCTGAGTGCAAGTTCCTCAAGGCACCTACGACGTGATTCAGTGACGTCTTGTAGCAGTTTCTTAGCATGCATCAGTTCAGGACTCATGGAAGATAGCTTTTCTTGTTGAATTGAGCTTCTTTTCTGGAAAAAAATGTATGAATGAAAGAGAAGCCTTGCACAATTAGGGATGACAAAATCCAGTCGCTTTATTTCTATGGAGTTTTTCCACAATTCTGCCCTGCTGTCTTGGAGCCACACAGCAGCTACAGAGACTGTTTCAAACATCACCACTTTTAGGAGCTAGGGGATAATCACTCTTCCAGTTACACATCCAAATCTGGATGCTATGCATTCTTTTCCATGACATACAGGCCCCATTCATAAAACACCACATAGCTTGCACAAGATTTTGCACAATAAACCACTTTTTCTGAGTAGACTCAGACAGAGGGCAACTTCAGGGAAATTGTACAAACCAGCTGTACTGTAATATTCACATCGGAGATTGAACTTGCCAGATTACTGTGGCATCCCTCAAGCATGTGGGCATTATTTTTTCTCTTTGGGGAAGGACTTGCCTCTCAGCAAGGAATATCACATGGGAAGAATCTATGAATACAGAACAGCAGTGCTGATACCATCCCAGGATGAGATATTCAATGAAGAGATGCACTCTCTAGAAGCACTGCTCAGAACACTGGTTAGCTAGAGATGAAATAGTAGCTTCCTACAACCTCCTGTGCAGTGCATGCAAACCATACAGTGAGCAAAATTAGCCACACCAAAATGCCACTACCACCACATTCATGAAATTTCTAATAACAGAGATACAGCAATGCAAAATTGTTCACACAACTAACAACACATATAATCTCCTACTAACAATACATATAAACTCCCATTGCCTGCTCAGTGACATTATGGATGCACAGGATGCAATATTTATATTTATTTAAGATATTTGTATGCCGTCCTCTGTGAGAGCCTCAGGACAGCTTACACAAATAAAATACACATACATATAGCTATGGCCCCACTACAGTGGGGGGAAGAAGCACATTTGCTTTGGCCCTAAGGGCCACATGTGATATTGGCTCAGGTTTTGCACTCACATATTCTCACAACCCATCAATCCTGATAGCTCTTTTCTCTCTGCTAACAGCAGCAAGGAAAATGGAATACAATACACGTGAGTGAGGGAGAGGAAAGCCTTCTTATACGAATTATCCTTTCTAGTGTGAAACACTTGCAGTCAGGAATCTAAGAGTTAAGATTCCTCACCTATCACCTCCAAGGGCCAAGCATTCAACAGAGCAAGTGTGGCAAAGTAGCATATGTCCAGCATCAACTTGTGGGGAAGGGACTGGTTGTGAAGGAGCAACTTGAAAGGCTGGGTGCTAAGACAAAGGGCTGCCCCTTAACCTTTCAGCAAGAAAGGAAATTTGGCTCAAGAGTACATTTGGGGAAAGAGTACAAGTGGGTGAATCAATTCACCCACTTATTAATTGCATCATAAAATAAATTTCTCTAGACATTTTACAATAACAATAGAAATGCAAACACATTCACAATAAAATCAATAATATAAATAATAAACATGCCTACACAGCTTAAAAAAAGAGTAGCACGCTGGGGTTGTTCACACACAACTCAAGTTGCAGTTATCTTTCTTACCTTGTGTCCTGTGTTCAAACATTTGCAAGGTAACTACTCATGAGTAGTCTCCACACACCTTCATCTTCCTGCCAGATGGTAGCATGCATCCCATCAGCCCCTGCAGTTCTAAACCTATCCTAGCGCACACGACTCTTACCTGTCTCACCTGCCACTCCCACTGTGGCCTGCACACTCCCCTGGGCATCTTTTTACCTGGCCTCTCCTTTTCCCCCTCACCTGCTCCACAGAGCTCCTGTCTACTCATTAGAGTAGCGCAGCTGGTCCCATGGTCTCTGCTTCCTGTCCTCCCTCCCAGCGAGCACTCCCTGATGCCCAGCCACCCCGCCAGGCCCATACCCCACCCCCCGGCCAATCATCCACCTCACACACTGTCCTGCTGATTGCCTATTTCACATACCACTCCACCTCTCACCTCTTTGCCACTCACCACTGCCATACCAGGCTCGCAAGGTGCATGCATGCCCCATCAGGTTGGAAGGGTGGGAAGCAGCCAAGTAGCAAAAAGGCAGAGAGGTGAGGGGGCAGAGTGGCATGTGAGATGGGTGTTCATCCAGGTGGTGGGGAGGCAGCCAGGCATTGGAGAAGGTGTGCTGGGAGGGCAGACGGGGAGTATGGAGGCAGCCAATCAGTGCCCTAACTGCCAGCAACTCAGCCATTGCTAGGTGAACAGGGCAGTGGAAAATGGTGACTGGAGCAGGGACACCACAGAAATACATTATAACTTCATGACTTCACATATAACTAGAAGCTACGTTGAAATGTGAAAACTTTAGAACAAACGGCTTGTCCTCAGTGGTGATTCACAATAACCAAACGTGCATGTTTCACCATACTTCTGTTATTCACATTTAAGTACAAGTCATTCCTGCCATGGCCTGCCATTATGTGTGAATACATTAGAATTAGTTTTCTGGGCTCTGTCCTGAAAAACTGCTGCTGCTGCTGCCTTTTGACAGCTGGTCCTTCAGCAAGCTCCCAGTGGTCTGAATCTCATCCATTCTCACCTATTACATGTGAACGCTTGCCACCTTTCTCACTTGCCTGTGGGCTAATTTCCAGGAAACAACCCAAAGATTTCTCAAGTCTCATGTCAGCTCCTAAGCTGGAGCTGACTCCTCAGGCTGGCCTGTTGCTTACTTTCATTTTCCATTTCAGTTCTGTATTTACTTGTTCCCCTTGTTCCTCCAAACAGTCCCCATCAACTTGAGAGTAAACAGTAAGGAAACTTTTTTTTGTTAGTAAGAAACTTGGCATTCCAAGTTCCTAGAAACAGCAACAGTGATTTTCATTAGTGCTGTACACTGGAATGGTGGAAGAGTAGGGAGCAAAGAGAAAAACTTAATTCCCTGCTGAGTTCAAGTGAAAAGGGGAAGTGAAAAACAACAGTCAAAAGACAGGAAGATAAATGCTTATTCCTTCAGGAAGCAATGCTCATGCACCCCCCACATGAGGCTAGCACAATGAGGAGGAGGAAGAGGCCAACCCTGAGATGACTTAGGAACCACTTGAAAAAGCACCATACTCAGGCTTGCTCCCATCAGTACCTTCTTGGCTTTGTCTGATTTCAAGTCTGCCATAAGGGGCAGACCCAGCTAATAACCTGCTTCCAGATGTGGAAAAAGCAAGATAAAAACTAGCTTTGCTGAAGAGAGCAGAAGATCCAACCATCTTTCAGTTAAAAGACAAGAGCTGACTTTCCTCCTTTCCACCCTAAACCCAGTCTCTCCAATGTCAGCCTCCTACTGGGCAGGGCAAAGAGCATGCCAGGACCCAGACCGCAACAAATAGGGGAACAACAGAGTCTTCTCTCTTCGTGGTGCCAGTCATGCTATAAAAAGCATGCTGAAATCAAGAGATATTTGTATTTAAACAGCTAAACAACTTTAACATGAAACTATATGAAATGTGCCTGTGATAACATCTAGGTGTCACTTAGAGGGCTTTATTAGGAATTCAGAAGAGAGTGAAGCCAATTTCAAAACCAGACAGCTTCTTGAATGGTTTGAAAACATATACTTACAAAGTTCAGTAAATGCAGCAGGACTTTGAAGTCACCAGAAAGGTTCAAAACTTCCTTGATTGCTTCAATAACCTCAGCAGAGTCCAAAGCCAAATGCAATTCATGATATTGCTGAATCTGATGAATACGTTCATCTATCCATTCTCCACCATCATGGGAATGCTGACCACACATAATCTGGAAATCTTTTTTGACTTCATCATAATCATTAACAAAATCTTTAAAGAGAGCATCCACCTCAGCAAATGTGAGCTCTCCGGATTTCAAGCAATTGTAGAGCCTACAAAATTCACGGTAGGAAGGGTCAAACAAGAAATCAGGCACTTCATCAAGATTGAGAATGGCAATGTCCTCTTCACTGTCCAAATTGTCAGCATCCTCTGCCAGCTTCTTGGCTGTCAATTCCCAACAATAATGGAAGATGTGGCTCTCTTTAATATTACATATATGCTTAGATACCTCCTTAAGGACTGGACTCAGGTGGTAATAGGTCTCTATTTTATCAGTATTATCAGAAACTGGACTTCTTGCTTTCACAACTACATTCAATTCTTTTAAAGCTAGAGTTTCTCTGTGCTTCTGCTCCATTTCTACAATAGACACTGGAAAATGAAGAGAAAATCATAACTAGGTTTAGTATTTTATCTTTGCTACAATGGGTGACATTACAATTACAAACATCAGCATCAAGATTGATATAGTTTACATTTCCACAATTTTACCACTTGGGCAACTCTGCCTTCTGAAGCTGGAGGCTTCTACTGCATTCCCCTCTCCATTTGCTATATTTCTATCTCCAATTTTCAGCATAAATTAACCGTAACCAAAAAGGAAAACTATAAATGAACTGACTTTACATTTTTCAAATACCTTTCACAAAGTCTTGAACTTTCCTGCACATGTCCAGAAGGGAACCCAGCCAATTTTGCTCTCGCTTGACAGCCAGTACTTCCTGCAGCCTCAAGGTAAGAACTTTTTCTAGTTCAGATCTTTGATCTGATTTCTCCTGGGGTGAAAGTTGCTTGCATTCTGAAATGAAAATGGCTAATTACAGAAATCATTGGAAAAGCCTACTCTTCGTGCCTTTTATTTAAAAAATAGTTCTCCAACATTTCTCAAAACAGTCAAGTTCCAGAACACGTGTGCCTTTCAGTGTTTTTCATGTGCATGCACACACACATACATCCACACCCCTTCCCCATCCTGATGGCTCAGACTCCAACCAATCCAAGGTGTTAAATTTGACCTATGAAGCTAAAACACTTTCTGGCTGAGATATCTAACCCTGCTTGTAAGTTGAACTGTCCATCAGAGGTCAGTGTTGGTGGGTACATGAGACAAAGGCCTTTTCTGTAACAGCACCCCAGTTGTGACCCTCCATCCAAGGGAGATCCAGCTGGCTCCATCCCTAATGGGCTTTAGATAAGCTGTATAAACTTCATTGTTTTGCCAGGTCTTTCAAAATTACATTTGACTTGAATGTTTTCTCTTTCTGTGTGTGTTTAGATTACAGTTTTATTGTATATTATCCTATAGTTCCAAATAGCCAGTCCCATCTTTTCTTTGCTCTGCCTCACTCCATGGCTCAAGAGCTATGGTGACGATTACTTTCAGGCAAGCCATCCCTTTTCTCTTTGAAATATATACCCTTGGTTTCCAAGGTCCCACAAAAGACCACTATCTTGCATGAGTGCTGTTCCATATCACAAATGATGATGCAAATGGGTCAATATATGACATGCTGTTAGAATTGGGAATAGGAGGGTATGACCTGATGGGGATCACAGAAACTTGGTGGGATGAAAGGCAAGACTGGAATGTAAACACAGGGGTATCACCTGTTTAGAAAGGACAGGAAGGGAAAGAGGGGTGCGGGCATGGCTTTATATGTCAGGGGACAGGATGCCGTGAGTGATCACTCCATCCTTTGCTTGAGATCAGGGGAATGGGGATATGCAGCAAGTCGAGCACTAGAAGCTGGGACTTCAAGAGGGCCAACTTTGGCCAATTGAAGGCCAGACTGAGGAAAGTCTCCTGGGATAGGTTACTGGAAGGCAAGCAAGTTGAGGAGGGGTGGATGGTTTTGGAGGTGCAAGCCTTGCCGATACCTCTAGTTAGTAAGGCAGGGAGGTGAAGGAGAGTGCCGCCATAGATGTGAAAGGAGGTGGTTAGAGGGATTAGACGCAAGAGGAACCTCCGTAGGAAATGGGTACTGGGGCAAATAGACAAAAGGGTATACCAGGTGGAGGAGACCCATTTCAGAAGGATAATTCTCAAGGCTAAGGCTGATTATGAGCTGAGACTTGCAAAGAATATCTAGACCAAAAAAAGGGCTTCTAGCAGCATGTAAATAGGAAGAGGAAGGGGAGACAAGTAGTGGGACTGCTAAATAAGGAGTAAGTAGATCCAGTGACTGATATGAGGAAACAGGCACAGATTAGAGTCACCCCCCTAGACGTTGGGGGACTCCTCAGGGCATTGGACGTTACAAAGGCACCAGACCCTGACAGGTTACACCTGAGAGTACTTCAAGAGTTGGCAGGGCTTCTCTCACGCTTGCTGGCCTCCATTTTTGAGATCTCATGGAGAACGGGTGTTTTTCCAGAGGACTGGAGGGTGGCGTCAGTGGTCCCAATTGTCCAAAAGGGTAGTAGAAGGGACATGGGGAATTACAGACCAGTTAGTCTTATGTCCATTGTAGCAAAAACAAAAGTGTTCTAGTGATGCTAGATAGGGAAGTGAGGCTGCCGGCCACACAACACGGTTTCCGCAAAAACAGATCCTGCCAGACAAACCTTGTGAATTTCAATGACAAGGTTTCGAGGTGGCTAGATGGAGGGGATGCGGTGGATGTGGTATACCTGGATTTCAGCAGGGCCTTTGACAAAGTGCCCCATGATATCCTGGTGGAGAAACAGGAGTTTTGGGATAGACCAATGCACTGTCTGATGGATTAGGGCATGGTTGACTGACTGAAAGCAGAGGGTAAGCATTAGTGGGGAATCATCAGGATGGTGGCCAGTGACAAGCAGGCTTCCCAGGGCTCTGTCCTGGGGCCAATCCTGTTTAATCTTTTCATCAATGACATGGAGGAAGGGGTGAACAGTCTGCTGATCAAATTCACAGACAATACTAAAACTGGGGCAGTGGCCACAACTGAGGAGCAGGTACTGCAGATCCAAAGAGATCTGGACAGACTATGGAAGTGGGCAGGAGACAACAGGATGGCGTTCAATGTGGATAAGTGGAAGGTCTTGAACTTGAGGCATAGGAATGGGTACAGGTTAAGGAAGTACAGGTTAAGTAAGGTTAAGTACAGGTTAAGGAACAAGTGGCTGGAGAGCAGCCTTTTCAGGACCTCGGTGTGCTGGTTGACTGCAGGCTAAACATGAGTCAGCAGTGTGATGCGCTGGTTAAGAGGGTGAGCGCCACCCTTGGTTGCATAGCCAGAAGTGTGGTTTCTAGATTGAGAGATTACTACCACTCTGCATGACTCTGGTGCGCCCGCAACAGGGGTATTGTGCTCAGTTTTGGGCCCCTCATTACAGGAAGGATATAGCCAGGTTAGAGTCAGTGCAGCGCAGGGCCACAGGGTTGGTGGCCGGTTTGCAGGGGATGCCATATTAGGCGAGACTGAGGGAACTGGGTCTCTTCAGCGTGGAGAAGAGACTCAGAGGGGATCTGTCGGTGACATACAGGTATGTGAGGAAATGTCACACGGAAATGGGTAGAGACCTGTTCTCCCCTGCAGAGGAAGGCAGGATGCGCTCCAACAGAGCAAAGCTCAGGGAACCCAGGTTCCATTTAGATGCCTGGAAGCACTTCCTGACAGTTAGGACCCTGATGGTATGGAATGGGCTTCCACGGGAGGTTGTTGAGGCCTCATCGGTGAGGGTGTTCAAAGATAGGCTGGACATGCACATGGTGGGCATGTTGTGAGCGGAGCCGGCTGGAGCCGTGGGTCAGACTAGATGGCCCGGGAGACTCCTTCTGACCTGCTCTGTTTCCATGTTTCTAACTTGTGACCAAAATGGAGCATTGTCTCAGCTTCTGCCACAAACTGATGCCTTGTTCCTGAGCAGGCAGGTACTCAATGTCTTACTCCTGCTTAAGTGGAGCTGCTGCCATCCCTGAACATACTCCAGGGAAAGCCATTAAGGCTGCAATCCAACCTAGCTACCGCCAATTAAGCTCTACTGCAAACAATGGGACTTAAGATTCTGAGTAGAAAGAGTATTGTGTTCTTGGAAGCAGGTATGAAATGCATTAAATAATATTAATGGAGCCCATTATTTTATTTGCATGTTAAGCTGCAACACTGAATTAATGTTGTCATTTTGTTACTGCTCTAAACCCAGGGGTCTGGTTCAACCAAGACACATCACTTCAGATTTGATGATACGAAGAAACAAAACCACATCTTATGAAGATCATAAACGGTTTAGTTAATACATATAATGGTAAAATATGGATGCAGATTATCAACAAACAAGCAAAAAGAAGGCTGAGTCCCTTTAGTCACAAGGATTCCCCTCATGTGACAAATGTTGTTCCAGGGCACTAGTCACTTGGACATGTTTCACTTTCACAGTTTCATGTGGAAAGCCAAAACAAAAACCAAAAAACCCCCAGCACTTGCCATGGATTTTATACAGTTCCTTTCCTGCTCTGTCTCAGAAGCTGTCAGTTTATACACAGGCTCTAAATACCCTTCCAGAGAGCTGAGGGATCAAAGGTGAGCGAACAGCCAGCTATCCCAATTAGCTTTCACATAAGTATATGCGAACATTCTTATCTCAAGGATGCAGCAAGGAATCCACAGCACATGGTAGCTGGTGGTCTCACGTCTTCACCAAGGCCCTTTATGGGGGTTCTTACCACAAGTACACCTATCAAATGTTGCATCTGCACTGACACTTCATACCTGCACTACTCTGACCACTGGGAACAGATCACACTTAGCTCCTACTTACAAGGACTTCCAGTTTGTCATCTCAATACACTTATTTATTTTAATCAATAAAAGGTTCCCTTGATAGTAGGAGACTTTTGAACAATTTTTAATACAATACTTTCAAAACGGCAGTCAGTAGGCACCATCTTTACAGATAATCTTCTTTCACTCACACATATACAGAAATGTTTTCACCAAGGTAATGCCTGCTACGATACGTGTGCACTAACTAAACAATGAAGACAGTATGTTCCTTTACCCATTATAAATTTGCCTGTGAACTGTTCATCTCAAACTTGATCATATGATTAAAATACCTTAAATGGCTAGTGTCTCTACATTCACATCTCATTTATGTATGCAGAAAACACTTACTCAGTTCATAAATGGAGATGAATTGTGTCTTGTGCTTTACAATGAGTTCCACATGTTTAACTAGGATATTGCCTGCCATTAGTTTCTCAATAACATTCGTGTAGATAGAGTCAGCGACGGCCATTAGCTCCTGAGCTTCATCAGTAAGCTGGTCCAAAATATTTACTCCCGCACCTGTCAGATCAATCAAAACATGGAATAGTTCTTCTTAGGCTTTAAACTGCTTAAGTTAGCATCTGCATACAAGATGACCACTTTGGATTTTCACCACTTCTTTGTCTCATTCACACATTTTATTTTGTAACTACACTCAAAACAATTGAAATCCATAATTTTTCCAAGGGAAGGGAATCTAAAACAACTCAACAGATTACAATCAATATATTCCTCCAGCCAAAATTAAAATCAACGATCATACACACATATGGTAGACATGTCATGAGTGGAGCCGGCTAAAGTCGGGAGTCAGACTAGATGACCCGAGAGACCCCTTCTGACTCACTCTGTTTCTCTGTTTCTATATCCACACAAAACAGATCTATATAAACTTCTTACAAGTTGATAGTGCTTAAGGAAGCATAAAGACTCTTATAGACCCTAACAGAATACGGGGTGTCTGGAAGAGAGAAAATGGACCCACAATCCTCTCATAGTTCCTGCTTCTGTTTCAAGAAGGTGGCCAGGCCAGATGGACTCTAGAGGCCCACATACTGCAAAGTAACACAAAGGAAGAACAGGGGATAAAAACATTGGCCGTTCTCTTGCTACTGGAATGCAGTAAAGACAGGAAGCTCAGAGATCAGAGACCTCCATCTAGCAGGCATCTACCGTGCTAGGAGTTGGGTTGCATCCTAGGTGACTTTGCCTTTCTATAACGTCCACTGTAAGTAATTGATCAGCTAACTTCTGGTGCTACATATTTTACTTTGCACTAGATATTTCCCCTACCCCCAGAACTCTGTAAGTTAAATGCTACACTTACCATTGAAGATGAAAATATGTTTGATGTCTGGCCAGACAAGTAGATGATGTAGCACACCTTCCAGGTCTCTCATAGCCTTCCCTGTCTGATCAATGGGCCATTGTCTTGTGATGGCGGCAGATACAAGTTGGCCCAGATTGTTTAGGTCGTAAGTGGATATCAAATCAAGGAGGTTACCTTTTTCCTACATAAAACATGCACAATATCAGAAAGTTCTACAATTTTTTAAAACTCATAACTTACTTTAATTTCTGAAAGGATTACTGCTCAATTAATAATGTCGCCCATTTTTACTGACCTCAACGGGACTTAGTGCATAGAATTGCATACTGTGAGATTTGGAGTACTTCCTTTCCCACAGGGTAAATTGCTTGGCAAGAGAAACTCATTTACAGCTGATGAAAAACTTGAAACACATGAAAGGCAGACAAGAGGATAACTGATAATTTCTTCAAATCTGCATTTCCTAAGATTGCCTCTTAGCAAAGAATTCCTACTGGATACATTTCTTGGCAGCCTGCTCCAAAAGCAATCCAGTGATAAGGTCATCACACTTGCTAGTGTGATGTGTTAGTGTGTCGCCCTGTGGAGCTGGAATGTCCAGGTTCTGGTCCCCACCTAACTATACAGCACACTGGGCGGCTTTGGACCAGTCACTCTTAACCTAATCCACCTCCCAGGTTCTTGTGAGAATAAAATGGAGTGGAGGATGACTCTGTAAACCAGGGGGGTCCTCAAACTTTTTCACCAGGGGGCCAGTTGAAAGGTGCTGGGTGCAGGCTGGAAAGGTGGTGCTGGCAGGGCATGCGAGCGGGCATGTGGCAGGGAGGGGCGTGCGTGTGTGTGGGTGGGCACGCACAGCGAGGAGAGGAGAGGCGAGGCGGGGCGGGCATGCGCTATGATGCTGCGGCAGGTGCGCGATGCAGCGGCTTGCTCGCTTGGAGATTGTTTTCTCTGAGTGAGTCCAAAATGACTTCCTCGCAAGCATGCCGCTGCCTCCCTGTGTGGGGGGCGAGGCGGGTGGCGGTGCACGCGGCGCATTCAAAACCTCCGAGGCGGGCCGGATAAATGGCCATGGCGGGCCGGATCCAGCCCTCGGGTCGTAGTTTGAGGACCCATGCTGTAAACTATCTTGGGTTCTTTGCATGAGGAAAATAGCTGGGATATAAAAGCTATGAAACAACCATCATCATCCTATTCATGTTTTGCCTAAGCCTGCATAGGATTGTGCCCTTAGTCTCAAGGTCAGTAATGCTTGGAAAATGAGACATGTAGTCATGGGATTTCAGATACACTACCTGGTATGCTGAATCAATAGCATCTATGGCACAGTTTTCAAAAGCTTTGCCAATCATGGGGTCAAGGTTTTCAAACTTCTCCTGGCAATCACAGTAGGCTGTAATCCGCTGAATGGCAATTTCCTATCAAAGAAGAGTGAAAGAAAAATGAAGCATTACTTATTTATTTCATTTTTATGCCACCCAACAGTTGAGGCTCTCTAATTATAACTGTTTCCACATATTTAGATTACCAAAAGAAAAACACATGGTACAAAAGACTTAAGGCAACTAAAAGAAAGCAAGGATTCTTTTTTCAGACTTTAGATGATCTCTCGCCTTCTAACTCAGCCTAGTTCAGACCCCAGAAACAGACCTTATGTTCAAGTCAGGGCCAGTCCTCCTGGATGCATCAGAGAGTGGATCAGAAGGCTGACAGAACCCATGCGCCTTCCTGCCGGGAGGGCCACAGGCCCCAGTGCTGCTGCTGCTGCCTCTCAAAGAGAAGCATAAAGCAGGCAGTTGCTCAGTAGAGCCCTGCTGTGGCAAATGCTGAAGAAGGGAATCAGCAAGCTATGGTTCTTCAGAACAGCAGCAGCCACCTGCTCTCGGCCTCACCCTGAGGTATTAGCAGGTGGCAGCTCTTCAGAGCACTGCCCTCTTACTCCCTGGCTCAGAGGAACAGTGGCTTGTGACGGCTGGTCTGCCCCTTGTTCTGAGGTGCCCTTGATGAGAGCGAGGCATGAGTGGAAGGTGCCACAAGCGAGCGTCTATCCTGCAGGCACAGGCAGTCCCCAAGGCCCTACCCACCAAAGGATGACTCTGATGAAGCAGCCTTCAGAGCACAGTATTGAGAAGCTGGATGGAGGGTGCTGGCAGGTAGCAAGGCAAATGAGGTGAGAATGGTGGCTTACACTTCCCTCCTCCCAATACTCACACAGTTCACCTCAGGCTCCTCTTCCTCCTTGCCTGTGCACAGTGGTTTGTGCTCCTCCTCATCTCTTTCCATGCAGCAGCAGCAGCTTGCACTCCGCTCCCACCCACCTCTGTTGTAACATATTCTACAGTGGGCTTGCACTAACCCTGCTTTAAGTATCAGATAAGATTCTGGAATATATCCAAACCTGTCCTCTCTACTAACAAAGCCAAATATTTAGTCAGTGCCTGAGACCACACATATAATTACTACAAAGCAAAGACAATTAAATGAATCGTTAGCCTGATATGAAAGCAGAGCAAGACACAACAAATACATATTATAAAATGGTTTTCAAAGATGAATTATAGGAGATGATAGCTACAGACATTTTTAGCATATATTTACACAGCCAAATTAGTTTTCAGACATCCACATGAAACATGAGCTCCTGAATTTCATATGATATGATTAATTTTGGTACCTGTTTGATTCTGGATTCCAATTCTGCCATTAAAATTTTCTTCCACTCCTCTGTGAAATTTTTATCAGGAAAGTTTATTTTCAAAAACTGATCCCATGCCTACACAAAGAAAAAAAAGTTAAAATGAACTCAAATTTGAGTGCCAATACAATGCCAACATTCCTCCAATGTCAGCTCTTGAATTGTCATCGCAAGTTTTTGGGACAAGACCCACATAACACATCAGCAGCAACAGAAAGAAGAGAGAATTGGGAGCCTATGTCAAGCAACTTAATCAATTTACACTCCATGTTACAGGCAGAATAAAGCCACTTTATATCTACTTCCTGGACTTATAAATAATCCTGTCTTGAGGGAAAGAGTACAGGTGTCTATATCACTAAGTTGGGACGCAAGTATCATCCCCCCACTGGATTAGTGCTCCTGAGAACCTCAGCTGTCGGGCTAAGCTTATCTTAGGACCAGACTCCCCAGGTGGGAAGGCAGTTTCTAAGAATAAACAAGATGTACAGTTGGTAAGAGCAGGTTTGGAAGAGAGCAGTTTCTCAAACACAGACAAGGTGGGCGCATATCTTGACTCCAAGATCCATTGTCAGCAGAAGAGGATGACCCAATTAGAGGAGCAATGTGCAGAGAGGAGCTCATTTTCACAAGGCCCTTCCCAAAGGGATGTGGCCCAGGCATGCTCATAAGGAGAGTTCCTGGAGGTGATTACTCATGCTCATGTTCAGCGAACTGGTCTGCACATACTCAGAGATTCATTCTGAATTTTTGTGCTTCTGGAAAACACTTTGATCAATAAAGAACCTTTTGCAAGAAAGGTCTTTGACTTCGTATTTCCAAAGGGAAAAACCCCAGCTCACTTCATCATCCATGAAGGGTGGGGTTAGATGCCTCCAAACTATATCAGAATGGATGTTCATGGTAAAGCCTCATTCTCTACATGGTGTCAGGAGGCATCCAAAAGACTGGAGCTCTTCTAGAGGCCAGTGCTGAGGAGCAAGTAGGCCCTTCCTGTGAAGGGGATTAAAGGTGGTCAGCACTTTAGAGAGCAAAGGAAAGAAATCTGAATTTAAAAGGTGAATCTTAGAACGTCGTTTGATTTGAGCCAAGTCTGACCATTTGCCTGCTTCCTAATCCAGAAGATCTGAATGACTCTTCACTGTAAGAGTGCATAAGGGGGTGCCCACTGGGCAAGGGGGAGTGAGGCAGTGGGAGTCTGGTAAGATTCTGTTGAGCAAACTACGGCTGCTGAGACAAAGGGTTTGCTTTTAGTGGCTTGCTTAGGAGACCGGTGATCAGTGGAGCCTTAGGATCAGGCCTGGTGATCAGAAAATGCTCATGGCCTGGAAAATGGAAGGTGTCACTGTCTGGAATTGGAAGGATGATTTTGTCCTGCCAAAATGACAACCTTCCTCTGTGTCATTGCTCTGATCTTCCCCCACTCCTTTGTCAGGTACAAAGCTTATGTGTTAGCCACAGCATCCTCCACTGTGGCTGATTTAGCACCAGAGGCCTCTGAAATCACTACTTCCTAGTTAATAAGCTATCCAGTTGTATGGCTAGGTTCCTTTTGGTGAACAGCCTCTTCAGAGTTTGGGGAACAATAAAAGTCATCGTACTGCTGTTGCTGGTGTCTGGGTGTGGCAGTGTGACTGCAAGTTTTGGGTGATGACACCATCATGTCTACTGTTAAGAATGACATCAGCAAACCTCCCTGCTACAGCCCACCTGGCACCAAACTTGCAATCTTTTCAGTTCCAGGTCAAGACAGCACTTTACACAGGGGCCTTTCAAGATCTCCTTGGTTACCCAAAGAGTCACCTGAGGGGGTCATCCAGGTGGTTCTTTTTTGTTGCGGGGTCTTTTTACTGTATGTTTTTTATCTATATTAAATTCATTTTAACATGGTTCTGCTTTTTATGGTATTTGTATTATACATTATGGTTTGGTTGTATGCATTGTTGTAAACTTCCCTGACAGAGGCCTTTCGCTACGGAGCAGTATAAAAATGAAATAAATAATAAATAACTAAATTAAATTAAATTGTAATTAATTAAAATTAATGTAACAAATAACCCAATATTAACATAGTAAGAAATGAATGAAGGAGACAGAAAAAGGTGAATGAAGTGGAGAAAAGGTAAGAGAGAACCTGAGATATGAACTGTTCCTGGGCAAGGCTGGGGAGGCACCAGGGTAAAGCTCCCAGAAGTGGCACTTGAAAGATCATGGCTGTGTGATCCCTGCATTTCTGGGCACTGCCAAAGAAATAGCCCAATCTTGTGGATGCCTCCTTGCATCATACAGAGAACACAAACGTTTTTTTCTGTATTTTCCAATTTCCTCCCTCTGACTTCCATAGTTCTAATGTTGGCCAATGAATAGTGCTGGATTTTCTGTCCCTATGGGGAATATTCTCCCTTGCAATCTAACACAATTGTTAGGCTCCAATGCAAGGCCAACTGACAGCCCCACTTCCTTATATGGAGGAGTCACCACTTATTTAGCTATTTCAATGAAGCAAAGTTAACAAAACTCTGCTCTCCGTCTGGCAGAGCATGGTGACTGGCATCTGGGCATAATCAACTCCCTAGTGGCTTTCCAAGAAACATCGTCAGCCAAGTGAGCCTTGGAATGTCCCACGGCTACGCCAAAATTAAGCATAAATCTTAATCCAAACAACCATCTCTGTGGGATTTCTCACTATATGAGAAGCAGCAACAGGTACATTTTTGTGAAGGAAATAAAGATTGCTGCTGAAACAAACATGAAGCTGAAACAGACCACACCTTCTAAAGACAAAGTTATGAATAGACTTCATAAAATATTTGCAGTTCCAAAATACACACCTCAAGTTCCATCGAAAAAGTAAACGTGACTGAAGAGGAAACATTTAGCAAAGGTCTTGTTAAAACTCTCCGAATCCAATTCCTGATCATTTCACAAAGTTTTTGGTGTACCTTTGAAGTGTTTTGTTCTGAAACCTGTTAAGCAGAAATGAAAAATTACAAACAATTGAACAGCAGTTCTAGCACTAATTTTAATGAATATACCTCTTTAAACAGTAAAGGTCTAAATTAAGAATTTAAAACAGTTGTTTTCAGGGTGAAAAAGTAGCCAATATAATTTAAGCAGATTTTCAGGCCAAACACTGACCAGGTTCCCATACAACATTAAACCATATTTTAGAATTGCAAGCATGAATGTTGGTCTGGTGCACTCCCCCATACCCCTCTCCTGCAGCCAAAAGGGGATCAGAAACATAGAAACATCCTCTCACGTACTTGTATGTCACCAACAGATCCCCTCTGAGTCTCCTCTTCTCCAGGCTGAAGAGACCCATTTCCCTCAGTCTCGCCTCATACCCATCCCTGCAAACCTGCCACCAACCTTGTGACCCTACGCTACACTGATTCTGACCTGGCTATATCCTTCCTGTAATGAGGGGCCCAAAACTGAGCACAATACTCCAGTTGAGGGCGCACCAGTTTCATATAGAGTGGTAGTAATATGTACCTCCCTCGATACAGAAGCCACACTTCTGGCTATGCAACCAAGGGTGGTGTTCGCCCTCTTAACTACGACATCACACTGCTGACACATGTTTAGCCTGCAGTCAACCAGTACCCCGAGCTCCCTTTCACAAGTGCTGCTCTCCAGCCACTTGTCCCTTAACCTGTACTTATGACACCCATTCCTATGCCCCAAGTGCAAGACCTTGCACTTATCCACATTGAACGCCATCCTGTTGTCTCCTGCCCACTTCCATAGTCTGTCCAGATCCCTTTGGATCTGGAGTACCTGCTCCTCAGTTGTGGCCACTGCCCCAGTTTTAGTATTGTCTGTGAATTTGATCAGCAGACTGTTCACCCCTTCCTCCATGTCCTTGATGAAAAGATTAAACAGGATTGGCCCCAGGACAGAGCCCTGGGAAGCCTGCTTGTCACTGGCCACCATCCTGATGATTCCCCACTAATGCTTACCCTCTGCTTTCAGTCAGTCAACCATGCCCTAATCCATCAGACAGTGCATTGGTCTATCCCAAAACTCCTGTTTCTCCACCAGGATATCATGGGGCACTTTCTCAAAGGCCCTGCTGAAATCCAGGTCAACCACATCCACTGCATCCCCTCCAGCTAGCCACCTCGAAACCTTGTCATAGAAATCCACAAGGTTTGGCTGGCAGGACCTGTTTGCAGAAACTGTGTTGTGTGGCCGGCAGCCTCGCTTCCCTATCTAGCATCACTAGAACACTCGCTATTATGAGCCTTTCCATTGTTTTTGCTATAATGGATGTAAGGGTAACTGGTCTGTAATTCCCCACATCCCTTCTACTACCCTTTTGGACAATTGGGACCACTGATGCCACCCTCCAGTCCTCTGGAACATCACCCGTTCTCCACGAGACCTCAAAAATGGAGGCCAGCAAGCGTGAGAGAAGCCCTGCCAACTCTTGAAGTACTTTCAGGTGTAACCTGTCAGGGTCTGGCACCTTTGTAACATCCAATGTCCTGAGGAGTCCCCCAGCGTCTAGGGGGTGACTCTAATCTGTGCCTGTTTCCTCATATCGATCACTAGATCTACTTCCTCCTTATTTAGCAGTCCCACTACCTGTCTCCCCTTCCTCTTCCTATTTACATGCTGCTAGAAGCCCTTTTTTTGGTCTAGATATTCTTTGCAAGTCTCAGCTCATAATCAGCCTTAGCCTTGCGAAGAATCCTTCTGAAATGGGTCTCCTCCACCTGGTATACCCTTTTGTCTATTTGCCCCAGTATCCATTTCCTACGGAGGTTCCTCTTGCGTCTAATCCCTCTAACCACCTCCTTTCACATCTATGGCAGCGCTCTCCTTCGCCTCCCTGCCTTACTAACTAGAGGTATCAGCAAGGCTTGCACCTCCAAAACCTCCCTTTTGAGTGTTATCCACCCTTCCTCAACTTGCTTGCCTTCCAGTAACCTATCCCAGGAGACTTTCCCCAGTCTGGCCTTCAGTTGGCCCTCTTGAAGTCCCAGCTTCTAGTGCTCGACCTGCTACACGTTCCCAGTCCCCTGATCTCAAAGCAAAGGATGGAGTGATCACTCGCATCTGGAACTCCCCTAATCTGCACCTCATCTATCAGCTCCTCCCTGTTGGTCAAGACCAAGTCAAGGATGTTCCCCCCGCCTCGACGCCTCTCGGACCTCTGTGTGAAAAACCCTCCTTCTATAGCTTCTAGGAAGCGACGTGACCTGGCTGTCACCGCCGAGTGAGTCTCCCAACTAATATCCAGGAGACTGAAATCTCCCATAACTACTGTGTCTCTCCCCCGAGATATCCTTAGAATCTGGCCTGTCAGGACATCATCCAGGGTCTCAAGTTGACCTGGAGGGCGATAACATACCCTCACTGTCAGGTCCCTTTCCCTGTCAAAACCCCTTAGTTTCACCCAGACTGCCTCTACCGAATCCCCCCCTGTGCTGCATTCTATCTCACGGCATCCTATCCCCTGACATATAAAGCCATGCCCGCACCCCTCTTTCCCTTCCTGTCCTTTCTAAACAGGTGATACCCCTGTGTTTACATTCCAGCCTTGCCTTTCATCCCACCAAGTTTCTTTGATTCCCACCAGATCATACCCTCCTCAGGGGAGCTTCAAGCTCTTCCCACTTATTACTCATGCTCCTAGCATTGGTGTACATGCACTTCAACTCCTTCTCACAGCTTCCTTTCTTTGGAGTTCTCAGCTTCCTCTCATCTTCCCTGATACCAGCCCCCTTTTCGCAGGAGTCCTGTCAGTCCCTGTAGTACCTCTAAAACCCTGGTTCCAGAGCCCTGATCCTCTCCCCAGACTTGTCCAGTGCAGACAAATTTCTGGTTTGTCCGAACCTACCCCACCCCTGGCTCAGTTTAAAGTCTTCTGGACAATGCTTGCTAGAGCATCTCCAAAGAACCTTTTCCCCATCCTCGTGAGGTGTAACCCGTCCCTTGCCAGAAGTCCATTGGCAAGAAACTGGGTGCCACGGTCAAGGAACTCAAAGCGTTCCTTCTGGCACCACACTCTAAGCCAGTTGTTCACCTCAGCAACCCTCCTATCCCTGCCAGGCTCAAATTCCCGGATCAGTAAGAGATGAGAAGGCCACTTGGGCCTTAAAGTCCCTGGGCTTCTTCCCCAAGGCCTCAGTCCCTGGTGATCCCATCCACACCTTGACTACATCATTTGTGCCCACATGGATCACCAGAAGCGGCTGGTGACCCCTGAAGTGAACAAGACGCTCCATTCTATCCTTCACATGCCGGAAGTGCATGCCCAGCAGGCAACAGACCTCCCTCGCCTCAAGGTCAGGGCAGCATACCACTGCCTCAGTGCCCCTCAGCAGGGAGTTCCCAATGATGATCACCCGCCGCCATCTCTTCCCAGTGATGGTAGGTGGCTGTGCCCTGGCCCTTGCCTCTCCTGCAGCGGCCCCCTTGCTACCATGTGGTCCCAGGCTGGGGGTCCTGTTGGTCCCCCAAGGCCTCATCAGCCCCAGCCTCTCCAAGTGGAGAGAACCTGTTTCCCAGCTCCAGATCGGTGCCAGGAGAAGGAGGAGGCCTCCTCCTCCTGTGGGTGACATGCCTCCATGTCTCCTCAGCTGTCCCTCTCGTGGCCCCTCCCTCAACCCTCTGTCTGGAGGGGGACTGATCCTGAGGGGCCTGGAGAGCTCTCTCGGCCCTCAGACACCTCACCTCCTCCTCTAGGAGGCTCAGCAGCTTGCACTGAGGGCAAGTGTATCCCTGCCTCTCCTGGGGGAGAAGGGCGAATGTGTCGCAGCGGACAGCAACACCCATGATTCCTGCCAAGGCCATCTCCTGGCCTGCCATTGGGAACCCTTCAGAGACCCTATCCCGGTCCCTGCCTTGTCTGTCCTGCACTACTTGTCACTCGCCCAGTTCTCCCAGACAAACACACACACGGTTAAAATAAAAATTTAAATTGGGGGAAAAAACAAAAACAACAACAACAAAAAACCTGCCCCCATGGAAGGGAGTCCTCAGGCAGCTTAGGCCACAGCTAAGGGATGCAGAGAAGGGATGGTGCCTTATCAGTCCCTCAGGCTGGTGGCCCCACCTCTCTGCTTCCTCCTGGCCTCTGTGGCCCTGCCTCCCTTCCTCTCCGCTGCTCCTGTCCCCCTGCTCCTCTGCCCAGCTCCTACCTTGTCTTCGCCAGTCCCCTGGCCACCCTCAGCACTCTGTCCCAGCCTCTGCTGTTCTACTGCTCTGCCAAGCATCTACCTCCCTTTTCAACTAACCATTGTTATGTGCAGATGGGGAACTATGCTTAACTTTTTTTTTATTGAAACAAGCCACAATCATTAACCATTCTTTGAACTTGGCTTGTTTTAGTTTACCACAGATAATATGAGCCACATTTTGCCTATGGTCAGAAATAAGAAAGCATGCATTATTGAAAACCGCAGAAAATGCTTCAAATGTTCTCCTTGCAGCTATGCTGGAGAGGAAGAATGGAAGCAGAAGAGCATAAGTCAAAGGCTCATCACACTAAACTATCATTCAACATTGCAAGAAAACAGGCTCATACTGTTAGCTCTCTAAAAACAGATGTGGGTTTTCCTGTGATACAGCTGAACACACAATCAAATCGTAACACATTAAGAAGCAGTTTTAATCAGGATTATAAACACAAACTAGCTGAAATAGCCAGAGCAGAAAAAGCATCAGTTACCAAAAGTATAGCAAAAAGAGAAATAGCAAATATAAGAACCACTTAGATGCTACACATGCAATTTGCAAATAGCTTCACTAAACTGATTCTACCATTCATTTCACCTAGAGCTGTAGCACAAGCAATCAAGTGTTAGCAAAAGTACAATCATGTTGCTTCACTGATGCGACTGTGACTGATTACTCCCCAGCAGAAAACTATGGTAACTATGCCAGGATTAAGAATCTACCATTCCTGACAGGGCTGTTAGCACTATCCCTTTCAATAAAAAGGCAAATCACTAGGAATAGTTGTGTAGTCTCTGAAGCAAGAATGCAACTAGAAAGAGTTGAGAAATCTAGGCCATTGCAAAGCTGCACACAGTAGGCAAGTTCATTTCATTTTCTTTTATTAGATTTCTGTGCCACCCAATAGACAAAGTTCTCTGGGTGGTTTACAGAGATTAAAAATACTTTTCAGCAGCATCTCAGGCAATGTACAAACCCAGGATGCAGCATTGTTTAGGAGTAAACAACTGAGCTTTTCACCAGAAACATACCATGTCAGGGATCTTGCATCAAGTTCCCAGCCTCCAGCCCATACTGGATCAGTATGGGTCCTTAATGTAAACATCCATGATGAACAGTTTGATGGGGAACCTTGCATAAGAACTCGGCATGACATGAGGAATGTTCCTGTTTTTTTAATGTTCCTATTTGTCTACAAACTTAAAAAAGCTATTTTCTTTTCCATTTCTATTCACCTAATTTAGTCATGACTGTTGCTTCCTAGCTTTCTTGCCCATCAAAGTTACAACTCCTTTCTAGTCTTCCTAACTTAGAGATAAGTAATTCCTCCTAATGTCAGTGTTAGACGGATATGGAATTCCAAGATGTGTCTTTTAGCACCACTTAAATCTTTTCACTTGGGAGCAAAGGCAAATGCCTGTCAGTTACTAGTAAGGATGCCAAGGAACATTAAAACTTTGTTGTCTTACTGCCTTTTCAGTCCAGCATTTTGTTTTCAGAACAAGCCACATGTTAATGGAAGGGCTTGGCAGTCAGGAGGTGAATTTGGCTAATATTTTTAAAAGCTGCTTAACTTAAACAGCTATGACCATATCTTGTGACAGTGAGATTCATGTCAATGATAAATTGCGGGAAGAGAAGTTGACTTTTGTCCTGAACCCATGGCACAACAGGGATACATCTGCTGCCTTGGCTAGTAATCATGTAAAAGCACTGAATTTCCAAAGTAAAGCGATTTGTGATGGGAAAGTCACTGAAGAAGGACCAAACATTACCATTATTTTTAACCTCTTTGAGCTTTCTTTAAAATGATCTCTTCCACATGAACTGGTGAAATGAATTAGGAAAATGCAAACAGGGGTGCAGATAGACTTACAATATATCATAGAGAGAGAATTTTACCTTCTCAGGTTCAAGTCCAAGGATGCTTGAAACAATCTGCACTGATTTAACTAGTATCTTGTATCGGTAAATAGTCTGGACTTTGTCACATAGCATCTGATAAAGGCTTAGGCAAACATGAAGCAAGAATGTCCAATTGTTCTGCTGCAGTGTGCTAAAATGTAGGAAAAAACATTTTTTGCAATATAAGACTGGATTATGAATAGATAAAAATTAAATGCATAATGAATAAGCCCACAGGATCATTGGGGTGCTTCTAATGCAGACTTCATCTGAGATTCTATCATTCTGTAGATACAAAAAAATGTAATATATTTACAGTGTTGTATGAAATAAAATATGAGCATCTTTTGGAGAAAAAAGAGCTATTTTGGCATATAGGATGCCTCCAATTCTTTTTTTCAGGGAATATGCCTAAAAAAACTGTATCAAATAGAAGTTACAAAGAATGGAATGTTAGCACTGACATAATTTAACAAGTAACCAGTCACCAAGCCCAGAGGGTGTTTGTTCAAGTAAATGTTATCTTCTTCAGCAACTGTTTGCTCTTTTGCTCTATACAGAATCTGGAGCAACATCTTGCATGATGACCTTAGTATATGCAGAAGTCCAAACAGAAGAAGCTGTTCTTTGAAAAAATTCTAATCCAGGATTTTTACAAGGTTCCTTATCCCCATTATTTTTTATCCCTAGGAATAAATGCAATGACACCTTCAGGGACAAATGGAATCTTTGTTTTTCGGCGCCAGGTGAAGACCTTTTTATTTAAACGTCATTTTAATTGTTAACAATATTTACTTATTTATCTGGCCAGGGCGACTTCTTTTCTTTTCTTTTATAACTTTTCTTTTATAACTTCTTTTATATTGTTTATATTTTTTATTTATTTTATATTATTAATTTTAATTTTATATTGTTATTTTTATATTGTATTGTATTTTATTGTGTTGTAAGCCGCCCCGAGGCTTTGGCAAGGGGCGGCATAGAAATGTTCTAATCATCATCATCATCATCATCATCTTGCAAAATGATATCTACAAGTTAAGTACATGCATTAAAATCTGGTTCATAGGTTACTCTGTTCCAGGAAGAGGTTTTAAGTTGGTTTTAATGATACCTGCCAACACAGGTAGGTTACAAGTGATCCAACAACAGTCATGCATTTAAATGAATCCTACCTCAAACAGTTTGAGAGCCCCCTCCAAGTGAAGCTCCAGGTAGCTACCAGGAGGAAGGCATTTTTGGTTGTGACACCCCAGCTGCAGAATAAGTTCCCCAAAGAGATGTGTCTTGTGCTCACTGTGTATTCTTTTTGACACCAGGAAAAACCCTTTTTATTTTCCCAGTATTTTAAGGGTTAACTTTTTAACTTTAGCTTTAATATTGTTTGTTAGCATATACAGTGTGCATATGCTGGACAAAGAGATGATTAAACAACCTAGGCAGGACCACATGAGATTCCATTATATTACTCAGAATGTCACACAAGTTAAAAACGAATGTTTACTGTATTTCTAGAATTTTCTTTCTTTCTTTCTTTCTTTCTTTCTTTCTTTCTTTCTTTCTTTCTTTTTTTATCGTGGTCAACCACAGTTAAGTGGTTATCGTAAACAACAGATACAGAGGTCTTACTGTATTAACATTTCAATGTGCTCACTATTGATCGGTGTCTAATCAACCCTTGTGTTATTGATGGCTTACAGACAATCGCCTCATCCCCAACAAGAGATGGATAGTGGACAGACTGAAAGCATTATTCTGCTTTCGGCAAGGAAGATAGCAAGTGATTTATTGATTCAAAGAGGTTGGAGATATTAAATTATCAGAAAAAATACTTTGGGCAATAAACAAAATACTGTGACTTAGCTTCTGTACATCCACTCACAATTTTTATTTACCCCTTCCTACAGCAACCTTTTGTAAATTGTTTGCAAACTTAACTGCTGCTCCTGGAACTAAGAAAACCTTCTGGAGCAGCACCTAACAGTCTCTCTTTAATAAAAACATATAAGGCTGCCGCTTTCAGGGAATGTACATAAGCACTCACTGGAGAACTCAAGTTCTTTAGAAGATAAGAAAAAATAATTGAACATATACAATCTATTTTTAATTTGGGGAGGAGGAAGCCTTCTTTCAACTGCAACCATACCTCTAGGTACATCAGTGCCTTATCTCTCTGTAGTTCCACATGTTGTTTAGAATAAATAACAGGTGGCATAGCAATTCAACAGCATTTAAATTCCTGCTGGCACTACGCACGTGGTCTACAATAGTAGTTGGATGGGGGAGAGAGAAAAGGGAAGTTGCTCATCAAGCTCAACCTTCTACATTAGCCCTACCTTAGTATTAGACTGGCATTTAAAATCTTAGTGGGAAAGTAGAATTATCTGCATGAACTACAATATTTCTGAAAGTAGCTCCAAAGATTTGGATATATCTAGAAACATTTAAAACAAGTTAAAGCCTTGCTATCTTCAATATATAAAATTAATTGATCCAGATTTTTGTTGCCAAAACAAAACCGGTTAGAGGGGATATCTTAGAGAAATTCTGGGTTAAGATTTAAACTGGCAAAATTTTAAGAATAAAATTTCAACCATCTTGAGACAGTGCCATGGTTAAGACTTTGAATAAATGACATGACATTACATTGCATTAAATGTTGTATTTAAAGCAGAGATTGCAAATGATTTTTCCCCACTGTGCAGTCCTTCAAGTATGTAGTGGAGGGGTATGCAGCAGCTCTGTAAACAGAGTCTAAACAATTTGCAGGGGTTATAATAGAAATATTTTATTTTGTCAAGTTGACATTTCTAACTAGTTTTAAAGAAGCAAAGAGAAAGCCTTTTCTGATATATAGATTTATGTTGAATTCTTGGAGTTACCATAGTCAATAAAATTTCTTATAGATTTTGTTGATAATAGCTTTACAACAGGAATATTAAAAGCAGAAATATTAAAAGTGAATTATATCTTTTTCTAATTAGGCTGTAGTATTGTGTAGTGTTGTAAGCAACTCTCCCACTCACACAATGGGCAAGACAAACTGAACAGTAAAATTAGTTCAAGATCCCAAACTCTCTGTTGAAAGCAGACTAGTCCTCAAAGATTCTTTTTTTCACTCCAATAGGCTGGGTTCCAATTAGGCATGTTAACTAGAATTAGTTAGCTACACCTATATTTTACTCACAATTTTTGTTCACCAGTGCTGTATGATAGCACCATCTCCAGAAGTTTTTCTATCTCCTAGAAGAAGCAACAAAAACAGTCAGAAAAGCAGAATTATCTCTACTATATATAGCATAAAACACTTCTCCAAATCAAGCATCAATGTAATTCATTTATTTGTGCTATTTTTGCCAGCATCCTCAGCTTACGGACTAGATTTGTTTTTTACTACTGTTTTCCAAGACCCTGTTTGGTATGTTATGCGAATGAGCCCATTCCCCATTATGAAGGAGGTGTATGACTCTAGAACGGAGATAGCACTTTTAAAGAACGTAACCATGCCAAAAGAGGTAGACACAGACTCAGTAAGTTGAAGAGATTTCACCTAACTTTTTAAGTTAATTTGTGCATCCAGATTATATGATAGTTTCCCAGAGGCATGAGAGGGCTTAGGGTAACAGGAAGGGGGATTCATTCTTGAGAACAGTGGAACAGAGAGTGACCTTTAGGCAGAGAAAGAATAGAGTACAGTGCCTTTGTCAAAGTTACACAATTGGTCTCTCACAGAAAGAGCCCAAGCCGGGAAACCACCTGAACCTACATAATGTCTAGCAAAAAGGCAATTTTCAGAGGAAGGATATTAAGGGAGTCTGCACATAGGTGATTGATAAGGTGACTTATTTTAGGAAAGAAAGGCCCAAAGAGAAGGGAGCTGCCCTGGGCAATAGCAAAGGGAACAGAGAGTGGTGCCAAGGGGACGGCACACAAAGATTACAGTCCTGGGATCCCTGCCTTCCTGGGTTGTGATGAGGAGATAACCCATTTGCTTGGATGCCTTCTTACATCAAATAGGGAACTGGGTTTATTTTAGGCACATATGTGTAGGATTACAAGCATAAGAGTGGAAAAATAAGAATGAAAATATTATTTCAGGAATCATTCAAATATCAGATCACAGAAAAAGCAGGTTGCTTACCTGTAACTGATGTTCTTCGAGTGGCCATCTGCACAGTCACACATATGGGTGCTGCGTCTGCACAGTGCCTTTGGCCGGAAGATTGATAGCTAACGGTTTTTGGCGGGAAAAAGCTCCGCTCCCCCTCCCCCTCTAGCCTATAGAGTGGAGCGTCCGCCATTTTGTTCAGTCTTTGAAGACCGAACGTTCGCCCCCATGTGGAAAAAATATCCCTACTATAAACGATATCGGTACCATGAAAAAAGGGAAATGTTTGGTACCGACGAAAATGTCCACTCACCGACACCGAGCGGGGCCGGCGGGTGGGTTGTGTGTCTGCATAGATGGCCACTCGAAGAACATCAGTTACAGGTAAGCAACCTGCTTTTCTTCGTCGTGGCCTCTGTGCATCACACATATGGGTAGATTAACAAGCTTACGATTATTGGAGGAGGGGAGGTGTCCTCAACGAAGAACAGATGAAAGAACGGCCCTGCCAAAGGAGCAGTCTTGCCTAGCGCGAACATCTAGGCGATAATGCTTAGCGAAAGTGCAAGGAGTTGCCCAGGTAGCTTCTCTGCATATGTCATCAATTGGGACTCCCAACACGAAAGCAGAGGATGTGGCGACAGCCCTAGGCAAGTGGCCTCGAGGAACTGTAGTTAAGTCAATACTAGCCAGCTGATAAGACAGGGTAATTGTATGGACTATCCACTTGGAAAGCCTCTGAGGAGTGACCGGATCGCCTTGATCTCAGGTGCAGTATTTGATGAAGAGTTTATTTGAGCGTCAAATAGACTCAGTCTTCAATCTATAGAAGGCTAGGCAGCGCCGAACGTCAAGTGAGTGCAACGATCTTTCTAACGGAGTTGTCAGGGATGGAAAAAAGGCAGGTAAGACAATGTCTTGTCCCATATGAAAAGAGGTGGCTACCTTAGGAAGAAAAGATGGATCTAATCGCAAGACAACTTTTTCTCTGTGAAAATTCAGGTAAGGAGGATCTATGCGGAGAGCGCATAGTTCACTAGCCCTTTGAGCTGAAGTAACCGCCACAAGAAACGCTGTCTTCCAGGAAACAAGGTGTAAATCGATTGTTGCTAAGGGTTCAAAGGGAGCTCTAATAAGGGCTTGTAAGATTACAGAGAGACTCCAGGTAGGCATCAGTGGTCTGATTGATGGGTTAAGATTATGAAGTCCCTTCAGAAATCTCTTTATAATAGGCTGAGAGAAGATGGGCGATCCGTCAACTAAGCCACGATGATAGGCGATTGCTGCCGTGTACACTTTAATAGAAGATGGCTTCAGTCCAGACTGATGCAGTTCTAACAGGAACTGAAGGATCTGATGTATAGATGCAGCATATGGAGAGAACGAATGAGACTCGGCAAAGGTTGAAAATCGTCACCATTTTGCCGCGTAGGACTTCCGTGTAGACGGTTTTAATGCAGAATCAAGGATGTGCTGAATATCCGGATGAAAGGCTGTCGGCACCGACGGGACGTTGCTTGGATCTGATGACACGGGAGGAACAAGTGAGGAAGCGCTGAACTCACCGGATCCGGAGGCAGGATTCGACCCACTTGCAGATGCCATCGATACCAATAGCGAAATATCAGTTATGGATTCGCCATGCTGTTAAGTTCAATGACGGTAGATCTGGATGGAGAAGTGTGCCATCCCGTTGGGTTATGAGGTACAGAAGCAGTGAAAGATGGAGGTATTCTCCGCAGGAGATGTCGAGCAGTGTCGAAAACCAAGCTTGGCGTGGCCACCAAGGGGTAATCAGTAATCCCGTGGCCCGATCGTGTACTATCTTCGCTATCACTCTCATAATAAGAGGGATTGGGGGAAAGGCGTAAAAGTTCAGGTTGCTCCAGGGGATCATGAAGGCGTCCCCTAGGGATCCGTGTCCGATTCCCGCTCTCGAACAGAAAACATCGCACACCTTGTTCTGTTGGGTGGTGAATAAGTCCATGTTGGGAAACCCCCAGCGACGGAAAAGGCGGTCGCGTGTCCGAGGATCTAGTTCCCATTTGTGAGAGATGAGCATGTGTCTGCTGAGAAGATCTGCTTCCACATTGTCCATACCAGCTAGATGGACTGCCATCAGCGTAATGTCTCTCGGGATGCACCAATCCCAAATTTTCATCGAGAGTCTGGCCAGAGCCGGTGACTTTGTTCTCCCTTGCTTGTTCAGATAAAAGACGGTGGCTATATTGTCCGAAGTTATCTGAACAACTCGATGTCGGAGAACATCCTCGAAAGAACGCAGGGCCTTGAATACAGCCAGGAGTTCCAGGAAGATGGTATGATTCCTGGATTCTTGATGATTCCACGTGCCCTGAGTGTGTAGATCAGAGCATACTGCTCCCCATCCCAGGAGAGATGCATCGGTACCGAGGGTTACCAAAGGGCATCGGGGTCTGAATGGAACCCGCACAGTCAGGTTGGCTGGAACTGACCACCAGAGTAGAGAATGGAGCACAGAGGATGGAATTCGAATCAACTTTGACGGTGGATCCCTCTGTGGACGGAACATCTTGTTGAACAGGAGTTGTAAGGGACGAAGTCTAAGTCTGGCGTGTGGGACCACAGCAATTGAGGAAGCCATATGCCCAAGAAGTCTCTGGATGGACTTTACCCGAACCGTGCTGTCTCGTCGCATTCGATGGATGTGGCGAGCAAGAGTCTGTTGTCTGTCCTGAGGAAGGAAGGCCTTTCCCACCATAGAATCCAAACGGGCTCCGCTGCAGGTAATCGTCTGTACCAGAAGAAGAGAAGACTTTTTGGTGTTAATGCATAGTCCCAGATCATCTAATAAGGCACAGGTCGTACGGATGGAGGCGAGAAGTCCATCCCTAGATTGGGACACCAGCAATCAGTCGTCAAGATAAGGGTAAATTTGTACCCCTTGGAGGCGTAGAAAAGCACAGACAGGGGCCATACATTTGGTGAACACTTTCGGAGCGGTAGCCAGTCCGAAGGGCAAAACTGTAAATTTGAATAATTGGGATGCAACAGCAAAACGAAGGAAGTGCCTATAATTCAGGTGAATGGGAATGTGGAAATAAGCGTCCTTCAAGTCCAATGAGGCAAACTAATCCCCTTTCCTTAGCAGCAGCAGAATATTTTGAAGGGTGGTCATTCGAAACATTTTCGTTGCGATGAATCGATTCAGATTGCGTAAGTCCAAGATTGGATGCAGACCACCATCCCACTTCGGGACCATAAAATATCTGGAATAGAATCCGTGAGGACCGTCTGCCCAGGCCACTTGTTGAATCGCTCCTTTACGAAGAAGTTGTTGGACTTCGTCGAGCAATACCGGCGAGCATGATGTAAACCGGATCGGACTCGATGGGGGAACCATGTTGAATTCTATCCGACAGCCGTGCTGTTTGATGGACAATACCCACCGATCAGATGTGATGGACCCCCAAATGGGGAGTTGGCCTTTCAGCCGGTCCCCAGATGAGACGGGGGTGGGTATAAAAGGAGTTAGAGGAGTGGTTCGCCCGTCCCATCAGCACTGTCTCCTATCTCCGTTGAAACGACGACGGTCCTGCTGGTACCGTTGTGGAGGCTGTTGACGGCGGCATTGCTGTTGCTGCTGCTGCTGCCGGTGTTGAGGCTGCTGTCGAGGCTGGCATGATTGTCTATAAGATGGACGGGTCCATGACCACTTACACCTGGTCTGGGTCTGTAGCTCCATCCTCCGTGCCGTCATGCGAGACTCATGGAGTTTCTTTAGCTTGTGGTCGGTCCTCGAGTGGAAAAGCCCGGACCCGTCGAAGGGCATTTCCTCTATTCACCCCTTCGTCTCCTCCAGGAAGTTACAGTTCCGTAACCAGACGTGCCTCCGGAGGGAGACGGCACTGACCAAGGCCCTCAAGTCTGTGTCCACATGATGTCGGGCAGTGGACAACTGCTGGACAGCAACTTGCATCACCTCCTTGATGAAGACCTTTGCCAGGTCACCCTGGTGGTCCAGGAGGGCTGAGACGATGTTATGGAGGTGCTGCATAATGAAGTATTGATACCTCGCAAGCGTCGCCTCGTAATTGGAAATACTGAGCCCTTGGCCAGAGGCAGCGTACACTCGCCTGGCCAGGGAGCCGATCTTCCGTCCCTCCTTGTCCGTCGGTGCGGTGTGACCTCTTGCCTCTCTGCCCTGGGAGGACTCCACCACCACCAAGTTCGGTTTGGGGTGGCTGAGGAGGAAGGGTATGTCCTCTTCCCGAACCCGATACACGGATTCGTGCCTCCGCGAAGTCGGTTGAGGGTGAGCAGGCAAGTCCCAGGGTTGAGTCATCGCCTGTCACAAGGTGGTGATCAACGGCAGGACAATCGATGTAGATTGTTCCCCATGGATGACATCATAAAACTTGTCCGTACTCGGTCCCGAACGCTGGACGGCGTCTATCTCAAGGGACTGGACAAGGCGGGACATCAACTCCACGAAGGAAACGTGCGATTCATCCGGTGACACAGGGCCCTGGGAGGTCACAGCGACGTCTGGGGAGGTAGAATCGACCTCCGAATCGTCGGAAGCAGCACCATAGTACGGGGGAGCCGATGAAGAGGACTCAGCCGGAGAGAAGGACCGGCTACTCTCATCCCAAGGAGGTATCAGGGACGAGGACAGCGGACGGTCATGAGGAGGTGGTGAAGATCGACCCTTGGGACCAGGGTAGTATCCGACGGAGTGCGGATTGCCCCAGGCCTGGTAGTAGGGACGGTACCATCCTTCGGAATGGTGTTCCACGGAGCGACTCCTCCGGCTCCTAGGCGGGGACATTTCAACATTCGCCTCCAATGTGGCTGTGGGCATAGGTGTGGGAGACCTAGCCCTAGTGGGAGAATCTTGAATCTCCCCCTCAGAAATCGACTCCCGTGGTAGAGTTTGGAGAGGCTCCGCCGGAAGGTCAGCCACACGGCAAGGGGACCCTTGAGGGGTAACCCTCATAGCCGCCTGAAGGGCCGGGTCAGGTCGAGTTGGTATGGTGACTACCGTCGGTACCGAGGGGGCCGCTAAACCCGAGTCACGATGCCTGGGATGCTCCGGATCCTTAGATTTCTTCGACGGCTTCGGAGCCTTCTCCTTCCTGGCCTTCTTGTGGCCTGCCAATTTGTCAGTATCGGCACGCTTGCGTTTCTCATGCTTCTTCTTCGGAGAAGCAGGCCGAGCGCCCATGGTAGACGCACCTTCGTCCGAAGGGCAAGAGGGTGGAGCCGAAGGGCATGAATGCAGAGGAGCAGTGGAAGAGCCAGGCTTCGGAGAGGTGACTAGTGGGTCAGACTGCAGAAGAGCCCGATCCCACAAAAGCCTTCGTAGGCGGTTCTCGCGATTTTTCCTGGCCTGCTTAGAGAAGGCCAGGCAGTGAGAACACTTATCGGTCCTATGCCCTTCCCCCAGGCAGAGGAGGCATAGGTCATGCAGGTCTGCAGGAGACATCTTAGATCCGCATTCCATGCACTTGCGGAAAGCCACTCGCTGCGCCATCGTAAGAAAAGGAAAAAAGGAGAAGATAGTGCAGAGGGTAAGAATATATTTTTGGTTTGTTTTTGTTTTTGTTTTTTATAGAAAATCGAAAGAGAGAACAATAGAAAAAACAGAGAACTATCAAGAGGACCAAGAGTTTCTACAAGAACTACTAACAGGGCTATAATAACTGGGAGAGAAGAATAATCGAGAACAAACAAGACGAGCAACGGTCAGAGCGATAGCGAAAGTGGCACAAGGCACAGCGAACGGCGGTCACAAAGACTGAACAAAATGGCAGACACTCCGCTCTTTACAGGTTAGAGGGGGAGGGGGAGTGGAGCTTTTTCCCGCCAAAAACCGTTAGCTATCAATCTTCCGGCCAAAGGCACTGCGCAGGCACAGCACCCATATGTGTGATGCGCAGAGGCCACGACGAAGAATATTGCATTATATTGCTGGTGGTATACTGGTGCAGTATGAGGTTCACCTAACAGTTGTAAGGATGGTGACTGTCAAATTATTTTGTTCCATCTCATCTTTGTTATAAATACAGGACTGCTTTGCTTAACAATCCAGCCCCTGTGAGTGGTTCAGTCACAGTGGCCTTTGCATATTCAACAACTAGATGTTGTCATCTTGTCATGCAGACCCATAGACCATGATTATGCGAGGGCTTAACAACACTTGTATTACCTAGCAGTCGACTGACACGGTTTGCACCCCAGCCCACTGTGGGTATGCAGACATGGTGTGTGGGCAGCCTGTGTGAGTCTGGACCATGTCCAGCTAAGTTGACTTATTTTGGGAATACAAGCCACCCTAATGACTCGTGGCATATTGTAGGGTTATACACCCAAAGAGTTGTCATGTCATCTGAACCTGGGTAACACCCCCTCGGAGGTACTGGAAAGTGGTGAGGAAGTTGATCGGCCAGAGTGGCAAAACCCCTTGCTACTCCTGTTGAGCTCATCTGAACCACCATCAGTGACAGCCCCACAAGTCATCAAGCGGCACTTTGGGACAACTGTCAATGGCTTTGCATTCCCCGTTGAGCCTATGAGCCGTTTTGCATACATGGCGGCTTTTTACCCCATTTCCACTTTTTGGGGATATCTCTTTTCCTAATCTCCAAGGTAACTGACCCTTTAAATTGCCTAACTAGTACACTGGAGAAGCTGCTGAAGCTTGACCATTTTATTTGTGCTTTAAGTACATATAAACATTTTCTTAATTTTTTTAACCTTCTGAGCAACTCCGGGGATCTGAAATACACTTCCTTTCTCATCAGTATCTCAGGAAGACTCCTAGCAACGTGCAAGAGATACCATCCATAAACACTGATGAAACAAGTCTATAAATATTCTGTTTTGTTACTTTGTACTGTCATTTGTCAAAGAAAAGAAAATCTGCAAGTGATCCTTGCTTGAAAAACGTGGCAAGTAGTTCATATTTGTTGCAGGAAGATCCTCAGCTTTTCTTTGGGACCTGACTATTCTCAGCCTTTTCCACTTTTTCCTGGGATTCTAGCTGCTCAGTATGCTGGGAAGGCGCAAGCCACCCCATGCATGGGAGCTAGACAGTTTAGCAGCTGTCAAGATCCCTTTTTACATGGGACTTTTGACAGAGCTAATCAGGCTTTAGTGATAGTGATATGCACTGATTTCAAGGCTGACATCAGAACACCCAGATTCATCTGATGAAAAATAAAAGGAGGAAAGCCAGCTCTGTGAACTTCTGCCAGGGAAATGGATGCTTCAGCTAAAAGCCTTTCCCAGATCCTATTTTTCTACCTGCTTGAGCAACTAGTCTCTCAAAGAAAAGAAGAAGCTGAGAACCAAACCATTTTTTTAAAATATATATGGCAAAAAAGGTGTGTGTGTGTGGGGGGGGGGGGGACACGAACCAGTTACAGCCTCTCTAATGTGCAGACTATTCACTCTAAAAATTCTGTCTCTTCAGAAATCACAAAAAGCAATCTTTGAAAAGGAAAAGAGAAAAAAGGTGGAGGAAAAGATCATAGGAGACAAGGGAAATGGAGACAAGATGGACGCTTCCAAGGAGTCCTTTTGTGTACCCACAAGAAGACTGACAGGGAAGGAGCAGGGCACACTGTGGGTTTTCTGAGACCAACCAACCATCTGTAGCTTCCTAGCAGGATGGGGTAGCATGAAATGTGGGCATGGCAATGATGGGTGATTCAAGGTTGTTAACACCATGGTTCCCTAGATTTGTACGTGAGAAGCTATAACCAGACACTGAATATTCAAAATGGGCTTTCTCACATTCAGTAGCAGACCTGTTCAGTTCTGTGAACCTGGTAAGAGGCACAAATTGTGATCCAAGGACACTGATATGCCATGTTTAAAATCTCTCTGCATGTACACTTACCAGAAAAAGTACTGTTTCTGCTCTCTGTAGCACGCTAACAAACCTAATGGTAAAAATTAAACTGGTATAAAATAAAATAAGCTGCCTCTAAACAAGAAACCTCCAGTTCACCTCCAATAACATGGCTTCCTGATTTTCTAGCTAAATCCTTAGGTTTTTTAATTTACACAATGCAGGCTTCTTTATACTGAACAGGAAGATCTATCAGTGTTAGTATAAGCAGTTAACATATTCTAACTTGTGCTAAAGACAATTTAATAAATTAGGCAAAAATGAGAACAAACCTTACAATTAGACTGCAAGGATCTCATACCCTGCAGTCTATAGTAGGTTCCTGGAAGACAGTCCAAGAGATCAGCAGGAGAGTTATGGACAAATTCTACTAAGTTCTGTAGAGGCAGCAAGGAAAACCATGACCTGAAGAGTAATCTGTTTCTTTCCAACAAATACTTCTTTTCTTTCATTCGTTCTAACAAGATTCTGCAAACAAAAAAGGGATTTTTGCAAATAAAGAACAGTAAATATATTGAACTCTTGAGAGAGAGATTACAGTCCTAATACAAAGTTTTGCACAGTTAGGAAGAATGTAAAAAAGCTGGTTTATACTGTAACCAGGATCTGGTCCTGGTTTCATATCCTGGTCCATAAGCAGCACTTAAACCAGTTCTGAATTCAGGCATTACTGACACGGATAGAACAAGCCATTACCTCAGGTGTGCAAGGGGAAGAAGGAAGAGACAAATTTGTAATACTAAAGTTAAACTGCTCTGAACAGTTTCAGTGGCTGCCAGTGTAACACCAATACCAATTTTAATCTTGAGCCTTAGATTCCCACGTCTGGAAATGCATGAGAATCTCACTATTAATATATCCACAACACTTATAAATATTTTATTCAGTATTTCAAGATCTCACAATCTCTTCATAATACAATGAACATACTCATTGAAATTAAAAGTTCAAGTAACAATATAAATACAACATATGTCCTGGTGAAGGTATGGTTCGAAATATGGTTTTTTGGGGAGAGGAGAACTGACTTTCACTAGTGGCCACTATAACTCATGAGCGTCTTCTTCAAAATGGAAGATTCATAATATTTGTTCTGAGGTAAGTTTCCTTCTTTCCCACATTCAAAGCCACAGACCTTTCCTTGCAAGACTTTCTTTATTCACCAGTGTTTTCCAGAAGCACAATTACCCAGAATGAATAGCTGAGCATGCACAGAGCAGTTCTTTGAACCCATCTAATACTTACTTCTAGAAACTATTTATTTATTTATAGCTTTTTTGTCCTGTCTCAGGTCAGTAATACAATATTAAAGCACAACATCAGCATCTAAATAATGCTACTCATTGATAATAAAATTTCAGAAAGAAAGGAATTAACTAAGCAATTGTATTAAAACTCACTGTTGATGTTCCTTTTTATCTCTGTATTCAATGAATGGAAGGTCTTCTAATCCTGCCCATTTCTTTTCATTTTGAAGTGGGGGATGCAGTTGAACATTGTTAAGCTCCTTAGAAGTAAATATATGGAGAATGGGAATTGTCCACAACCACTGGTGAATCCCACGTTTGATACAGATATCACAAAACGTCATCAAATGGAGTTCCATTCTGAAAAGGAAGGAAGAAATTAAGGCTACCAGAAAAATACTACAACATTCCATTAAACATACATTTCTGCATGAAAGTCAAGCCTAGCAGGGCATTACTAGACAGAGTGCACTGTTTAACATTGCAATATTTCTGAAATATGCAGGAGTCCACAGCCAAAACTTCAACACTCACTTAAAACCTTCCCTTTCCCACTTGCACAGCCTCACAGCACAGAGCACTGCCTGAACACACTGGCACTCCTCATGCTTACCAGAAGGTGCATCATGTTTCCCATGGCAAGTGTAATTCCTGAAGTCTGTATCTACAAACACACAATCCTTCACAATTTTAAAAGCATCATAATCTGCTCCCATTGTGTCACTAAATCAATGGGACAATCCTTAAAATCCTTCATGTATTTTTTCCTACTGTGTTGTAAGCAACATAAAAGCCATTGTAGGGCAGTGGATTGGATTGTTCCTCCTGCAAATAGCAGGCACACCAATCCAGGCTTTCACTAGCAGAAGAGGTACAAGTGAGCTAATTGTTTGCCATTTCCTTTCCAACTTTTTTGCCATTTCCCCTGCTTCATTCTTCCACACCCTTTGAAGTTCTCTCAATCTTGTAGAGCAGAGTTTCAGGGCACTCCATGGGGCTATGTGGAGGAGGGGAAAATCAAGGATCTTCTGCACTCACTTTCACTATTAAGAGTTTCCTGTGAGTTTAAATCTACATGTAAGACATTCCCATTAGCGGAATGAAATGGGATTCAAAAAATAGTATCTTTTGAAATTCAATAAAACGAACCACAGTACATTACTTGGCATTTCCCCCATTATTTCTCACAAGACGGCTTTCTGTTGACAGAAGCTCATGGCCTTTAGTAGATGTGCAACATGCAGAAATAAATTTCTGGGGATACAGTGTGGGGAAGTCTGAACCTGTTAAATTTTGTTCATCAAAAAACCGCTAAAAGTTAAAACAATGATCATTTATAAATCTGCCCGAACACTGGCTCTTAATTTTCATACTCTTAATTACCTATCGCATACCTTGTAATACTTGAAAACACTTTTTGGAGAGCATACACTTCATGCATCACATCTACTGGTGGCTTATCTAAACAAAGAATGCTGCATAACTGTTCCAGGTCAGTCTCTGATGTTGGAAGACGATAACATTGTCCAAGTAGAAGAATAATCAATCCCAGGCCCAGCTTATTTTGGACTGTACAATTTGCACTGTCGTGGACTATTTTTTTCAAATAATCCAGTATTAATGCTTTCATCTAAATCGAGAGAAATGAAAAAAACACATCAATAGTCACCTATTTTCTTTGGAATTGTGCTTTTCTCATATCAGGAAGGCTTTATCTAGCAGATCACTCAGTTTGGGCTTAGTCACACCCTGTTAGCATGACTGCATCCTATTTGTGCTGGGCACCAAGGAAGAGAAAACATTGTCCCTCTGCATACATCGTCTGTGTAAAAGCAGAGTGTGCTAGCAGTCCTCATCCAGCACACACCAAACAGAAGCAGCAGCAGCAGCAAATGAATAGCCTGGGACAGGATTTGCAGTTGTCCACAGGGGCTACCTCGTGCTACCAGACCTACATGGGCCGCACAAAAGGTGGCTAAGTGTTGCACATTGTTTATCACTGCCAGATTTTATTTTCTGGTAGCTAGCATTACTCTGCTTCCGTTTCTAAAGAGCATTAATGTATATATTACATACATGCCCTGAAGCTGGTGGATACTGACCAGCACATTTCAAAGTGTATAATCTCAGATGAATTTTGTCAGTGTCCAAAATCTGGCAATTATGCCAATACTATTTATATAATTTCTGTACCACCCCATAGCCAAAGCTGTCTGGGGATAAATGCATAAAAACAAAGATATAAGATGCAATACAAATACTGTGAAATCAAAAGACATTTTTAAAAAAATTAAAGCAGTTAAAAGATGCAGTAAAAAAACACCTGGAAGGGATACCCTTCAAACCCCTGGGTAAACAATTAAATCTTTAAAAGCCTCAGCATAAAGGGCTACCTTAACCTGGTACCAAAAAGATTACAAGGCTGGTGTCAGGTGGGGCACAGTGGGGAGGCTGTTGCACAGATAGGGGATATCCCAGGAAAAGCCCTGCTCCTTGCTGCCGCCCTCCAAGAGTCACCCAGAGTCTGCCCTTGGAAGAAGGACCCACAGAGCAGTGATATATATTGACAGTTACCAAAATGCAAGTGCCAGTGTTTGTTGATGTATGTTTGACAAGTGCAAAAAGAATGATCTATCTTCATAAGACATTCATCAACTTGGAGCTGAATCAACATTCACCAGATTAATGGAAGATTTCATTAGCTATATAAGAATTCTAGCTGCTTCAACAACTAGATCAGTGGTTTTCAATTTTTTTATAGCTGAGGACCAGCAAAAATAGAAATATTTTTCAGGGACCACTGAAGCAGAAATAAAAAGCATTATACACATAGTATAGTATTTTATGCATTAGTTTTTAAATATAATACCAAAAATGATAATTCTCCAAAATAACCAGAAACTGAACAGCAGAAATTCTAATAAAAGAATATAATATTGAAATTAAATGTAATCAAATACAACTGAAATTTTTAGAGAGCAATATGTAATTCAAATAAGGCTAATGTGAAATCTGCTGTTGCTTCTTTTCATGAATACTTGAAAGTTGTGGCTGCAGTGTTGTTTCTGAGAGACAAAGCACTGCACAGACATCCATTCTGTTTCTGTTTGATTTTTATTAGTGACAGGGCTAAAAAACTCTTCACACAAATAAAATACAAGTAACAATTTAATAGCTCTGTAACTTAGTAACAGATATTCATTTTTCAGTGATATCCAAAATTGTGACAATGACTGCATTTTATGTTTGGAGAGTGACATCCGAGCTCTTTCCCACCTCCTGCCTGGATCAGCTCGGTTCTCCTGGTGACAGCAGCAGCGCTGAGCGAGCAAGAACAGCTGGCTGAGCAGGAGGTGCTGCCATAATACGCAGCTCTGAAAGGCCCGGCCACCCCTCTGCAGCTCCTCCGTGACACTTGGTGGCTTTCTGAACGGCCCTGCCCTTGTGTGGAGCTGCTTTCCCACTTTCTGCTACAATCAGCTGAGTTCCCCTGGTGACGGCAGCAGCACCGAGCAAGCGGGAAGAGTGGAGTGGGTGCAACTCTGAGAATGCTGCTGCCGCTTCCACCTCCTCAGTGCGCCGTGCAAGTGGCCCCAAGCTTCCTGACTCTGGTTTTGCGCTGCCTGACAAGGTGAGCGGCACAGCCATCTTCCGGGCATTCATGCATTCATTCAGAATTTTTGTATGCCATCCCATCGCTTAAAGCCCTGGGCATTCCGGTGCGCCAATGCAGCCTGCTATTGGAATGCTGGGTTGGAGTGTGCTGTGGTGTGTGTCTTGCTGCTAGGTTGGCTGCGGGGCAGTGTTCTATTGCTGCAAGGCCTGGCCACCCCTGCGCCGCTCCTTTGGGACACGGCTCCACAAGGTGCTGTCCCCACCAAGACTTCCATGTCAGGGCTTTTTCATGGACCAGCAGGAAACCACTGAACTAGATAATGACAGTAAATTGAGGGGGTGTATCAATTAATTCTGTGTAGTAGTTCTGGCCAGTCTTCTCTGTCTTTTCAAGTAGATCAGGACAAAGGCTTTCTAAAATATTATGTTCATGGCCAACTAGGCTGCCTTGTGATACGCAAGGAAGTTATTGCAGCAGCTAGTCACAAAAGCTAAAGAAGGAAATTAGGATACTGACCATTAGAGAATTGTAGCTTAATTATATATTACCCTTTACTCAGCACTGGTTAGGCCTCATGGAATACTGCATCCAGTTTTGGGCAACATGGTTTAAGAAAGATACAGATAAGATGAAAAGGATTCATAGAAGGACCACAAGGATGATCCAGGGACTGGAAACAAAGCCCTATGAGAAGACATTGAAAAAAGTGGCCATGTTTAGCCTCAAGAAGGCAAGAGTGAGCAGATATATGATAGGAACCCTTCAAGTACTTGAAAGGTTGTCATGAAGAGGAAGGCCAGGATCTCTTTTCAAGTAATCCCTGAGTGCAAGACTTGGAATAATGGGGTCAAGTTACAAGAAGCCAGGTTCCAGCTGAACATCAGAGAGAACTTCCTGACTGTCAGAGCAGTATGACAATGGAACCTATTACCTAGGGAGGTCATGAAGTCTCTAATGCTAAAGGCATGGAAGAGGCAGTTGGACTGCCATCTGCGAGGGGTGCTTTAACTTGCAGTCCAGCACTGAGCAGGGAGTTGGACTTACAGGCCCCTTCCAACTCTACTATTCTGATACTATATCAAATTGATTCCAAACTGAATACCTTTCCTCCCTTTCAAACTGAAAAGAACTGACTTCAACTTCAAGGTGAATCATGCTACTTTCAGAACAACTGCTTGAAAATCTGATGCTTCTCAACTATCCACCTTCTTAAGCTGAGATTAAATGGTGTAATGAATGACACTGGGTCTACCCCATCCCATAATTCACCGAATTTTCTATAGAACTTTAAACTGTCTGATTCCCAGTAGCTACTGTGAAGGGTTGTCAGGGCTTGCCATCTCCTACTTGGGAGCAAGCCAAGGGGGATGCACGGTAGGGAATGAAGAGTCAGTGAATCTGACACCTGGGGTGGCAAGACCATCAACAACAGGGCACTGGGCAGGGGAACCATGCACCCAGCCCAGCTCTGAGCACACAGATGTGCAGGTGCTTCCCCAGGAAGAGAGCACCTGGACAAGGGGGCGTGGCCCTGGCAAGATAAAGAGAAGAGCAAGGGAAGAGAAGAGGAGGTGGAGGTGGATGTGGCATGGGGACAGGAAGGGTGGCGGCAGCAAGGAGACAAAGGTGACAGGAGAACAGGACTCGGGGGGGGGAGGCGCTTAACCCCAACAGTCTAGGGCAGAGACAGGGGTCTAAGGGTGGACACAGCTCACCCTTTCCCCCTTAGGAGGACTCTCTCTGCAGACTGTGCAGAGTTGATGCACACAGGGGAGGGGAATTGTCCTGCCATTTGCACACACAGGGAGGAGCCAGCTGAGAAGAGGATTGTCAGCACAAAAGCCGAGGCTCTGCAGCAATGGATGGCATGGCAACCTCCCTGCCCTAGCTGAGCGTGCCTGCAGTTAGAGGGATGGCCTCTTCCTCAACTAAGACTCTGTCAGAAGCAGCCAGGTGGCCCTGCAGTCTTTGTAGCCAGTATTACATTAAAGGCACTGCACTGCTGACCAAGACTGTACGTGATGATGGAGGCAATGGAGCGGGGGGAGGGGGTTGGCGTTTCCCTCTCCCCTGACACAATCACAGCTGCCCAGATTATCTCTGGGTCCCCTGGCCTTGGCAGGTCAACAGAGAATTGCAGCCCATCCTCCACTTCTGAATCAGAATTTGAGTCAACAAGTTTTGAAGGCTGTAGGAGGGGTGGGCTCAATCCACACAGAAGCTCCTAATGAGCAGGCTGGGAAGCAGGACAGCAAATTTACAAATTACTGAGTCTGTCCATTTGCATCTTCCAGTGTCGAATACACAGAGTGTTTCCATCAATATAATAGTCCAATGAATATGAAAAAAACAACTTTGTGCAGGATCAAAATCCTGCCTGTTCAACAGCTTCTAACTTTTTTATAGTAGTGATGCCATTATGGAGTACAATGTAGCATCCATCCAGCGGACCCAGCAAGGTGCTGCATCCCTAGCAAAGCAGCAATGCATGTGGGATGCTGGCACCATGGCAGGAAGAGGGTTCTGCCGGAGCCCAGTGTGACACCACTCTGCACGTTTAGGAAGCAGATGGTGTCCCAAGGATTCATTCAAATGGGAATGGCTCCAACACAATAAACAGATCCACACGGTCCCAGATTTTCCATTTTATCTTTTTCTGGAACGAGAAAGATTTTGGCTGAAACACTTAACCCCGTTTTAGTTTTGACCCAGGGAGATGATCATCAACCTTCATATGGCACATTCCAGTTAGACTTATTAAAATATTGCTATTCAGAATGTGTTACAGATACCTGTTCTTCTCCAAACTTTAATTCTCTCCATTCCTTTGGTCCTCCCTCATGTATCATTGGTTTAATATTCACTACGTAAAAATGTCTGAACTGAAAGAGAAAGTTCTTGACATTGTTGAGGGTCCAGGTGTTCAGGATACTGAAGAGGCTGTCCAGCATCACTCTAGCTGCTATTTGTTTTCCTTTCACAGTATTGTTCTCTGATTTTGTCCAAAATGGAAGATTGTTCTTAATAGTGGTCCACATAGATTCAGATGGTGCAGCGCATACAATGTCATCATACTGATGCCAGTCTGCTAATTAAAACAAATCCCATTGAGATTTCACAAAACAAGGCCTCCCTTTCCTATAGCAACACTCCACCCTTGCCAAATGTGGCAAATCCCAAAAAGCACAAATCCCCTCCCGAGTTGCAAAAAACACAAATCTTTGCTTTCTGTAAAAGCCAAGCCTTGGGGAAAAACTATTCTAGGTGTCCTTTTCACCACAGACAACTAGATTGTATCCCTCAAGCAATGGCAAAGATAAGAGCAGCAGCAGGACTGGACACCTTCCACTTCGTTTTAAGCTGATACATCCATTACCCTCCACCATGTTGAGATTTACACATGGGGGAATGCTGCCAACATTCCCTCTCTCCTGCTAGATTATATAGCAGCATTGCTGAGCATTGTGCAGTTTGTTCTGCCTGCAAAGCAGAGTGCAAAGTGCAGCCAGGCTGTAAATAGTGATTTTACTATCAGCAAACTGGCATATCAGCAGGGGGTAAACGAGTGCTGGGAGGACTGCTTTCACATTGGGTGAGTAGGTTGTTGAAACACATAGTATTCCACCTTTCCTTTCTAGCACAGCACTGCCTGACAGTCCTAATTCTCCTATCAAAATACAGCAAAGCACACAAAAATAGTAGAAAAAGTGCCATTGGGTTGCTCATCTGTGCTTCGATCACTACTTGCAAACATAACTGGTCTCTGTGGATGAAAGTGATGTAATCATTATCTGAACATCTCTTTGACTGCCTGAAGAGTACACTGTTTTTCTTGAACTAACTTTTAGATTTCTGTGCAATGAAGACTCCTGGTTTCCCCTCACTCACGTTGAGCATGACAGCAGCAATGATTTGTATAGTTGCTAGAGGGGTACAATGTGGTCAACTCAAAGATTCAAACTCTTCTATGTTTGGGACTTGTTATAGCTATATATGTTCTTCTTGGGAGAAATAGCCTTACATAATATTTGGAACTCTAGTTTACTTGGCTGCAATTGGTTTATTAACACGTATATGCTGCATTATCTGCTGGAAAGCCATCAAGGTGATGTTCTGCAATAATTTATAACAAAACCTTTCTACTATAAAAATAAGTACAATAAAAAGAATAAAAACCTACACATTTTAAAAGGAGAAACTGAGACTGTATCTTTATACACTTTCTGCATGGTCCTTGAGGAGGTACCTTCCATAGGCTGGAGACAACACAGAAGAAAGTCCTTTGACTCATACTCAACCAATGGCCCTATACAGGTCAGGGCATCCTCAGAAAGACACAGTGTGGTGTAGTGACTAAGAGTGCAGGACTAGCACTCAAGACCACCTGGGTTCTAGTCACCACTCAGCCATGGAGATCACTGGGTGACTTTGGACCAGTCACAGACTCTCAGTCTGGCCCATTACACAGGTCTGTTATTGAGGATAAGACTGGGAGAAAGAGAATCATGTAAGCTGCCTTGAGTTTCTTGAAAGAAAAAAAGGCAGGATAAAAATTAAATATATGAATAATGGACTTTCCAGCAGATCCTAACAGTCAGGCAGGCTGACAGTGAGATAGAACCTAGCTGTCTAAGAGATCAGTTAAGCCATTTAGAGCCTTAAAAGCTAAAACCAACAGCTTGAATGTGCCTTGAAAAACTATTGGCAAATTGCATAGATCTTTCAGGAGCGGTTCACCAATACAGCTGTACTCTCCCCCATCGTTTCTTGATTTAGGCTATCCAGCAAAGCAGCCAAGGGAATCATACTCCTTTATCCCATCTGAAAACCCAACTGCTACGAGGGTTTTCCTATCAGTTTGTCCAGATTTCTCTGGGGGCAACACTTTCCTAATCATCTTAGTCAAGAATGACACATTGGAGTTTGGCCTATAGTTAAGCAGATCTCTTGGGTCAAAGGAAAGCTTAATAAAGGACGTGTTACTTCTCTTTTCTGCAAGAGAAAGCAACCCACTTCCACAGTCATTAATCACTTCCTTTAGTCATGGTTTCAGTCCTATCTTGGCCAATTTAATCCACAGAACTACAGAATCTCAGTCTTTAATATATTACCAAAATCACAATCCCACAGGTGATAGTTCCTTACCTGTACCATTCAGGTACTGTGACTGTATAATCAAACAACGATTCACTATTGTTTCTTTCGGACCTTTTTTGTAAATGAATTCATGTTCTCCTTGCTTCCCACGTGCAATGTAATATTTATACGCGATTGGTTGGTCCAGGTAGTTCTTAGGAATCATACCACAGCCTTCAATTAGGTAACCATGCTCAGCAAGGTCCCTGTTTTTAAACAAATTGCATATATGTACAGTTTAACAGCAAAGCAAGACAATAGGCAAGCAACAGATCTATTATTCAACAAAACTTTCTGCAATAATATGTATGAAATAAAAGATATCTATACACATTCTCAATTTAAACTCAGAGCTGGTTTTGGATATCATGGCAACACACGGGATGGATGTTTAACCAATGGGATGTCAGAAATGAATGGGAGTAATGAAGTGCACTAGCTCTGGCACAATCATTTATTTAATTCTATTTCTATGCCACCCCATAAACTGAAGGTTCTCTTCACTCTCCCTTTCAATTCACAATCCATTAACACATCCCTTTTCAGCATTCAGGTAAGAGGGGAAATCATACAATCCAAGGCTTTGTATAGCTCGTTTAACAAATAATGCTAAATCATAGTTTAACATTATGTACCAATGCTCTCCAAGTGTCATAATAAAAAATGCATCTTGTGGTCTAAAATCTAATGTGGCAAACTCTTGCACAGTGCCTCTCAGACCAACATCTAGCAATGTAGGGCCTGTTCTGATGTAAAAATCCCACTTTAGCAAACTACAATGTACTAAGCTGGGAGCTAATGTCATGCATGAGCCTTCTTGATTCCTTACTTGCAAGCCACCTTGAGTGCTTCTGTTATCATTACTAAGACTTACTAAGAAGTGTTATGTTTGAGCTGGCTGTAAATCTGTTTCTCTGTGAGAGCTACATTTTTGGAAATTACCAAAAACAGAGAATTCATGCAGATTTGTTACTTTCTATACTCAATTTGGTTTTCTTATCACAGTATTTGGATCATTTTGAGACAGAATTTAACAGTCTTGTCCCATGGATCATTTATGGATCTGTATTAACATTTCTACACATGTACAGTATATCACAGAAGTGAGTACACCCCTCACATTTTGTAAATATTTTATAATATTATGTGACAACCCTGAAGAAATGACACTTTGCTACAATGTAAAGTAGTGAGTATACAGCTTGTATAACAGTAAATTTGCTGTCCCCTCAAAATAACTCAACACACAGCCATTAATGTCTAAACCGCTGGCAACAAAAGTGACTACACCCCTAAGTGAAACTGTCCAAATTGCCCAATGGCATTATTAGCCATTTTCCCTCCCCGGTGTCATGTGACTCATTAGTATTAAAAGGTCTCAGGTGTGAATGGGGAGCAGGTGTGTTAAATTTGGTGTTACCGCTCTCACTCTCTCATACTGGTCACTGGAAGTTCAACATGGCACCTCATGGCAAAGAACTCTCTGAGGATCTAAAAAAAAGAAATGTTGCTCTGCATAAACATGGCCCTAGGCTGTAAGAAGATTGCCAAGACCCTGAAACTGAGCTGCAGCACAGTGGCCAAGACAGCGGTTTAACAGGACAGGTTCCGCTCAGAACAGGCCTCGCCATGGTCGACCAAAGAAGTTGAGTGCACGTTCTCAATGTCATATCCAGAGGCTGGTTTTGGGAAATAGACGTATGAGTGCTGCCAGCATTGCTGCAGAGGCTGAAGGGGTGGTGGGTCAGCCTGTCAGTGCTCAGACCATACGTCACACACTGCATCAAATTGGTCTGCAGGGGTGTCATCCCAGAAGGAAGCCTCTTCTAAAGATGATGCACAAGAAAGCCCACAAACAGTTTGCTGAAGACAAGCAGACTAAGGACATGGATTAGTGGAACCATGTCCTGTGGTCTGATGAGACCAAGATAAACTTACTTGGTTCAGATGGTGTCAAGCATGTGTGGCAACAACCAGGTGAGGAATATAAAGACAAGTGTGTCTTGGCTACAGTCAAGCATGGTGGTGGGAGTGTCATGGTCTGGGGCTGCATGAGCTACAGTTCATTGAGGGAACCATGAATGCCAACATGTACTGTGACATACTGAAGCAGAGCATGATCCCCTTCCTTCGGAGACTGGGCTGCAGGGCAGTATTCCAACATGATAACAACCCCAAACACACCTCCAAAATGACCACTGCCTCCCTAAAGAAGCTGAGGGTAAAGGTGATGGACTGGCCAAGCATGTCTCCAGACCTAAACCCTATCGAGCATCTGTGGGGCATCCTGAAATGGAAGGTGGAGGAGTGCAAGGTCTCTAACATCCACCAGCTCCGTGATGTTGTCATGGAGGAGTGGAACAGGACTCCAGTGGCAACCTGTGAAGCTCTGGTGAACTCCATGCCCAAGAGGGTTAAGGCAGTGCTGTAAAATAATGGTGGCCACACAAAATATTGACACTTTGGGCCCAATTTGGACAGTTTCACTTAGGGGTGTACTCACTTTTGTTGCCAGCAGTTTAGAAATTAATGGCTGTGCGTTGAGTTATTTTGAGGGGACAGCAAACTTACACCTTTATACAAGTTGTATACTCACTACTTTACATTGTAGCAAAGTGTCATTTCTTCAGGGTTGTCACATGAAAAGATATAATAAAATATTTACAAAATGTGAGGGGTGTACTCACTTCTGTGATATACTTTATATGCAACAAAAATACTTAGTTAAAAAGAAAAGAAAGAACAAGCCAAATACTACCAATGAATGCTTCCATATGTTTGAAGCACTCCAGATGTCTTCTCTGTGATCCCCAAGACAATCACCGATAGATCTCTCTATCCTCCATTATTTTAGAGCAGCATATCCTAACTATTACTATTCATCACAGAAAAGTTACCTTGCTCCTGTTCCCATAGTAGTTCTTTTGATTATGTAACACTGAAATCCTATGCATCTTACCTGAGACTAAGCCACATTACAATGGGATTTGCTTCTGAGTAGACATGCAAGCAGTGCACTTTAAGCCTCTAATCTGACTTTCATATGGAAAGTCCTCAAGTTAACCATTTCAGTTGTATTTATCTTTTCTGAAACAGGCTAATAAGAACTGTTCATGTTTTTGCAACATTCTGTGCCAAAGATTTACAAACTGGCTTTTCTGCTTATGTTCATCTTATAAACTATCAGATAGGCATACACGTTGTGTGTGGTAGTAAATGCTGGGGGGTGCATAGTAATAGGGGCAGGCTGCTCAGCACATGCGCATGTGCACACACATACACAGGGTCTGACTGGCTACCATATGCAGCCTTTGGTCTAAAAAGGTGGTCATCCCTGATGCAGAGTGTGTGAACATAGAAAACTACTTACTTTGAGCAATGCAGCTCACAGAAGTTCGTCCATTTATCTTTACCAGCAATGCCTGTCCGGATGAAGATTTTGTGTAACACAGGATCAAATTTGAAATCCCTTGACAGTATGGCATGAAAATACACTGTAATAACATCATCAAAAGGGGCACAGCTGCAACAGAGAATGTTAAACTTGTTTTAGTGAATTCATGGGGATCAAGAACACAACTTTCTGATACTATCCATTTCCCAAGCTCAGTTGACACTTGAAAATTTTACCCAGAATTTACAGTGCAGAACAAGTAATCACAAGCTTCTACATCCAACTCAGACAGACAGTAAAAGAATGCAAATCTGCAACCAAAAGTACTTTTAAGTTCAAAGAATTTGGTGGTTACAGGGGAAGTGAAAATCAGCACACCTCCTCATTTCCAGCTGATAGCTAGAGACAGAGTTATGTGCACTGTCTGGAGATAGGCGAAAAAGAAGTTAAACCTCCTCCACCTCTGTATCGGAGATGGGAGGCAGAGGTGCATAGACACACCAGTGCATTTGATGGCATTTTGACCCAAGAGAGCCCACTGGGCACAGAAATGGAGCAAATCTCTAAGCCACCTGCTGACCCTGATCTGTCACAATGAAGCTGTTCATCTTCTTCACCACCATCCACCCATCCCCCGCTCAGCTTCAAGCTTAAGGAGAAGCAGGACATTTCTACTGCATTTCACAGATGGCATGAGATTAGAAGATGAAGAGCCAGTGGGCAGGAGTTGCACGGATAGTGTACCAACCAAATTTTGGTTGGCTGGTAAGAACAGTCAAAATGCAGAGTTCCCCAAACATGAGGAGCATTGAATTACACTTCTCCATATTGAATGTCTGGAGTTCCGAACACTTTCAGCAGGTGGATGCAAGGCTGAGCATTAATAGTAGAATCAAATTGGGTAGTACTTATACACAAAGAACTCTTTAAAAAAAGAAAGGTTTTGTACACATGAGCAGCAAGTTACTTTTAGACAGGGAAAAAAAACAAAGGGAGGTTTCTCCACTCAAAACCCCAGCTAAGGAATCACAAAACATGGACTCTGTTATTGCCAAGAAGAGAAACAGTGGGCATCTTCCAATGTAGCCTGATCTCCACAGTCTGAGAAAATCTCATATGCCATTTCATACAGCATGCTTACATTACAGTGATGCTGTGTGGGAGAAGAAACTGCAATTGAAGATGCATAGCGCTACATCAGAAGACTGAACACTGCCAGTTTGGGGAAAGAAAAACTGTATGATGCAAATAATTATACCAGCAAGGATGAAGTTGTAGCTGGTATACCATGGTAAAGTGTCAGGTGTTGCTGTTGCTCGTCAATTTTATTAGCAAATAATCACTATGAAATTTAAGCAGGAATGTTAAAAAAACATTTGGGTTTTTTTGGGAGGGGCATAAGTTATTCTGTTGATCAAAACACACAAATATACACATGCAATGAAACAATTAACTAAAAACAACTGAAAGATGTTATATCAACTTTTTTAATAGTTTCGGCTAGAAATTCAGAACACGCTAAAAAGTAAGCCAGTCTCCAGGGTACTATAAAATAACTGCTACTGGTCCATATTTAATAGATTTAAAACTAATCCAGAATTTTACAAACCAGGCTATACCTCAGTTCATCTGCACCGATTTCTTGGGCTGTCTGCTGATTCTCAGCTTTTTGATTTGCCTGCTGCTTCTTCTGATTTGCCTGCTGCTTCTTCTCATTTGCCTGCTGCTGCTTCTGATTTGCCTGCTGCTGCTTCTGATTTGCAAGATCAGCACAATTTCCCTTTCCACAAGATTCTTCCACAGGAGTTGCTGTGTCTTTCAACCCTTCACGCCCTCTCTCTGCTTTAGTTTCCTCTTCCAGCTTTGTTTTCTGTAATGCAGGTAGGCACCATTTTTAAAAAGAGCAAACATATTTAAAAATCAAACCACTCTAACGGCAGAAAGTGAAGAAGAACTAAAGAGCCTCTTGAAGCAGGTGAAAGAGGAGAGCACAAAAGTTGGCTTGAAACTCAACATTAAGAAAACTAAGATCATGGCATTCAGTTCTATCACTTCCTGGCAAATAGATGAGGAAGAAATGGAGGCAGTGACAGATTTTATTTTCTTGGGCTCCAAGATCACCGCAGATGGTGACGGCAGCCGAGAAATTAAAAGACGCTTGCTCTTGGGGAGGAAAGCTATGGCAAATCTAGACAGCATACTAAAAAGCAGAGACATCACCTTGCCAACAAAAGTGCGTATTGTCAAGGCCATGATTTTGTCCAGTTGCAATGTATGGCTGTGAAAGCTGGACCATAAGGAAAGCACCTAAGAATTGAGGCCTTTGAATTGTGGTGTTAGAGAAGACTCCAGTGAGTCCCTTGGACTGCGAGGCAATCAAACCAGTCAGTCCTAGAGGAGATCAACCCTGACTGCTCTTTAGAAGGCCAGATACTGAAGATGAAACTCAAATACTTTGGCCACCTAATGAGAAAGAAGGAGTCCCTGAAGAAGAGCCTAATACTGGGAACAATTGAGGGCAAAAGAAGACGGGGACGGCAGAGAATGAGGTGGCTAAATGGAGTCACTGAAGCAGTCGGCGTGAGCTTATGTGGACTCCGGGGGATGGTGGAGGGTAGAAAGGCCTGGAGAAATCTTGTCCATGGGGTCGTGATGAGTCAGGCATGACTTGGTGACTAAACAAAAATAACATCCTACAATGTGCATATAATTTTTAATTATTTGTGGTCTGAAATTAGTAAGGTGGCGGGTGGGGACACACAGAGCTTTTGAGCTTGCTTACCAAGAAAAAAACTATGACTTGCTAGAGGTGATGACGCAGGTCATTATTTTAGAAACCTGGGGATTGTGGGGAGAAAAAGATACAAAGCAAGGGCAAAAGATTCCACTTTTACACACATAAGATGGTGTAGTCCAATCAGGATGAGTCAAGTAGGAGAGGCAAAGGAGGTGATCTTTATCTCCACCACCACCACCCTTCATTTGCACTAGACAGCTCTTAAGAAAAGACACCCAGAGGGGAAGGGGAGGATGTCACTGTTTCAAGATACAGTAAAACCTTGGATTGCGAGTAACTTGGTCTGCGAGTGTTTTGCAAGACAAGCAAAAAGTTTTTCTTAATTTTAACTTGATAAACGAGCAATGACTTGTAGTACAAGTATTACGCATGCTTTGCCTGCCGAGCGTCACGTCACAACTGAGCACCAGTTCCTCTCTCTCTCGCTGCAGGTTTGAGTACAGCATCGTCTCCCCACCCCTGCCCCGAGTGCACCCACAATCGCACCCACCTCCCCCGATCCTGTGGGATTGTCTTGCACTGGGCTGTTAAGTATTTACATGCCCAGTGGAGGTCATCCAGAGATTTAAAGTCTGCTATTATTGGCAAGCAGAAGACATGCAATCCCCTTTGTTCTATCTCAAGCCGAGGTAGTTGTGAAAGTTTTGACAATTAGATTACACAATTAGATTTGGCCAACTGACCTTTGGGACTGAAGCATTCCTCTGTTGCTTGGACACCTCTTCAGTACTTGTTTTATGAGTCAAACTTGTTTCAGATTCAGGCATAGTTCTCTTCATTCCTTGGTTTTGATTTTCCGCACTCAATGTGGCACCTTTGTTTTCAGATGACTCAACATTACAGTGAAGATCTACAGATATGTTGTCATCACATCCTTCAGGAACAGACGGTGCTACAATTCCAACCAAATTCTGAACATTCAATGTATTTTCCAGAGACTGATCACTTGAAATACAATTTACTTTATTTGGTTCTTCACTAACACTTGTCTGTTCACCAATTGTATCATCATTTTTAGAGCTTTCCACCTCCATCTTCCCCACTATGGCTGTAGTGCTGAAGTGTTGACCTGCTGCACCATCTTTAATATCTTGCTCTGATCTAGCCTTGACATCAGTACTGCCACCATGAGTTTTTGCAAGAAGTTCTAGATTTTGATCTGTGTCCAAATCACTGGTTTTAACCTGATTTCCCCTGTCACCAGTAGACTCTGGTTTGGTCAACTTAGCTGCTGGATTTGGACTTTCTTTCGGTGGGATTTTTGAATCTGTCGTTCCTGGGCTTACAGAACTATCAAGACTGGATGGTACTGAACTTAAGGATGGTGTCAAGGAATCTTGAAGTTCAACATTTGAAACTTTACTTTTCTTTTTCTTCCTTTTCTGCATGATAGAAGAAAAACAGCTTTAGGAAAAGAGAAACACTGCATTTAAAACTTTTTGAACAAATTAAGACTAGATAATTCAACTTTATGTCCTCAGTAGACAGAGACCTCTATGCATCAATTCCTGTACATTCTAGTATTCTCGTACATTCTAATTATTTGTTTTCGCTTTGGAGTAGAAAATGTCTGTGAGGCAAGGCTATCAACCAACCACAAATCAGACCTCAATCTAGATCACACTAGGTCGTATACAAAAAGCAGCTACACAGCAAAATCACATATGCAAGTTCAACAACAAACTGAAAGAGAATCCAGAAGTATAAATTAGAAATAAATGTGTTTACACCTCTGATCAGCACTGTGAAACTTACCCTAGAGAAGCTATTATTTACCAAAATTCTATTTTTTCTACTTTCAAAATGTAGACTACCAGTATTTTCCAAAACTGAATAAAATATTGATCCATTGAAGAAGTAGCCACAATATTCAAGGAAAACAGATTGTATCTCAGTAAAAGGAAAAAGGTGTGCTTGTGATATTGTAGGGAGACTGTTGGGTTGTGGGGTAGCTAGTACACCAGCAGAATCCCCAATATGGCCTGCTGGCCCAGGAAAAGGTACAAACACTCCAGGCAAGGGATCAGTCAAGGAAGGAGCCTGGAGAGAGAAAAAGGATTCTTATAGACCACAGCAAAACCACCCCCAGCTCGGGCCCCCCAGTCTTTCCTGATGCTGGGAAAGACTAATTTCCCCCCGTTCACCCATCCAAGTCTCCATTATATATGCCAGATTGGCTGCTTTATCCACTATTAAGTTGTGGATGAGGAAGGTCATATAATGCACCACTCTAGCATTTAATAGCATCTGAAGACCTGAATCTGATGGGGCAACCACCAAAACTGCAGCTGGGAGCACGGCCAGAATACAGCACAGGTGTTAACTGCCTGGCCACATTCTCCTTATCTGGCTAGTCCTCTGGCCAATTCCATATTTCCCTCTACCCATAAGTATACTAACTGGGCCCCCATCATTTGGTCCCATTCTCTCCCTTTACTGCACATGCCTTTATTTATTTATCGATTTATATCCTGCCTTTTTCCTACAAAGAGCTCAAGGCAGCATACATCATACTTCTCCTCCATCTTATCCCCATAACAACAACCCTGTGAGGTAGGCTGGGCTGAGAGTCTGTGACTGGCCCAAAGTCCCCCAGTTGGCCCCATGGCTGAGCAGGCACTAGAACCCAGATTGCCCGAGTCCCATGCTCTTAACCACTATGCCACACTGGCTCTCTATATGTAGGAAGGAGCCTTCCCACCCCAAGACACCAAGAGTAACAACAATGTTACTTTGGAGACCCTGATCCTTGCATCTCCCTCTGTGGCTTCACCCCCTCTGGCATCATCCCCTGTGGGGCTGTCACTGCCAGGGCCCTGCTGCTCTGCTTCAGGTCAGCAAATATACTCCTGATGTGTCTCCATGCCAGGTGTGCGGTGTTGGTAATCCACAAGCAGGCAGCCTTGGTGGAACTGTCCATCTGCTTGAAGGACTCCAGCAATATACACAACTCTGGCAATTAGTTTCAACTTATGATTGGGGGGGGGGCAGGTTTACAGTGACTTTCAGTATCTCAAAGTCATCCCTTATCCCATAGAAGAAATTTTAAAAGGGCAAGCAGTTTTCATGAATTGCAAGGTGGACCTCCTGCTGGAAAGGATACTTTGAAACCATTTTGTTTCTTCTCAACATTTTCCTAATACAGTGGTACCTTGGCTCATGAACTTAATCCATTCCAGGACTCTGGTCATGACCCAAATTGGTCGTGAGCCAAGTTAAATTTCCCCATAAGGTTCAATGTAAATAAGGTTAATCCATTCTGTAAACATTTTTTAAATCAGAAAAATGTGAAGCAAAGTGACAACAACAAAGATCGCGGCCATCTCTCCCCACCCCACCCCACCCCATCCCAAACACAAGTGCGGCCATCTCCCCGCCCTCCCCCAACACGACTGAGATCGTGCCTGTCATCCCTGCACGCACCCGTCAACCCGGCGGGCTTGGGGTGGGGGAGAGATGGGCATGATCATGGGCACACTGGGAGAGGGAGAGATGGGCACAAACGGTGTGCTGGGAGTGGGGAGATGGCCGTGATCGCAGCTCCGTTCGTGCAGGAAAGGCATGCTTGATCAGAGATGCGCTCCTCTGACGGAATCTCGACCATCTCCCCCGCGGCTGTGCTGTGCCGCGCCCGTCTTTCCTGCAGCAGCGCGTCTCTGATCACAAACGGAACTGCGATTGCGGCCATCTCCCCACCACCCTGAGTGGGGAGACAGCTACAATCCCAGTTGCTTTCCTGCAGGGAAGGCATGCATGATCAGAGGAGCGCAGCTGCAGGAAAGACAGGCGCGGCACAGCACAGCCACAGGGGAGACGGTCGAGATTCCGCCTGTCTTTCCTGCAGGAGCGCGCCTCTGATCAGGCACACCTTCCTGACATGCAAGCAATTGGGATTGTGGCCATCTCCCCACTCGGGGGGTGGGGGGGAGATGGCTGCGATCTTAGTCGCCACCCAAAGCGGTGTTCGCAAGTCAGGTCAAAATTTTTCAGAAATTTTTGTTCGTGACCCGATTTGTTGGTGAACCAAGGCGTTCGTGAGTCAAGGTACCACTGTATATGGCAGTGAAAATAAATTACCATAGTTTATCTTGTTGATTTGTAATACAAGAAGAATAAAAGATATTTATGAAGAAACATTTTTCAAAATGAACTGGAAAGGCTAGAGGCAAGAACTACAAAGGATTTTGATTGCATATCTGCAATTTTATTGTTGTTATATACCATCAGGTTATTTCCAATTTATGGTGACCTTTATCAGTGCAGACCCTCCCAAATGTCCCGGACTTGACAGTTCTGTTCAGCTCTTGTAAATTCAAGGCTGTGGCTTCCATTATAGATTTTATCCATCCTTTCTTCTCCTGCTTTCAACTTGCACTAGCATGACTATCATCCCCAATGAGTCTTGCCTTCTCTTGACGTGCCTAAAATACAACATCTTCAATTTTATCACTGTGGCTTCCAGAGAATTTTCCAGGGAAAATTCCAACTTCATTTGAGCTATGTATTTATTAATGTTATATCCTGCTTTTTCCTTTTTTTAAAGAACTTGAAGCGACTTACATAATTCTCGTACTGCTGCTCTCAATCTTATCCCCAGCACAACAACCCTGCAAGGTAAGTTGGGCTGAGTCTATGACTGGTCCAAAGTCACTTGTTTGTCTTTTTGTCAGTCCAGAGTATTCACAAACCTCTGTCCCAGCACCATAATTCAAATGCACCAATTCATGTCAACTTTCTCAACCGTCCAGCTTTCACACCATACTTTTTCTTTGTACTGCCATTGTAATAGTTCTTTTTGTCCCTGTGTTACAGATGCTGAAAAGTTACGTTCAGGATTCTGGCCTATTTCTGCCAGCTTTTGCTTTTGTTTCTTGTCTGTCCTTATCCAAGGTGAGTGCTTCTTCAGTCATTTATTTATTTATATTTGTTTGGAGTGCTTGTATGCCGCCCCATTCGCATAAGCCTTGGGGCGGCTTCCAAAAAATAAATAACAATATACAAAAATATACAGAATTGGAAACATCCCGGAGTTAGATAAAAGCAATAAATAACAATCAATTAAAATAACATTTAAATAAAAAGGTCTTGGCCTGGTGCCAAAAAGCAAATAATGACAGCGCCAGGTGGACCTCTCTGGGGAGTGCATTCCACAGATGGGGCACCACCGCAGAGAAGGCCCTCCTCCGGGTACTCACCCACCTAATTTCCTTTATGGAGGGTTCCCAGAGAAGGGCCTCTGCCGCCTATCTTAGAGGGTGGGAGGGCAAGTATGGACGGAGGCGCTCCTTCAGGTACCCAGGTCCCAAGCCATTTAGGGCTTTATAGGTAAGCACCAGCACCTTGAATTGGGCTCGAACTTCAATGGGGAGCCAGTGAAGCTGACGAAGGGCTGGGGTTAGATGAGAACGCCCAGTCCCCATCAACAACCTGGCAGCTCTGTTTTGCACCAATTGAAGTATCCAGACCATCTTCAGGGGCAGCCTCACGTAGAGCATGTTGCAGAAGTCTAATCGGGAAGTGACCAATGCATGCATCACTGTCGCCAGGCAATTGTCCTCCAGGAAGAGACGCAGCTGATGGATCAGCCGAAGCTGATGGAAAGCGCTCCTCGCCACGGCCGACACTTGAGCTTCCAAGGTCAGCTTTGGGTTGAGGAGCACCAAGCTGCGGACCCTGTCCTTCAGAGGGAGTGCTACCCCATTCAGGACAAGGTCAAGGTCCCCCACCCCAGAGTCCGAACCATCCACCAACAGGACCTCCGTCTTGTCTGGACTGAGCTTCAGTTTATTGGCCCTCATCCAGCCCATTACCTCAGCCAGGCACCGGTACAGTACAGTACAGTACAGCCACTGCCTCACCTGGATCGGTTGAGAAAGAGAGGTAGAGCTGGGTAACGTCAGCGTACTGATGATTCCGCAGCCCACACCTCCTGATGACCTCTCCCAGCGGTTTCATGTAGAAGGGGGACAAAATAGAGCCCTGCGGAACTCCATGGCATAGCTGCCATGGTGCAGAGCCATAGTCCCCCAGCACCACCTTCTGGAATCGGCCATTGAGATAGGAGCGGAACCACTGCAAAGCAGTGCCCCCAACCCCAATCCCGCTAGCCTATCCAGAAGGCTACCATGGTCGATAGTATCGAAAGCCGCTGAGAGGTCCAGGAGAACCAACAGGGACGCACTCCCCATCTCTCTCCCTGCACAGATCATCATACAGGGCGACCAAGGCAGATTCAGTACCATAACTGAGTCTGAAGCAGGATTGAAATGGGTCCAGATAATCAGTTTCATCCAAGAGTGCTTGGAGTTGTCCCGCCACCACCCGCTCTAACACCTTGCCCAAGAATGGGATGTTGGCCACCGGTCTATAATTGGTGGCCATCTCTGGATCCAGGGATGCCTTCTTCAGGACTGGCCAGACTACTGCTTCCTTTAAAGGGGCAGGTACCCGGCCATCCCTCAGAGAGGCATTGACAACCTCCAGGATCCAGGTTCCTATCCTGTGCTTGGCTTTGTTAAGTAACCAAGATGGGCAAGGGTCCATTAAGCAGGTGCTGGGACGTACTCGTCCAAACACCTTGTCCACATCATCAGGCCACAATAACTGAAACTCATCCAACAATTTAGGACCAGACAGCAACATTGATTCCTCCCCTGAAGGCTCTGAGTTACTAGTGGAGTCCAGCTCGTGACGAATCTGAGCGATTTTCTCCTTAAAATGCTTGGCAAAGTTGTCACAGCGGGCCACCGAGGGTGGTACTGGATCTTTTTTAGGGCCCAGATGAACCAGCCCATGTACCACCCGAAAAAGCTCCACCGGACAGCATTGTGAGGAGGCAATGGAAGCGGAGAATAATTTCTTTTTCGCCGCCCTCACCGCCACAGCATAGGCCCGATAATGGGCTCTCAAGTGTGTTCGGTCAGATTCATCCCGTGATTTCCTCCACCTGCGCTCTAAACGTCTCCCAACCCGCTTCATCGCCCGCAATTCAGGTGTATACCAAGGGGATGAACAGGCTCTGCCCGGTGGGAGAGGACGCTTAGGAGCAATCGTGTCAATAGCCCTGGTCATCTCCCCATTCCACAGTTCAACCAGAGCCTCGACAGGAGCACCAGCCTTATCAACTGGAAATTCCCCCAGAGCCTGCAGGAATCCATCCAGATCCATCCGACTCCGGGGGCGGACAAACACAATAGGGTCCGCACCCTTGCAGAGGGAGAGGCTGCTCTCAAGCTCAAACCTCACGAGGAAGTGATCTGACCGTGACAGGGAAGTCAGACGTAGATTCCTCACCCTCAGATCCCCCTCTTCCTGCCCCGTCAAGAAAACAAGGTCCAGAGTGTGTCCACGTTCATGGGTTGGGCCAATGACATGTTGAGACAGCCCCATGGCCGTCATGGAGGCCATGAAGTCCTGAGCCGCCCTGGACAGAACAGTCTCAGCATGGAGACTGAAGTCCCCCAGGACCAACATCCTGGGGGTCCTCAACACCAGGTCCGAGATGATCTCCTTCAGCTCAGGCAGGAAGTCTGTTGGGCAGAAGGGTGCACGGTACACCAACAGAATCCCCAATCTGTCTCAGTTGTCCAACACCAAGTAGAGGCACTCCAGCCCTGGCCTCGAGGGGACTGGAAGCCCTGAGAGAGAGATGGAGGCTCGGTAAACCAAAGCGACCCCCCTCCCCTCCAGGCGTGATCTGTGCTGGACCAGATACCCGGGCGGGCACAGTTGAGAGAGGGAGACGTCCCGCCCAGGTCTCTGTGATGCAAGCCAGGTTGGCCCACTCATCCAAAATCAGACTGTGGATGAGGGATGATTTATTATGGACCGACCTGGCATTAAGCAGCAGCACCGACAGGCCCAGGGGGTGGTTGATAAGGCTACCTGGACCCTTCCACCTGGGGGAATAACCAGAAGGGGGAACAGGTGTCAACCATCTATCCCTCCTTCTTCTGCAATGACTCATTAAACCCCATCGCCATAACGTCCCTTGCCCATAACCACGCCAATGGCGGCGCCCACGCACTCCTCAGGCAAGCTCATAATCGTAGCCGAGGATGGATCCATTAAAATAAGTTTAAAAAAAATTAAAACCCTTAAAACTCTAAAAACACCCCACCAATCAACCAACCATTCCCAAATCACAAAATTACAATTTCACAGTAATCATGACCCACCAGCCAGCAAGATTCCTTGCCAGCTCAGCCCCCGCCCGGCCCCAAACGGCAGCGAGCACCCTCAGGCTGTCAACCTTCGGCCGCCAGCCTGAGGTCACCGGCCCCGGCCGTCTCCGGCGAGATATGCCAGCGCCCGTCCCCATGCTCCACCCCCAATCTGGCACGGCTCCTTGGTCCCTGGGTCCTGTGATGGCCGCTCAGCACAGCGTCAGCAGTCCCCAGTCCCCGGAGCGCAGGCCAGCCTCAGTGGTCGGCGGCAGCGGCGGCAGATGGTTGTTGTTGGGGGGGGGGCAGTCATTCCATCAAGGCTTTCATTTTTCTCCAAGAACTGCCCTTTTTTACACTCTTCCCTTCCCTAATAATGTCTCTCATTTCAGAGCACAGCTCCTCTGGCTCACAGTCAATTGAATTTAACAATACAGTTATCAAGCATGTCCTATTCAGGTGTATTATCTGCTTCTTGGATACCCACATGTACATTTTTCCCCTCCAATTTTTTCTTCTTCAGCATCTGCTGTAGGAATGTGGACCTGAATGATGGTTATGCCAATAGGTTTTCTGAGAATTCTGACAGATATGATTTAGTCAGATTTTGCATTATAGCCCCTTACTCCCTGTGCGACATCTTGCCAGTGTTAGATCCACTGTTTCCTGAGTATGTTGTTTCAAAAGTTAAACACGTTGTGTTTTTCTGACTGAAAATGTTCCATTCCAGTCTACTTTAGTTTGCTCACACTAGTTTGCTCACTCACTTATGGAATGCGCTCCCCAGAGAGGTCCGCCTGGCGCTGTCGTTATTTGTTTTTCGGTGCCAGGCCAAGACCTTTTTATTTAAAAGTTATTTTAATTGTTAATTTATTGTCTGTATTTATTGGGGTTTTATGTATGCGCTGAGATGTATCCGGTTTTTTAGTCTAAGTATTCTTCTTGTTAGACGCCCCGAGGCTTTTTGTGAATGGGGCGGCACAGAAATGGTTTAAATAAATAAATAAAGTACTGTGATGTTTAACTGTTCTGTTTCTTTATGGTTTCCAGTTTGCTTTGAGCCATACGTCTCACATTCCAACTCTATGTAATGAGCATCATTAGACTTCCTTTTGCATCTGTGCATGTCAGTCAGACCTCCTTTAAATACTGATTTGGTTGCATCATTAATGGTAGTGCTTTTCAGGCTTGTCCTTTATCTCTTCCCCTGTACCTGGTTGAATAATTTCAGACTTGGGAGTCTCATCTTCTTGTGTTCTGGATTGTTTCATTACAGGATTTACATGGTAAGAAGTACTGCAAAGTGGTTTAACTATCGCCCTCTTCTGCACAGTACTAACCATAGTTCACATAAACATCACTGCCATTGTCTGTGAAAGATCCTCCACCAGCTTTTTCTTCAATCACCACTGCTGCCTGGTAGCTGTTCTTCAACAGTTTCCGCACCCTCAACACAGTTAAGGATATCCATTCTCTTTTGCAGATGTAACCATTAGTCTGGTGTCTCAGATTGGACTATTTCTCCTAGGAAACCAGACTAGTGAGAGAGCCTGGCCTCTTGATGACATTGCTCTCAACTTCTCTGACATCTTCAAGCCTCATCATCATCTTAAGATACACCATCTAAGATTTGCATCCAGGAAGAATCGTTTGCCGTTACAAACACACATTAAGGTGGTGAAATAACTGATAGTACTGCAACTTCTTTAGATATGATGACAAAGCCTCAGTTTTTTTTCTCTTCTATCCCATACAGATCTCTTGACCTGAGCAGGTAACTCCCTGCCAAAACACTTTTTGGGTTCCTCAGAGAACCTCCAAACTGCATCACCTCTGAAATGCCTACTAGTTATCACCTGGAGGGTGAGAAAGATGCCTGTTAAGTCATTCCTTTTGGATATTATATCCTGAAGAGTTCTGCTTCCTTCTCGGGGCTTCACACTAATGTGTGCTACTTATCACCTACATCTTTGGTTCTGTAACACACAGAATTAGGCAGGACTAGGTACCTCTTAAGGAGCTGTTATGCTGCATACTTGAAATCTGCTTGGAGAGCATTCCCTCATGACCCAGTGAGTCCTTGCAAACCATTTTTGCCACTAGATCTTGACTAGAAGCAGCTTCTCCCTGATTCAGAATGAGTTTCACAGCTCTCAAGACTTCGGTATTTTGCAAACAGCGTGGGGGACTTTGCCATACATCCAGGAAGAATATAGACTGAATCTCTACCACCTTTAACTTTCTTCCAGGCAGCGATTCTCAGCAGATGCTCATTCCTCAGAGCAGTGCATTTATTTTCTTACACCACATATAGGAAAAACTACCTGCTGTGGACTTGAGCCTGGACTGCTGCCCTTATACAGGACTGGCTTCTCCCTTCTCCTCTTTCTGGAAGGAGGGTTATCATCTGCATTCATTGCAATCCAGTCAACCGGATTCATCGTGATTACTACCTGTTGAAAAACAGTCTTGCTTTCAGAGAACTCAACAGCTGGAAGCAAAGAGAAATGTCTTTCAATTTATGTATCTATTAGATTTATATCCTGTCTTTCTTCATACAAAGAACTCAAAGCAGCTAACATAATTCTCCTCCTGCTCTCAATCTTATCCCCACAACAACCCTGTGAGGTAGGTTGGGCTGAGAGTCTGTGGCTGGCCCAAAGTCACCCAGCTGACTGCCTGGCGACCAGGGATCAGAACCCAGGTCCCCTGAGTCCCAGGTCCCATGCTCTTAACCACTACAGCACACCAGCTCGCCACCATTGCCATTGCCATTGCCATTGCCATTGCCATTGCCACCGCCATTGCCACCGCCACCACATTTTAGTGCAGCAAACATAAATCCATCTTTTAGTATAACCACCATTCATGAATACGCCTAGCAAAAGTCAAGTAACAGCTCCAAGATACCAATTATTAGTAAGACAGGTCCCAGGCACTGTTGTTCTCTGGCTTCAGGGTATGAGAAACATTGCCAAAATCTCTGCAATGGACATACCCTATGCCTTAAAAGACTCACTGTTTTCCGTGAGAGGGAGTCCTGGCTCCCAAAATTCTCCGACAGAGACTCTTCTGGTCCCTTCTGTGCCTGCACACCGGGCGGCTGTTCCTCCAGAGAAGCTCCCAAGGAAAGGGAGCTCGCTGCCCTCCAGTCTCTCCCAGGCTCCATCGCTTGCTCTGAGGGTAGCCTTGCATCTCTGTTATCTACAGTTGAAACAAAATCCATCCAGAATGTCACCTAGGTAGAAATTTGCAACTAGTTCAGAGGCCTTCTAATGACTGACTTCTAATGTTCTCAGATGTTGGCAACAGCACCTCTGCTTCAGATTCTCACTCTCAAGATAATTCACACTTCACAATATCTGCATATCCCCTTCAGATTTGACTTATGCAGTTATAGCGGGTTTATAATATGCAGATAAATATCTCTTTTTAATGCATATGTTTTATTTATATTATATTATGCAAAATAAAGTATATTGTTCACCTTGAACATTTTATTTAGAACACAGCAGAACATACAAATATTCAATAAATAAATCATGTGACTAGGCTTCTAAAGTTAATTTGCTAGTTTTGGGGGGAAAACTTCTCTTTTTGCCATATTACATCCTTGAATTTGTGTTTCTCGAATTGGAAACTAATGGGGATTTTAAAAAATTGGCATGTTTTGTTGGTGTAGATCTCCAACATCCAGGTTTGTCACTGAAGTGGAATTACAGAATTGCCCAGAGTCACCTGTGAACTAAACTCAATATGAAATAGGAATGGCAAGATATAGGGAGTGTTAGAAATGTGCAGAAACTGGACAACTGAGGAGCTTAAGGAAAGCAGATTCTGGCTGAGTATATCCAATGCAGTTTTAAGGCACTGAGGACACACACAGTTTAGATATTTTAGAAAGTGACTTAAAGATTATTATTTATCCCAAAAAGAGAATGCTAACATTATCCTAGGAGGAAATGGAAAAGCGGAACAAAAAATTCATAAGTAGGATAAAGGCACACTTTTATATCTCTGAAACCTTTATTAGACTCCCACTTTGGTTGTATACTTATGCACCCCAACTCCTCAAGAGAAAGTATGAGAATATAAAACAGGGAAAATTATAAATGAGGCAAGGTCATGATTGACAAATCTAAAGCATTCAAAACTTAGAGATGCAACATTTGTGTTCATGCGAAACAGTAATTTAGAGAAGAACCAGGAATCCTGTAACTAACCAGTAATTGCACCCATTTAGAAATTCACAGTTATGACTTTAAACCACTTACTTTGCACACTGACAGGAGTCAGCTGAGTCCCACAGTTACTGCAGAAGTTGTTAGATGCATTTTGAGCCTTAGTACATGTAGGACATTTAATGTCCTTCTTGCGCGATCGCCGCCCCAGGATGAAGATTTTTTTTTACAGCCTGTTGGAAACAGGAAGTCATATATAAATGGAGAAGCAGGAAGGAACTTGAATCATGTGATTTGTATGTCTATTGTTTCACTTCCTGTGAAAAGAAACTGAAACTTAAGAATATTTCTGTAGATTTCAACATTTCACATACTATTGCATAAGAATAAACAATGTTGCGCAAGTCACCAAGCACTATATGCCCACAATCCTCACAAATATATATGAAACTTCTTCAGGGATACAGCAGTAGCCTCATAACTGGATGTCTAGTTCTGATGGCCAAGCGACCACCTCTGGTGTTGCTTTATGCAGATCTTCTAAGGAGCCAGGAAATGCATGTCTTGGGCATTCTTGCCCAATATGTTTGATAATTTGCACATCTATACCACAGTTACAACAAGCAGAATCTTTCCATCCTCATTTATACAGAGCAAAGGCACACCTTCCAGTATCACATCTAACTCTATTCAATTTCATCCAGATAGAGAAAGGCAGGTTAAAGCCAGGAAGTTTGGAAGCAGGATCACTAATGTCCAAGCTACAAAAAGAACTATTTCTTTCTCCAGGCATTGTTAGGGTCAAACTGGGTAGGTGTAAGATAAATGGCGATTTTCCAAGCTGGCCTACGAGATTTCAGATTTCAGCCTTGTGACAGACAGTCTGTTCAATATCCTGAACAGGATATTATTCATTATCCTTGACCATAACCAAGTGAGAGTGTGTTGTCGTCTGATGTGTGAGGTGGAGTAATGTTACCAAGTACTGGTAACAAGTGCACAGGAGTGGAGTGCAATGTGCCAGTGATGATACGCATTGTCTGGCAAAGTTGAACATCAATCACTTGGATGCGAGAGCAGTTAAGACACACACTAGTACAATATTCTACTGCATAATAAACCAGGGCCAAAGCTGTTGTTCACAGTGTGAGAATCATCACCCTGGGATGTTCCAGCCAGTCTATTCAATAAATTATTGCAACTTTTCAATTAGCAGCTGTTTTCTCCAGATGTTCTTGGAAGGTCAGTGATCTGTCCCGAGTAACTCTCAGATACTTCAGGGTGTTATTATACTGTAACATATGGTTCCAGAACAGCACCATAGGCTGATAGTTAGCATGCCTACTGTTGAAATGGAATGTGGCTACTTCTTTTTTTGATGGACTTGGTTGAACATGTCATTTTCAAGTAGCCATCCACCTTCTGAAGGTCTTGAGAGAGGATACCCTCTGCTTCACTAAAATTGGTTCTTTGAACTGTAAGATTGATGTTGTCAGCATAAATTTCAGAGAGACAGTTTCAGGCAGATCATGAATGTACAAATTAAAAAGAGTAAGGGATAAGACAGATCCCTGTGGTAATCCATTGTTCAGTTTGTGGTATCTACTTCTGTTAAATTCTGTGAAAACTTGAAATATCCTATTACTCAACATACTGTCTATTAAAACAATGGTGTTGTGGCAAGGGACAACCTTAATTAGTTTGAGAATTGGTTTGAGGTGTCATAGGCTGCTGAAAGGTCAAGGAAGATGAAGACATTTTATTTCCTTTTGGAAACCATTTTCCAGATAACGTAAAGACTGGATCACTGCATTCATGGTTTGAACAGAATCCAGCATGTTTGATTAGAACTATAGAGGGATGTTGTTGTGAGAATAAAATGGAGAGTAAGGAAAACCTTGTAAGCTGCCTTGGCTTTCTTGCAAGAGGAAGAAAGGTGGCATAAAACACTCTTATAAGGCCAGGGTACAATGATGATAACCAAAAGCCTGAGAAACCGTCGGAAACACAAGGCCTATGCCCACCCCAGACGCTTGGGATCCTCATCTGGACAAATACTTTTCGCCAATACTGTGTAGAGACAGCTTGGCAGCTACTAATATTAATAGGGAAAGGGTCATGCTAAAAAGGATGTAACATCAGTCTTAGCCCTTCTGACCTAAGGCCCGGAATAAGGCTAAAGCTAATGAATACCGTGTCCTTCTCCCTTCAATTCACTTCAGCTACTACTAATAGAAAGGCTTAAAATTTCTGAGGAAGAATTAGGTCTGTCCTACACTAACCATTTTCACTAACCATCCCAGGAACAGTAGCCGGACCGGGACAACAATCCAATCAGCAACCAATACGCAAATAAGCAGCGATCGTACTTGTCTGCCTCTTCCTCCGACGGTCGATGCCCCCATTCTGGCCAATGAGAAAGCAGAGGACGGGCGACCGGCAACAACATGAGTCCCCCGCACTACAAGCCCCAGAATTCATTGAGATTAGATTTTCAAAATGTTTGCAATTTTGCTTATAGGAAGATCTGTTTTAATTGCACGAACGTGCATAAAGTAAATGTTTATCTTCCTTATAAAACACCAACGCTAGCGTAGCATTCTCCGGCATCTAAGCGTTTTTAGAATCTCCCAAACAATAAGCGTAAACCAGGAAGGCGACGCGAGACACCTAACCTTTCATACAACACAAAATGAAACTACGTAAATTTATCGTCTTCAAAGTCTACACATTTACACAAATAGGAACTATCGTACCCCATTAATACACGTGTGGCGGTCTGCCTTCCCGAACCTGGTGCCCGGCAAATGCGATGGATTATAACTCCCATAATCCCCTAGCCAGCCTATAACAGCTGAAAGCAGTTATGGGAGTTGTAGTTCAACAGATCTTGAGGGTATCAGGATGGTTAAGACTGTACTGCAGACAGAGTTCCTAAACAACCGCGCACCCCAACTTCGGAGACAGTCCGTCCCGTACATAGAGGCTGAATCGATTCTTAATCGGATAGCCATACCGGTGTTGCCCTGTCCTCACTGCTAGCAAACAGCAAAAGGGTCCATAACTCTTCCCCCCACCACCACCTAAGCTTTCAAGAACTTAACTGCGTTTTCCTGTGATGGCGGCATCCTTAACAAGAGCCGCACATCACTCGGGTCTCCGGCTGATCAGCAGCTTCCAGCATAGGTCGGCTGCAAAAAGGTTGTAACAAGTCGCGCTGGAAAAGCAAGGCAAGTTGAATGTGTTAAACGCACCTGCCACACGAAAAGCTGCCTTGCTGGTCACCTCAGTGTACTTCTGAAAGAGTCCAACCGATGGTGCCCTCTCCACAGCCCGCTCTCCGCTGAAATGTACGCACAGCCCAAGATCACCGGAGCCAGAAATACCAGCAAAGTTTCGTTTTTCTTCGCAGCTCGGCTGCTTCCTATAGACGAATTAGCAAAGTTTCGTTTTCCCTTCGTCACTCCACGCCCACCGCGCGCTGCCCGATTTCTGTTTCCCAGCAGCTGCAGCCTCTGGACTCTGCTGGCAGGAGGGAGCTTCGAGGAACAGCTTCAGCGCATTCAAAGGATCGTACATTTCCAAGCCCGAAAGGCGGGAAAGGCGCCTCCCGGTTCTGGTCACACGGCCGCTCCCACCATGTCGTTTACCAACACGCTTTGGCGAAAAATTTTGAGCTGCCTGCGAGCCACGCCCCTTGACTCTGGTAGCGTAGTCCGTAGTCCAACTCCTCGGCTTTTAATTGCAAGCATTTCTACCTGCTGCTCAATTCTGGAAGATCTGTCTAGTTCTCTCTTATTATGTAATTCATCAGTATCTATGAAATTGCCTTAATAAATTGCATGCACGCGTGTGTGTAGAGAGAGCGCGCTGCTAACCATTAACATCGACAATTAAAAACAATATTCCATTGCAAGAACAACAATTTAAAAATGGTAGCCCTCTGGGCACAAAACTGAACTGGTCCTACTACTAGACAGAGAAGGCAGGTACTGCAAGCAGCTGTGTTGTGAAATGTTAGTCAGCAAATTGTTAGTTAATGAATTATTACTACAGGCATTTTACCATAGTGCCAACATGATTTGTCCAGGGTACCCAATACACCATAACTTGGGGGAAGAGGCGTTTTCTGCTCCCTTTCAGGAAACAAAATGTCCTAGGCATGCCCTGCCTGGAGAAGATAGCAGAATTGTTACCTGCAGTCAAGTCGGCTCCTACTTAGTGTTGCGCACCCCTGCAACAGAATGGCTTCCTGTCCTTTAAACCCTCCTTGTTCAGCTCTTGTAAATTCAAGGGCGTGGCTTCCTTTCTGGAGCAATCTCAGAGGAGTAAAAAAAAAAAAAAAACCTAGTCAGAAGATTTTACAAGGCCAGGGTTGACCAAGGTCAAAGTTTGGCAGGTAAGAAAGGGATACAGAGCAGGATGTAGTGAATGGGACCTGAGAAGCATCTGGTGGCTCAAGAGCAGAGCCTGACAGAATCCAGAGATATTCAGTGTGGTGTGGTGGTTAAGTGTGCACAACTGGAACTCAGGTGATCTGGGGTCTAGTCCCCCTCAACCCATGGAGCCAACTGGGTGACTGTGGGCCAGGCTGTGAGAGAAGGAAAATTACTGTTACTAAGCGGAAGAATGATAGCTTGCTAAAGACCAGAGCAAAAGACCCTTATAAGGCCAAAGGCCTGAGTACAGAACCATGTAAAGAGTTGTAAAAAGGAACTAGAAGAAAATAGGCAGGTTTAAATTGGTTACTGATGTAAGCAAACAAAGGTAAGTTAATAGTATGGTTGAGTTGAAAACAAAGACAATAGTAGAAGAGTGCTTCTTACATCAAAGTCCTGAAAAACACAAGGGGGTGAGGTTGGGGGCAGTGGTAAAACTCACCTTTTGTGGAAGGGAGTAGGTAATTGGTTGCCTCTTACAACTGGCCATAATGAGCTTGGAGGAAGGCTTGTTTGTCCTATCTCATCCTCCCACAAGTTTTGGGAAATGAGTGGGCATCAAGCGAGATGGTCACAAGGCCAAGCTGACCTGTTGAACTTTTAGAAAGTAGTGTGCATGCTTAATAGGTTCATGAATAATAACTGACACACCTCTCATAGGTAATGGGCTTATTAGCATGAACATGGGATGTATGAGTGGGAGGGAGAACATATCAAGGGGTAGTATGATGTAGGCGGACGGAGAAGATTGTGACCTCTTAGTAATCCAGCCAGTGGGAGAAAAGAGGCAGGGTCTGCGAGCTGGGAAAAGGAAATAAAAGGCAAGAGCGGGTGCGCTGTCTTTGTGGTGGGCACCCGCTCTTACAAGAACGTATTAAACTATTACTGCTTGTTACTTTGCCTCCCGTATTGTCACTGCTTGGAATTTCATTCCTATCAAGTCACAACACAGACAGTCAGAGGGTTGTTGTTGTGAAGATAAGACTGAGAGCACAAGGAGGAGAATGGTGTAAACGACTTTGAGTTCTTTTAAAAAAGGGGGGGAAAGTGGGATGTAAATCTAATTGAAGCTGGTTGCCTGCCAGAACTTGTGTTTTGCTGGTTTGGCTGGGAGGCACTTTATTGTGGTAGTAGAAAAGAAAATCCATTCTTCAAGTGCTCAGAAACATTCTTCTTCTAGAAAACTACTCCTGGCAAATGGTAACACAGGTAGTGATTTCACATGTATTTTTATTAGCATGAAACAATTAAAAACGTGACATAAAGGGAACACCAAGTTAGTATTAAACTGCTTCCTGCCAGTCTGGCGTGGGGTGCATCCCACTTGCTGCAGACTGGCATGGGAACTGGCTCTGCTCCACCACTTCTTCCTTGGTTGGCATTGCGTTCACCACGGTGCGCTGACAATGCTGGGGAGGAGATAGGGGGAGAGACAGCTTTTTGTTTCTGCCTCAGCAGAGGTGGTTTTCCTGTTTTTGCCAGTCCCCAGCTGTGGAAAGGTTGAAAACCACTGGTAACCAGTTGCAGAGTTTAGTTTGGCACAATGGGATGTGTGTACGTGCATGCATGATGGACTGATGGGGTGTTTACCTGTGTGTGTATGCAAGACAAAGTGTCATTCAATTGCAGTATCATTCACAATACAGTCAAACCTTGACTTTTGCAGGTTTGACTTTCACGGATTGGATTATTACTGTTTGCCATCAATAATTAAATGGGAGCTCTTTTAGAGTTTTGTGGCCTACTACAGAAAACCATCATCTCCATAGAAGGAAAGGAAGTGAAAGGAGAGAGAGGGAAGGCCTCTGAAGCATCACCATCGAGAGAGAGGAAGCAAAAAGGGAGCAAGGAGGAACTCCAAAGTATGCCTTGCTGCCCCACCTATCTGGAGAGGGCCCTTTCCCCAGCATTTCCTTGGTGGAAAGAGGAGGCCCTGGTGAGTGAAAGGGAGGGTGGGGAAAAAGAACGTAAGAACATCAGAAGAGGAGCCCTGCTGGATCAGAGCAAGGCCTGTGTGTGAGAGATGCAATCCAGTGCAGTATTAGAGTTAAGCTTTGGGGGGTGGGGTAGAGATATTTGCAGTTTTTCCGCTTTCGTGGGAATCCTGCACCCCTAGACCCTGCAAATGTGGAGGACTGACTGTGCAATGTTTGCACAGCCAGAGTTTTGAACTGCAGGTTCTTTGGGAATTGTAGGAGGGTTTTCCCTGATGCTGTGCATGTTGTGTGTGAGTGAACATTTTGCATATGTAGAAGCAAATAGTCATTCTGGCCTAAAATCCAAATCCATAGTTGGGAGATACCTTTATAAGAGCCAACCAAAATGCCCAATTATGCAAACTTTTGAGTTCTCCAAAATTCTGCATCAGTTTAGGTAATACAAAAAGAGGAGATGGAGGAAGAAACGAAGTCCAAGAATAGGCCATGAGGTCCAAGTTTGGGTAAACCTAGTATCAAAATAGAGAATGATGTAAACTGCTTTGAATTCTTTAAAAGAAAAAGGCAGGATATAAATCTGATAATAAATAAATTTTGCATTAAAAATTTATTCCATGTTTTCATGGTTTTTAGAAATATTTTTACCATCTTTTCTGTTATTTCAATAACTTTTGAATTTATTTGATTTTTGGTGTGCTCTTGGCTTAATCATTCACAATCAATGCATATGCCATTGGACCACCATGCTGAAAAAAATCACAGAAAAGCCATTTTTACAGTGAAAGCCTTGATCTACTAGCCTCAACTTTTTCTGAAATCCATCAGGCACATGGCTGAGACAGCTCTCTCATTATGAAGCAACTGTAAAAATTAAAGTCCCTTCCTAGGAGTGAGCTAAAGGCATCCTGCACCAAGATGTTTTCTTTTCACATCCCAGTGCTCAGCCCTCCAATTGAAAACAGACTCCTAGGCTGAGATCCTGGCACAAGTTAGGTGAATTGGAATAGGCAAGTATGTAGCTGAAGAAGCAGCTGATACAGGAGGAAAGTTTGGTGCAGGAGTGGAAGGGGAAGCCAGGAGTGGAAGAGCTGGCAAATTGAGGTCCAAAAATGATGGTGGATTGTTGAGTGGAGGAAAATGGACTATGTTCCTTGGTTGCTGTTTGCCAGCAGTGAAGATGACATGGACGCTGCTGAAAGTAAAGCAGAGATTGGTGCTGGGGCTTTAATCAGTGTGGGAAGTAACAATGACCCTCTGTAACACCTCATTTTTAATCCAAAGTGGTTGGAGCTGGGCCTGCAGTTGTTCAGTAAAGGAGTCCTTTGTATGTGTTCTCCCTATTGTTACTTGTTATTTCTGCTTAATAATTTGAGCCACAACCTCGCTAGCTGATCTTGATGTGACATACATGTGGTAGGGTATGTATAGGTACATACAACTGATTTGACCTAGGGAGGATGCGGGCTGTCCCACACTGGAGGCCTTCAAGTTGCAGCTGGACAGCCATCTGTTGCTGCTGCTAGTCACATCCGACCCATCGTGACCCCATGGACAACATTCCTCCAGGCCTTCCTGTCCTCCACCGTCCCCTGGAGTCCACTTAAGCTCACACCAACTGCTTCAGTGACTCCATCCAGTCACCTCGTTCTCTGCCATCCCCTTCTTCTTTTGCTGTTAATTGTTCCCAGCATTAGGCTCTTCTCCAGGGAGTCCTTCCTTCTCGTTAGGTGGCCAAAGTATTGGAGTTTCATCTTCAGTATCTGGCCTTCTAAAGAGCAGTCAGGGTTGATCATCTCTAAGACTGACTGGTTTGATCTCCTTGCAGTCCAAGGGACTCGCAGGAGTCGTCTCCAGCAACACAATTCTTAGGGTTGCTTTAATGTGGAATCCTGCACAGAGCAGAGGTTGGACCTGATGGCCCTCTGGCCACTCCAACTCTATTTCAGGATTCTGCGACTTCTGTGTGACTTGGCTCAGTGCTATGCCATCTGGATCTGTTTGCAACCTATTAACTTTTGCATTCTAATTTTGGCACATTTAAAAACGGCCTGTGTTGCCCACCACTGTCCATCAAGCTATGCCATCAGGTTCTGCCACCCTGTCACTCATAGGAGTATACCCTTTCCAGCTCTAAAATCTTGGATAATAAAGGAGGGGCTGCTCTACTGCACTGAGAGCACTCCGTTGGGCTCCCTGCCAGACGTTTTCCACTGAAGCTCAACTATTGTAAGAGCTTGGCAGTCCTAAGAACTGCTGCTAGAGTTCAGTCTTTTCCATTTCCCACCAGATCCCTTCTCTTTCACTTCCTTGTAATTCTGCAGGGCATATAGTTTCCTCTTACTGGAGCACTTTTAACTGAGGAGCAGGGTGAAAGTGCTTTTTAAAAACCCAAGCAAACAAATTCACTGCCCTCAAACAGCTTGTGACAGAGAGTGGAAAGAATAAAGTTGGCATTGGGCCAGTCATCCCTACTCAGCATATTACTGAATCAAAACATATCTGGTCTTGTAAGCTGTTTGTACAGGATATAAGGAAATGGCATATAAGGAAATAAATGCAGTTTCACTTTTAGTTTTTCATGACGACTTGTTAGAGAGAGCTTACTTTGGCTGCAAAATACCATCATGGAGTTTGCCAGTCCTTCCTCCAACTTTTGAAAAAAGCAACATGCTTGGAATGGGGTGAAGAAATACCTATGTTTGGACCCCCTCCCCCCCCATGGGGGTTTTGTAATGTGTTAGTGGAAAGCATTCTTGACCCTGTACCTCTTGCTGTGTATATTCAGTCGTATGGCACATACCTCACCCTCGCCTCTTCCCTCACCTTTTCTTACCATTTTTAGAGAGAAGCATTGCTCAAAGCACCATTTCTCTGAAACTCACCAAGGCTGCAATTGTTAAGGAGCGAGCCCCACTGTACCCATCAGGGTGTCGTTCGTGCACGTTCTGGCAAGATTCCCAGGCACACAGGAATGCTGACCATTTTGGTGGGACTGACAGCTCAGATTCTGAGGAGGAGCTCTATGAGGGGGAGTTGGCTGATCCTGGCAGGGCTGACAGCTCTGGTAACCCACCCAGGGCTCTGATAACCAGACGGTTGTTGGAACCAACTCAGCTCCAGCTGCAGTCCAAAGTCCTGGGTACCCACCTGTGCCTACTAGGGAAGAGATTAGTTAAAGGGCAGCTCAAGGGCCCAGTCAACCCACCCATGGGAACGAAGAAGAGCAACAACAACCTGAAGGGCGGATTTAGAAATGGGGAGTCTAACGGATTGAGACCTCCAGCCTCCTGAGGAGGTGGACCCAATAGTCAGTCTTCAGTCACACGGTGGGCCAGCTGGGATCTCGGAGGGAGGAATGCAGGTGTGTCCATTCCCACAGCGCTCCTCCCTCCTGAGACAGGCAGAGAAGGATTCATCAGCAAAGCTTTGGGTGAAGGGGACCAGAGAGGGTTCAACATTTCACTTTGTGCATGCTCAGAGACTTACAAGTAAAATAAAGACATTTGGCTAGAAGCACTGGTGAGTCTGTTACTGCTGGGAAGGAGTACTCAGCTCACAACACAGGGCTTCATTCTGCCTTGACTTTTGTACAATTGCACTGCATCTACCTTCTTGACTAGCCAGCCATGCCAGGAATCATAATCCAACAAATCTGGAGGGCATCAGGCTGACGCGGGCTGCAGTAGTGATTGAAGAAGCCTGTGGAGGGAAAGAAAAGCATCCCAAAGGGAATGCCCCATGTCCAACTTGCATGCATCACCACTGGGCTGCTACAAGCATGGAGCAAGTGGTTCCTTTACCAGGCAAGAGTCACACTACAAACCCACTGCCCAAATTAGTATTTTCCTGTTCTGTGCTGAACATTATCCTGAAAGAAGAAATGGATTTGCATGAAAGTAGAATGATCAAGTCCGTATCTTACTCCAGGCTAGCAGTCAGGCAGGGAAACATCTTAAAACAGTTCTCCCCTCTTTTTTCACCTCAGAAAGTTCTAACATTGAGCATATGTGTGGTAAGGTGTGCTGCTAACTTATTCTTTTTAGGTATGGTGTATGCCTGTGCTACAGGAAGCATCAGTACAAAATGGAAAATTTCTAAAAAATAAGAAAAAACAGTAATTCCAATTTGAGGACAGGAAGAGAAAGGGAGGAAAATCAACAACTCTACTGGAAAGATGCGAGGACATGTTTAAATAAACATGTAACTTACTTGTGCTCAAGATCTAGGGCACCAGCAGGAGGAAATGCGAAATGCTGCAGGAACAAAGGCAAACCAGAGCCCAGCACCATCCAAAGTCCAACAGGAAGTCCAAGTCTTAGTCCCAAGGAAACAGGAGCTCATCATGGAACAAAGGTCTGGCCACAAGCAAGCCAGAGATCAACAACCAGATGAACAAAGCAAGGAGCAGGTATCTTGGGGTGTGATAACCAGGCAGCATTCAGGAACAAGAATGCATGGGAGGCAGGGCAAGGAAGCAGGGCAGGGCAAAGGTCCAGCGGAATGCCAGCACAGGAACAGGTTACAGCACCTAGGAGACCTATGCTGCTCAGACAGCTTTGGGCCCTCGGGTGGCTCCTGCAGGGTTTTGGTGCTTGACCAGCAGATGGAGCCCTGGAACTGCCCAGATCCTGACACTTGCATTTTTTTCAAGTGGTGTTAACTATAATAATAACTGGCCAGCAGCACTTTTATTTCCTCCTTATTCTGAAAGGAAGGAGAATTGAAGTTCTGTGGACTCTAAAAATAGCTAGAATGGTCATGTAACCTGGCTGATTTTGTAGTGTTCATAAAGCTTTTAAGATATAACGAGATATAAACTGTACAGAATTCAACATTTCCTCACGTTCAGATCCTGCAATGTGTAATAGCACAATCTAAGTATAACAGATATATTTAACTCAGATACATTTGGTTTATTTTGGCTTACTTGCATCATTTAGTTTTAAAAGTTTTATTCTCTTAATTCCCTTTGAAAAGACTAGTGTTCTGTTCATGAACTTTAGAAATAACTTAGAAACACCATGAGTTTCCCATAAGTCTTTGAATGTGAAGAAATGCTATAGCATAGCAATTTTACTTGAGGCTTCCCAGAGTCTTGAAACATTGGATGATTTTGTGCTGTTTGCATCTTCAGTTTTTTATGCGTGAGGGAGAAGAGATTCTCATCTTTCCATGGACCAGGTTCAGAGCATGCATGACTTCTGTGTTTCAGTTGTAACATCTCACTTGTGATGGTAAAGAGCATCTGCACCCTGTGTCCAAGTTCTATTATTTTGCTCAAGGCCCTAAAGCTTCGATGCCAAGCCTGGGGCACTCCTATTGTTTGAGCTCTGCGTCCTCACTGGATGATCCCAGATGTTGGCAGGATGCTGTCACTTCCATCAAACAAAACTTCATTAGCACTGCTCAGTTCTTCTTCAAGACTCCTCTCTGCAGGACACACAAGAGAAGAAAGGAAGGACAGATTGCATTAAGACAGATAAATTTTAGGATTTTGTGGGTCCAATCCCTTCTATGTTAAAAAAAAAAAAAAAAAGTTAAGGCAAGACATGGGCCTCTGTCAAGGGAAAGATGACATCCTTCAAAGACTGAATCCTCTTCTAGTCCATTAAATACTTCTTTCCTCAAAACCATTTGGGAAAGTACTGAGGCAAGGCAAAGGGACTCTGCCTTTTGCCACTGGCCATAAAACTACTAGAGGTAGCACCCCTTTCCTCTCAGGAAGAACATCATGACAAAAGGAAGAGCCGCTTAGTCTCCTCCAGGAGCCCAATATCAAAGAGCAGCAGGGAACCCAGCTCCCCGCTAGAAAGAGCTCGACTCCAACCACACACTGCCCTGTGACTGCAGAAGCATGCAGAGGGCCCTTCTAGCTTCTGCCAACAACCAGAAGACCAGCACGTGCCTCACACTGTGCTGAATGTTTAACCAAAGTGAGCTACTTTTGGAAGCAAATTTTGTCTGAAGAGTGGATTAAAATGCAGTAAAGCAACGATGGAACCATAACACAAATTTGCAGCAAATGTTAGCTGACACAAGAAAGGTCCCCAAGAAGTAGGGATCTTCTTTGGATCCTTTCCACCCTTACCCACCTGCATCCTTTAGGCTGGGAAACTTACAGAAACCTTCCAAATTGGCAGCCAGCAAGACTTTGAGTATAGGAGCCTATGGACAAGAAGAACAAAGGAGAATTTGTCAATCACATCCCAACTTTTTCAAATCATTCAGGGGACCCCTTAAAAACCCAGAAGGCCTGAATTAGAAGCCAAAAGATCTGGCTGAATTAAGACTGGCTGCTCAAGGGCAGAGCACATCCTTTACTTGTTTAACTCCTTGTAATCTGGTTAAATTGAGAAAGGGGACACCTGTGGCACTCCAGCTGCCTTGGACTCCAACTCCTAACAGCTGCTAACCCTAAAGAAAGCTGAAGTATGCTGAGTTACAGCCCTGGTCCATTCTATCTGGGAGCACATGTCCAAAGACTTGAGCATGGTATCTCCCAGACTCTCCTATTTGAGTTACTTTATTTTTATTCAAACTGGGGATGTTGGGGGTTGAACTGAGCAGCCTTTGACTGGCATAGCATGTGTTCTACCACTCAGCTACAGTCCCCCTTTCCTAAAAGAAGGTTGTTTGTTCTCAGGCCTCCCCGACAGGATGTTACTGTTAGTTTGAATGTATAATTGTTCAGTCAGCATGCTGACCCACCTGCAAGCCAGTAAAGATCAGGGAAAGTCTCCTGTGCTGGAATTCCAGGAGCAGCTCAGAGAGGCCCAAAACCACCGTGTAGTCAATGCTGCTGACATGGGTGCAGTCCAGGATGACGTTGCGCAGGTGGGACCCTGAAGGCAAACATCAAACCAGTGCACTCAAGGAAGGGTGAACCCAGGCCAGCATTCCTTCCACACAGTCCTAGCTGATTAAAGTCTGACTGGTCAATTTGAAAGCCTGGTTCACCAGTTCAGTTCAAACCAGCACTAGTCTGTTCTGCAACCCACTGGTGAGCTCAGCTGCACAATCTGGAGGGCACTGCCAGGAAGAAAAAGGGCACTGCTAAGGCTTGCGCTGTTCTTCTTTCTCCATTTGAAGGCTGGAGATATGCTGAGGCTCCCAGCAACATCAGAAATTAAGCACCATCAACAACCTCCTGACTCCACCTGCAGCAATGTCATGGCAGGGTTAGTGGCCCCAGGAGAGCTAGAAACCCACCACATGCTTGCCTGCATAGCTACCTTGATGGTCTGTCGGCTTGGCTTGAAGAAGTCCCAGGCAGAATTCCCCCCCACTTGGAGCATGCTGTCCCCACTTATGCACCATGGGCTTTTAAACAAGGTGTATACTGGGGCGCATGGGGATAGTTTCCAGATTGAAATTTCTGGAGGGTCAAATGGGATACTTGTTTCAGAGGCACCCAAGAACAGATTAGCTCCTCCTAAACAGATCATCATCCTAGGTCAGCCACTGGTGCCCCAAGTGTTGTTCTATGCAATACTGGTACCCCAGGTCAAAAGTGGCAGAGGCCTTTACTTCCAGATTGGTTTAATTCCAGTCACAGCCAGCACCATACCACTGAATGCCTAGATAGATACACTTTACCTGAAAGAGCCTGTTTGTGCACAAAATCCCGAAGGAACTCAATTGTTGGGAAATACAAGCCACTGGCTGGCTGTATGATCAATGACTCACGTTCCAAGACCTGCAAAAGAGGTCGGAAGAAAGTATTGTGAGGGACCACAAGGTAAGATTTCCTACTGCCTGGCTATTTCTATTTCCCCCATCCCTGAAGGCAAAAGAAACATGGCCAAAGATTGCTAATTGTCACGATGAAGGGTTGTATGCTATCTGTTCTCTATTTTAGACATCTCAGACATACTGACATTTGATTTGGAAATGAGAGAAGGGATGTTAAAGGATATTTTTAAAAGATGTCCCTTCTCACTTTGCATTGTCTAAAAACCATTACATATTTCACATATAAGAGGGTTACAAACAGAAAGTAGTGGGGGGGGGGGCAGGCAAGGGACTGGTTCTATGACCTGCTGTCCTTTGTGGCTGCCATCCGGATGTGTTGTGCAACGTGGGTTTCCATGTCAACTGTATGCACCCTAACTCAGCAAACCCAAAACAAACCTTTATCTGTGGCCGGGCGAGGGAGTGGAGCAGCAGAATGCCAGAGACCAGCACCCCGGCCAGGATGCCATATTGCACTTCCCAGAAGCACAGCAAGAACGTCACACACAGTGGCACCAGGTCCAGCCCTTAGACAGGAGTATATAGAACAAAGTCACCGACTCATTCAGTCCTTCAGCAAGAGGGCTGCCACACATTGTTTGTAGAGAAACAAACGAACAAGAGGAAAAGCATTACTTGCTAACTTAGATTTTGCATTAGTAGCTTATACCTCCTAAGGTGACTAGAAATGAAAGTCATAAAAAGCAGTGCTCACATAGCATGAGTTTCCCTTCCAAGTTCTCTAGATTCAGGGGTTGCCTAAATCTTCCCTTCTGATTGTATACTATACCTACTGCCAAGTCAGAGCCCATTTCATACACCAGTAAGGTAGAGACAGGTGAATGAATGACTGTTCTTAGGGGAAAGTTCCTGCTGACCAGTTTACCTCTGGATATAAGAAGTGGCTGACTCTTGCACAGCTCCACTCATAAACGCCATCTAAGAGGCTAATAAAGGGAAGCCAATAGCTGCAGGGAGACCTAACCTTTGACAAGGGAAACAGAAGCATGCAGCACTCAGACACAGCACAGAGTGAGATACACCAAGTAGGCAAGCCTTTACACAAGATTAAATGGCAAAGTGGATTTTTCACATTCAGTCATGACTGCCAAAACTTTCACGTTTACTTGATTCCATAAAAATCAAAATTAAATTTTCCCTCACAACAGTGGAAGAGTTTGCAAGTGATGGCTGTGTTATGAAGAGTCAAAGTCAGGCTTTAACCAGTTCGACCTCGCTAACACAGCAAGCTCAAGAAAAGAGAGAACTTTAGGAAGTTATAGACGGAGAACTTGGGTGGAAAACTGCATAAAATTGCTTTAAATTGTTGTTGTTGTTGTTGCTAGTTGCAAAGTCGTGTCCAACCCATCACAACCCCATGGACAACATTCCTCCAAGCCTTCCTGTCCTCCACCATCCCCCGGAGTCCATGGTTTAAATTGTGGATCCATAGAAACCCTATTATAGGTAATTTCCTGGTGATGAAAAAGCTGGACATACTTCCTAAGTAGCGTACAGCCATTTATGCTTGCTTTTGGAAATATGCTCAGCTTTTACCAACAGAAAGCTACCTTCAGTCAATTTTTCATTTGCCCAGCAGGTGCCAGTATTCTGTACAGTGCTGGCTTCCCCTAACCAGAACAGAGACACAGACAGCAACACAGAAAGGATGAAACAGCTATCAGAGATTTTTAAAACATGTGAGCCTGCCATGCAAAATCATGGAGAAGCAAAGAAAGTAACAATTTCTCAGACATATCTATGAAACAGGATTCTCCATTCCTGTTCACAGATATGTTTCAGAAAAGCAGAAGAGATTACTATCATTTATTTGTTTTAAAATATTTTTACACTGTCCTACAATGTCATGGATAGCAGGGTGGTATAGCAGAGGCATGAAAATACTAAAATGTGCTATAAATATGATAAAGCATAAACATTAAATCAGAGGCACAATACAGCAGACTACACATAGAGAGACATGTTTCTTTTTCACTACTGTAATGAAGCTCTGAGCAGTACACTGGAAATAGTTTTCAATGTTTGAAAAGTCTAATATCAACTCAAAAGTTTTTAGTATTGTGAGGCACCAGATTTGCTACCAGATCTACATGAAAGAGATGATTCTAGAAGACTTCTGGAATATGAGAATGGAGGCTAAAAAAATAAACAAGAAGAATGAGAATTCCCCAAAGTTACACAAAAACCAAGGCAGCACTGGGTGCCATTGCAGGGAAAGATAAGCACTCGCCTTCTGCCTCTCAACAAGCACCTCCTTTGCTGTCCCCAGATAGCACGAAATGCAGACAAACTTTCAGATCGTGCTTTAAAGGATTCTGAATGGGGGGGTCAAACAGACAATTCTTTAAATGATTATTCCGCAGCTATTTTTCCTGCCCCACCAGTATTTTCACTCTAGAGTAGAAACAGGCTGCAATCTGTAAAAGAAGGACTTTTATCATTTGGATTGGTTCCCCTGCACTAAACCTAGCATAAAAATGAAAAAGAAGATTGCTACTAGATACACATTTAAAGTAATGTCTGTCTTGGCCCTGACTTTGGTATGCATTACAAGAACCCCAAACTTGTCAGCTTTGGAAGTAATAGAAAGTTCATGCTCATACTTTTGACCCGCCATAATGTGCGGAAGATCCTGGCATCAAACATAGGTGCCACAGCGCAGATGATGACCGCTGCCAGCGCTGCCTTGGGAATGTAGTAGAAGAGGGAGGTCAGGTAGGCTAGAGACAATAGCACCAGGGCCCCTGGAGGCGGGGAGAAAGAAAGAAGCCAAATTAATCAGTACTGCAGGCTTACCACCAAGACAGAAACGTCGTGTGCGGCTGAGGAGCAGAGAGCTCAGCTGGATGGTCAGAATACATCACTGAGTATCACTTTTCTCTGTCACCTCCAAGAGAAACTCTGAGAGAGCCTTCTCAGCAGTGATGCCCTGATTTTGGAACCATCTTCTCACGGAGGGTTGCCTGGCACAAAGCCTTAAACTTTCAGTGCCAGTTAAGGCTGCCCTCTATGTTGAAGCATTTCGCGGGAGTGGCAAGAAGAGAGTTAACCACATGGGGTGCAATTGCCACTTCTACATCCCAGCTCAGGGATCAGCCCCTTAGGACCACCTCTGATGCATCAGGCACAAGGCCGTCTTTGAGCCCCTACCTGTTATTAGTCCCCCTGCAGGCGTGCACACACCCGTCTGGGCATTGACTGCTGTCCTGTAACATTAAGAGGCTCAAGTCATTATGGGAACAAGAGGTAGCCCCTTCATCTCCCTGGAACAGGAGGAGGCAGATGCAGGGAGCCATTTTCACATACACAGAGACCCCTCACAAACCACCCCTCGGCAGCGAAACAAGGCCAGTTTGGGCAGCAAACCTCTACAGAGCAGGAAGTAGGGGAAATTTAGCACGCACCCATGCTAAATCTGACCCGCTTACTATTCTGCAGTGGTATGCGGCTGATTCTTTTCACCATCGTGAATTCTGGCAATGCAGCAGTGGGGGGACTGGGTTGCCCACCCCCATCCTAGAAACATTTAAGGGCCTACAGAGCACAAAAGTCACAGCATCATCAGGGTTTATGAAAAGGGCTGTGGAAGGAGCAGTTCTTTGGAGACAAAGTCCTTTTTATTTCCTGCTGCGGCAAGAGACTTGATGGCCTGGCCATAAGTTCCCTGCACCTATGCACTCTACGTTAACACAGGAGACTTACTTGCATAAAAAATAATACCCTGATTCAATCTATTCTCACAATGAGGTGAATCACAACACACATTTAATAATAAATGTAAAACCATACACTAAAACTTAATGAAAGGCTGAAGAAGTTACCCTGCCCAAATCACTAAGATAGGTGTGAATTCTCTGTGGGAATTTTCTCCCATAGAGAAGCCCTAAAGAGGTCAAGAAAGAAGCCTTTTCTTAGTCCTGATCATGTGGATGACAGGATGATGACAATAAAGGGTTTTAAAAGGAAAATTAATCCATAAAACAGAAAGTGATTTTTACACATAACTTATCAGACATTGTTTCAAGCCACCTAATTCCTCTATTGAACTATATGAAGGCAAGTATCACTCTTCCAAAAGGATTTACTCACCGGCCAAAGCTACCTGTGACAGGATAGGAGGAGATGAAAGAGCCTAGGAGGTTGGTGAGTCCTAGAGGTCACACAGAAAGAGAGGCTAAGCAGCAAACGCAGAACACGAGGTGGACTCCCACGTTATGGATTCCTAGCCTCACAGAGGCACCAGATCCACTTTTTAATTGGGAGAGGAGAGGCTTGTTATCTGCGTCTAATGAATTTAAGGCAGGGGCGACAGATGTTGGATAAACACCAGGATCAATACTTTAATAGCAAAAAATTGTTTGTTACCCGGAGTGGACGGGTGGGCTGTTCCTCTCTTCAAGCAGAGGCTAGACAGCCATCTCTTTCCCCGATTATGACATTCAAATCCCACCTCTTTCCCTCTTGCAAGAAACCCAAGTCAGCTCATGTGTCCCTCCTCCACTCCATTTCATCTTTGCAACGATCTTGTGAGATCAGTAGGCTGAGAGTCAGTGACAGGCCCAAAGCCGCCCGGTAAGCTTCACAGCTGAGCAGAGATGACAGCCCAGATCTCCAGAGCCCCAATCTGACCACTGTATTGTATTGCCTCTCTGTTGGGAGGGGTCTAGGCTTTGGATTTCCTGCACCAAGCTAGGGGTAGACAGAATCAAAGAGTCTTTCCAGCTCTATAATTCTGAAAATGGGCTAAAATTGTGGGTGATGGTCACAATGCAGTGTCACAATGCATTGCCAAGGACTAATTTGGCCAACTGCCCTTGGAAAGTCAATTCAGAAGAGCTTTCCAGCAAGAGCAAAACTCTTCCCTCCCATATTCATCCTCACTCCATCCAGAGCTCCTTCAAGCAGAAGGCCCAATCCAGTCTAGTCAACTGTACACCTGTAACATTCTTACCCATAGCTAACAGTTCCTGGTTGGGGTCAATCTGGTAATTATTTTGAGAGCCTAGAAGAAAAGGGAAATGTAGATGCTGGTTAAACCAAGGCCCACATAATTGTGGACTTTCCGATAGTTAAGGGCTCCATGAACACCACAGGAAGCAGATATGAAACAAGAAATATGTGGATCCAGGCTTCCCTCTGCTGGTATCCCTCCAGATGTTTTGGATTTCAACTTCTAACTAGCATGACCATCAACCATGCCTGGCTGGGACTGATGGGGGTCGAAGTCCAAAATATCTGGAGAACACTGCGTTTCAGAAGGCTGCTTTAATCCCCGATTACAAAAGAAACTGCTCTCCTTTATACACACACACACATAGGAACCACTTCCTCACAGTGCTATTCCACAGTGTCTTCTGGGTAGATCCCACATAGTCAAGCCCAGCAAGCATTCACACGTGCACCTCTCTCCCGAGGATCACATTAGGTGGAAACAGCCGTGCTGCTAGGTGGAAGGAGAAGCACTATTGCCCAGATAACAAGGAGGAGATGCCAGGCATCCAGAGGGAAAGTTTAGTTAAGCTTAATAACTGAGTTTTATAGTTAATCTCCCCAGTGCTCAGAGAGCAGAAAATTCTCTTTTCCCAAATCTCGTGAGTTGTCAGGTGCATATGTGAAGACAGTGTGCTGCCCCTTGAGCCCCCTCAGTGCTGAAGGAAGGTGAACATCCTACCAAATGCTTTTGCAATAGCAACCGTCTCCAGCAGCCCGATAAGTGGCACCACGGCCAAGCCTGCTGCCATATCCTGCCAAGGGGAAAAGAACAATTATGTTTCACTGCCAAGACAGCACTGTGAGTTATACTTGGATCATCACATGTAATAGCGATATAGTGTAAATCCAGAATGTGGATTTACCTCATTATCTGTAACCCTTTGCCCTAGTGGCTGGGACTGACTGAAGGTGGAGTATGGTGACATCTAGAGGGCCACAGGTTGCCTACCGCCATGTTAATACTTCCCACCTCAATCTTAGACTGATAGATCGCAGAATGGTAACATTGCGGGGGATCAATAAGGCCATCAGGTTCAGCTCCTGCTCAGTGCAGGACTCCAAGTTAAGCCATCCCTAAGCGGGGCTGTCCAGCTGCATCTTGAATGCCTTCAGTGTGGGAGAGCTCATAACCTCCTTAAGTAATCGGTTCCACTGTCATTTTGCTTTAACAGTCAAAAAGTTTCTCTTGAAGTTTAGCCGGCATCTGGTTTCTAGTAACTTGAACCTTTTATTCCTTTTCCTAGACTCTGAGATGATTATGTTCAAGGTGTTTGCAGACTGACTGCTTTATGATCTGCTGTAGAATTTTTCCAGGGATTGATGTTAAACTGACTGGCCTGAAGTACACAGCTTCCTCTTATTTTCCTTTCTTGAAGGTGCGGACAACATTAGCCCTCCTCCAGTCACTGGCATTTCACAGAATCATATCATAGTAGACTTGGAAAGGGCCAAGGCAGCCATCAGGTCCAACCCCCTGCTCAGTGCAGGACACCATCGCACTGAGATGATTAACCAGCTTTGCCCTGAATGTCTCTGGTGTGCGAGAGCTCTCTAGGCAACTGGTTCCACTATCATATTGCTCTGACAATTAGGGATCTTTTCCTGATATCCACCTTGAATTTGGACTGCCACAGCTTGAGCTGATAATTTTGTGACAGCCTTTCCGGTACTTATAAAGTGCTATCATGTCACTCATCAGTCTTCTCACCTCAGTGTGGAACATACCCATTTCTCTCAGTCTCTACAATGTTTCCAAACCCTGGATCGCTTTTGTCCTCCTCCTCTGGACTCTTCTAGATTTTCTGCATCTTTCTTAAATCTTGGTGCCCAGAACAGGACACAATATTCTAGATGAGGAGGTCTGACTAGTGAAGAGTATAGGGGACCTACTGCTTCTCATGATTTGGAAGCAATACTTCCATGAATGCATCCCAAAATAACATTTGCTGTTTTTGCAGCAGCATGGCATTGTTGGCTCATATTTAGCCTGTTGTCCACAATAGCCCCAAGGTCTTTTTCTTTTTCGGTTCTGTCAAGCCATGTATTCCCCATCTTTTATTGATGCATTGGGTTTCTTTTTCCTAGGTGGAGGATTTGGCATTTGTCCCTATTGAATCTCATTTTGTCACTTTCGGCCCAGCTTTCAAGCTTTACAAGATCACGCTGGATCTTCATTCTGTCTTCCAGGATGTTCACTATTCCACTCAGTTTTGTATTGTCTGCAAATCTGATTATCGTTCCTTGTTCTTCCTCATCTAAATCATTAATAAAAATGTTGAAGAGAGCTGAGCCATTTCACCCATCCTCTATGTTTCCTCAAAGACAATAGATAGTGGCTCTGAGACTTCTGCCAGTTCCTTTATTACTCTGGGACGCAGTTCATTGGGCCCTGGGGATCTGAATTTGTTCAAAGTAATGAGGTGTTTCTAGACCATTTGCCTATCAATCTCAAACTGCAATCCTGCCTCTTCAGCTTGTGCTTCATCTTTGCCAAGGAGGTTAAAGACCTGCTTTTGGAAGAAGACTGAGGCAAAGCAGGAATTGAGCACTTCTTTTTCACTGTTATCTGTTATCAGTTGCCATCCTCACAGAGTAGCTGAACAACCATTTCTTTCCTCTCTCTTAGTATGCATGTATCCAAAGAAGGCTTTTTTGTTACTTTTAGCATCCCTCACTAACCTCAGCTCATCCTCAGCTTCAGCCTTCCCAACAGCTCTGTGCTAGCCGCCTGCATGCACTCTTTCTTTGTAACCTAGCCTTCCTTTCACTTCCTATATATGTCCTCTTTTTTCCAGGTAATCTCTAAAGCTTTTTGTAAAGTCACACAGACTTCTTCTGATATCTTGTAATTGCACCTTTAGAATTTTCTTTAAAAAAAAAAATAACTCCCACCCACCTTGGAATCCTTTTTTCATTAGACTCACTTGCCATAGGACTTTGCATATCAGTTTCTGAGTTTATTAAAATTGGCTTTCCTGGAATCCAGGATGCGCAATTGGCTACACCTGGCTTTCCTTCCTTTAGAATCAAGAATTCAAGTATGACATGGTCGTTTCACAACAAAGTTCTCTTGACTGGCACTTCATCCACCAAGTCACTTCTGTTAGAATAAAGTCAAAGATAGCCAATCCTCCAGTTCCTTCCTCTGTTTAAGCTTAGGCTAAACACCATATCATAGGAATGTATGTACTCCTTTTTCATTTGCAGCTGTGGAAATCCATGTTGTTGGCTTTGAAGTGCCAAATTTAACTCAAGGTTAATTTGAGCCAAGTACAATTTCTACAGTGCAAGACATTGTTATTAAACAACCTTATTAAAACATCTTTTAATGTTTTAATTTAAGATTAAATGTACCATATATGGAGGAAGGTGTTTCAATTTTTGGTGCTGTTAACAGCTCACTTGGCAATCATTTTACTTGTACTTCTTTTGATTGTTGTGAAACCCCTACTTGTTTTAAAAAGAAAATAAATACCCACCTGCACCATCTCTCCAAAGGAGATAGTCCCATTGGGTGTGACTTTGGAGAGTGGTGGTGGCTGGAATGGTGGCAGTCCCTGTGGTATGGTCCCTGTGAGTGTGAATGGCTGGGAGCCAGTCAGTTGGAAGGAGTAGGCCACAAGCCCAGCAAAGAGGACCACGAGAGCATTACGGGCTACAAGCAGGAAGAAATAAAGCCCCATGTTACCAAAGGGCAGCACTGATGCAGGGGGAAGTTCAGACCCGACATCAGAAGGACGAGCCATGATAGCATTCATCACAGTAAGAGGATTCTGCATTCGACAGGTGCATGACTGCAGAGTCTGCATGGGGTACAGAGAAAGCCCCTGGAGCAAACTGGCAGCTCCCGACTGTTGCTCCCACCGCCCACATGCTTAAATTTGGGTAAGAATATTTTGTGACATATGTTAAGAATGTTTCTTATAGAAAAGGTACTAAGGGCAAACAGAATCTGCTCTGGGGGAAACTCAGCCCCCTCTCACCTCAATTCCCTTTCTGCCTTCTCCCCTTGCCACTGCTACCAACCCTCATTCTCCAGCCACACCTCCTTAGGATCACTCTTTCACTAGCTACATGGAGTCCGGAGTCTTTCCACAGGTGAAGCTTTGAAGCAGCCAAATGGACAACAGCTCCTTCCTTCACAGGGCCACCATCTATAGTGTCCTCTGAGCAACTAAGCTGCCTCTTCAACCCAGGTGAAAGATTTTGCCACCAAAAGCACAATAGAATATAGGCAATTCAGCATATAAAAACATAGAAACATAGAAAACAGAGCGAGTCAGAAGGGGCCTCCTGG